GTGCTGATACTGTTTATGATGTTTCTGGTCATGGCACCACATGGTCACATTTCTTGGCTGCTAATTTTATTGAGCATACTGGAACCCTCGGTGCGATAGCTGTTCTACTATGCGCTCCTACCAGGATCAGCACTCAATGCACCTGAGTTTTTCAAGAGTGGCCATGCTGACACATGGCTTTGGATCGGATAGATCCTAGACTGATGGCAGGCAGATGAGATTGGTGGGTTCCACTCCAACGTGCCCCATTATTCTTCTTGCCATGCAGCATGCAGGAGAGTGGAAATTCATCCCTCCCCCAGCTATAGGGCAAATTGTCACAACTATGTGTACTTTTGGGATTTTTGCAGATTTCCTTTTCAGACTATTCATCTACAAACATGTGTAGCCCTATGTGGGGTAATAAGAGCTGGCCCTTGCTCTATTTTGCCTACAGCTTTTGAGGTGCTCCGGTGAGCCGGCGTCTGTCAGCCTGCTTGATGCAATCCAGCGCAACAACCACCAACCGACATCAACCGACCATGTCACGTTTCGAACCCAACCCGTTCTCATTGTGACCCTGAATGCTGGGTGAAGATGGCGAAACTTCAAGTCAAATATAGTCAAATGCGGTAATTAAAACTAACACATGCTCATTGTTGCCAGTTGGATTTGGTGAAGTTGAGTGACTATTGAAGCCCCTTCGCAGCATCGCAGTTACCGGTACCGTGCAGGGAGCACTCAAAGGCCAGCACCCGCGAGCACTGGCGCAAAACGTGGTCCATCCATCACCGCACAGCGCTATAGGCTGAAGCAAAACGACAGCTGCACCAGTGTTTGCAAGGCTTGGGTGAATTTTGTCTAGGTGGACAGCATTTGATTCATTTGATATCTTACAATGTGACATTGTATAATTTAACAGAATTCAACCATGCTTACCAAGTGATATTGATATCCCATTTACCTCGGAAGGGATGGCAACTGACATCGGCTGGATTATATTAATGACTTTAATCACAGTTTTCCAAATTGGTCGCGTTGGGAACACGATGGAAGGACTTGAGCCTACGTATGAGATTGGCAGGTTTCCATTATTTTCATCAATTGACATCCCGAGCATTTCCGAGTCCTTATTATTATAGCTAGATTAGCTACACTATGCTAGACTTACTTGATACATGAATGAGTACCATCACACCCGCGTACATATGTCATTTATAAAACCGAAGGAAGTTTAGAAGTCAAACTTCCGGCAATATGGACAGATGGAAACGCAGAGGTGGGAAGAGTCAGAGAAGAGAAGAGAAGAAGAGAGAAGATGAGAGAAGAGAACGAGTCAGAAGAAAGAAGATGCAGGTGCGCGAAAAGGTAGAAAAGTAGCGATTCACCGTGTTTTACCAATGATTTGTGGCTCCGGAGGGTCGAAAAGTAGGCTTGCTAAAGCGGCGGGTGCGGAGCCATCTGACCAGGTGAGAGATGAAAAATTGCACGCCCCTGTGGCGCGAAGCACATTTGCAAGTGAAAAAGCTAAAAGCACCTCACATTCAGAGCACTTTTGGAAGTTGAGATGTCGAAAAAGTGCACGCCGTTGTGGCGCGAAGTAGATTTCCAAGTCAAAATGTACAAAACATATAAAACACACCATTCTGGGAGCACTTTTAGCAGTTGCGCTGTCGGAAAAGTGCACGCCGTTGTTGCGGAAAGCACATGTCGAAGTCAAATGTACAAAACACACTATTTTCGGACTACTTTTGAAGGTTCAGATGTGGCTTTGCGTGGCAGTGGCAAGGAATTCTGCACCTTGCCAAAAGTGAGCAAAACGTGAGGGTTTTGTAGCATTTCCAAAAACGATGGCAGGCGTGGGACATTTGAAGAGGATCTGGAAAGATGCATTTTGCATGGCAGGCGCAGTACAAGAGACATGTTCATCAGAGATGTTAAGAGGTCAGGGCGCTGATTTCCTGAGAGGGGTTGCATTTTGGAGCATCAGATCTTTAGGTTTGCTAAGATGATGCTGCGTGACAATTGCAGCACTTCGCCTGGCCTCACTTTTTTGTGGCAGGCGCAGTACTGTAAACAGATGGAATTGAAAAATCGCAAAACGCATGGTACGAGGCCGTCAGCTCTGCACTCAACTTTCCATTTTTGAAGGAAGCCTTGTAGAATTTCTTCGTTTTTGATGTTGTCAACTTCGAAAATTGAGGAAGTCTCGCAGATTTGCTTCGTTTTCAAGCTTGCAGATAGACAGATAGATAGATAGATAGATAGATAGATAGATAGACAGATAGACAACTACAACTACCACTGCACTGCGGTTAGAACTGCAAATACAAATGCACATATACCACGCTATATTGCACTACACTACACTACACTACGCTACGCTATACAGTGCGCTGATTACACTGCACTACGCTACACTACACTATATAATTAGACTACAGTGCGCTGATTACACTGCACTACACTACACCACACTACACCACACTACACCACACTACACCACACCACACCACACCACACTACACTACGCTACGCTACGCTAGGCTACGCTACACTACACTACACTACACTAATTACACTAATTACATAGATTACCCTAATTACAGTAATTACGCTCATTACGCAAGATTTCACTAATTACATTAACTGCACTAATTACACTAATTACATTAATTACACCAATTACACCACAACAACCACAACAACTACAACTACCACTACTACTTCTACTTTTACTACTACTAGTACTATTACTACTACTACTACTACTACTACTACTACTAAAACTACTACTACTACTACTATTACTACTACTACTACTACTATTACTAATACTATTACTACTACTACTACTACTACTACTGCTATTACTACTACTACTACTACTACTACTACTGCTACTGCTACTCCTACTACTACTAGTACTACTACCACCACTGCTACTACTACCTACTACTACTACTACTGCTGCTGCTGCTGCTACTACTACTACTACTACTATACTACTATACTACTATACTACTATACTACTATACTACTATACTACTATACTACTACTACTACTACTACTACTACTACGTATACTACTACTACGTATACTACGTATACTACGTATACTACGTACTACTACTACTACGTACTACTACTACTACTACGTACTACTACTACTGCTGCTGCTGCTGCTGCTACTCTACTTCTACTTCTACTTCTACTACTACTACTACTAGTACTACTACTACTACTACTACTAGTACTACTACCACCGCTGCTACTACTACCTACTACTACTACTGCTGCTGCTGCTGCTACTACTACTACTACCTACTACTACTACTACTACCACTATACTACTACTACTACTACCACTATACTACTACTACTACTACTACCTACTACTACTACTACTACCACTATACTACTACTACTACTGCTACTACTACTACCCCTACTACTGCTACTCCTCCTCCTCCTACTGCTGCGACTGCGACTGCGACTGTGATTACGACTACGACTACGACGACTATATACGACGACTACGACGACGATGACGACGACGACTACTACTACTACTTCTTCTTCTAATTTTACTACTGCCACGGCCACAAGTACAATTGCAACTGCGCTACATTACGCTACACTAATTACACCACACCACAACTACAACTGCAACTACACTAGACTGATTACACTACACTGATTCCACTACAGCTACAACCCCACTACGCTACACAACTACAACTACAACTGGGCTACACCACGCTACATCCAGCAGTTGTGGTGAGGTGGCCACTGCAACCATTGCAACCACTCCAATTACTTTACTTCGTGTGATCCCCACCATGACATTTATACATTTTCTTACTGGCAAATCTTCTGGCATTCTATCTGACATATCTTCTGACATTCTATTTGGCATTCTATCTGGCATATCTTCTGGCATATGATCTGGCATATCTTCTGGCATATCTTCTGGCATTCTATCTGGCAAATCTTCTGGCATTCTATCTGGCATATCTTCTGGCACTCTATCTGACATATCTTCTGGCATTCAATCTGGCATTCTATCTGGCATATCTTCTGGCATATATTCTGACATATCTTCTGGCATTCTATCTGACATATCTTCTGGCATATATTCTGACATATCTTCTGGCATATCTTCTGGCATATCTTCTGACATATCTATCTGGCATATCTTCTGGCATATTTTCTGGCATTCTATCTGGCAAATCTTCTGGCATTCTATCTGGCATTCTATCTGGCATATCTTCTGGCATATTATCTGGCATTCTATCTGGCATATCTTCTGGCATATCTTCTGGCATATCTTCTGGCATATTTTCTGACATTCTTTCTAACTTTCTTCTGCACATTCTTTGTCCCATATCTTCCTACATGAGGTCCGGCAGGGAACACTTGGCGTGGATACTCGCGGTTGAGGTCCGGCAGGGAACACTGGGCGTGGATGGTCGTGGTTGAGGTCCGGCAGGGAACACTGGGCGAGGATGGTCGTGGTTGAGGTCCGGCAGGGAACATTGGGCGTGGATGGTCGTGGTTGAGGTCCGGCAGGGAACACTGGGGGTGGATGGTCGTGGTTGAGGTCCGGCAGAGAACACTGTGGATCGCGGGTCGCAGTTGAGCAAGGACGACGAGGACGACGAGGACGACGAGGAGGACGAGGAGGAGGAGGAGAGGAGGACGAGAGGAGGAGGAGAGGACGAGGAGGAGGAGAAGGAGGAGAAGGAGGAGGAGGAGGCAACTGACATAAAATCTAACAACCCTCACCTGGCAGGTGGGGAAAAAACACAACTCCAACCACCTTTCGGTCCATCAGCGGATTCGCTCTTCCATCTGTGATCCACAGCAACCAACCCCTCCTATAGGTTTCCTATTTCTGAAAAACTTCCGCCGCCGCCTTGTGCGGCACTACTGGTCTATATGATTAGTTAAACTTGGCAGTCAAAGTTCACATCCCTGAGCCTACCATCTTTGTGAACAGCCGCCGCTGTGCCATTGAGGAATCTCAGCCACATCCAATTCACCTCTCAAAGCCTGCCGTCGTTGTGCTCCTTGGCCCTGGGCCTCGCCCCAGCTAACTGGACCTTGCTATACCTCGCTGAATATCACTGCAGAAACTTGACCTAGGCAAGGCGATTGGAGAGCATGAGAACATTCGAGACGTGAGCCTTTGCGGTACAGGACGCGCCATGGGTGAAAAACCGTTCTAGCACTCCAAGATACCCTGCTAATGTAGCATGATTAGCGGGAAAACATCAAGAGCTACTGGTCGGTTTCGTATTTATAGTTTATAGATGTTTATGCTAGTGGGGTGAAAACCGGACCCTATCTTTACAGTTTTGTTTGTTGATGCACTTGCGAGCCATTTTGATGCTATGGGGTGGGGTGGGGGGGCGTATTAACGTTCATGTAGGCTCTAAGCAGAAACGACTGCGTTGATGTCAGGCATTCACAGTTGGCAACATATTACGTGATGGATTTTGTGTTGGCATAGATTTAATGTGATACGTCATGGGACTTGGGGTGGGGTGGGGGTGGGGGCGTGTTAACCTTCATGTAGACTCTAAGCAGAAACGAATGCGTTTGTGGAAAAGATGTTAGATGTTACGTTGTGGGATATGGTTGTAGTTAGGACAGATGTTACATGTTACGTTAAGTTTTGTGTGTTGGGCGGGTAAACATGATACATGTTACGTCATGGGGTATGGTTGGAGTTAGGACGGATGTCACATGTTACGTTAAATTCTTTCTGTAAAGATGTTACATGTTACGTTAAGTTCTTTGTGTTGACAGAGTAAAGATGTTACATGTTACGTCATGGGATATGGCTGCAGTTCGGACCGATGTTACATGTTACGTTAAGTTGTTTGTGTTGACCGAGTAAAGATGTTACATGTTACCGTATGGGATATGGCCGGAATTAGGACAGATGCGCAGCAGTGGCAATTGCGGCGGGTCCAGAAGAAACACTTGTTTCAGGCTACTGGTCGACAGTTGCACAAAGAAGCCTTTGGATGCCTTTGGATGAAAATGCTCCGGAAAAAACACCTTGATAAACAAAGCATACATATATCAAAACAAAATGGCCTAAAACCCAGGTTTTAGACACTCTTCCTTTCAGATGTGAAGATGCAATTCGCATGGCTTTGCCAATGCAAAATACACATTCGACTGTAAATAAAGGACCGGATAATCCCCCGGACGGATGTTTATAGTCACGGTTGTGTTGATCACTGCATTTTCCTTTTTGTTTGACAAGCCTGTCCCGGTTTGCTCTCAAAAACTATCGATAACTATCGTATCAATTCAGATCAGCTAACAAGATTTAACAAGGTTTTCCACAGAATCGCAATGATTATAAATGATCACAAACCAGATCCTATTTGCATGACCATGCTGGGTCTGAAGCAAGTGACTGCAATCAAGCAAGTCTTCGATTAAGCAACGCAGGAACAGAAGCACGGGAACCGGCTTTACTACTGTCATGCACATTTGTTCTTGTATGACCTTTCATGTATGCAGGCCATACAGGGGAACCAAGTTCGGGATTTTTGGGGACTGGTGGTTCTGCTGAACATATTGCCTGCTGCCATTTGCCGGAAAATTGCCGGCATTGCTAACCTGTTCAAAACCATGAGTCTTGGGCCCTGGTTTCGGCAGGACTGGGTAAGAACGGGCTGAGTGGACTTTGCTTGTCCGCCCTCTTCGTGAACAAACGCTTGGAGATGCTTGGCTCGGGGTCATGGTGACCACTTTGGTGCAAGGCTTCGCGGCTTAGCTTCGCAGATTTCCCAGCACCCGGAAACTCAGGAAACTGGATCTCAGCTGGAACCGCTTCAACCATGAGCAGTTTGCACAGATGGGTGTTTTGATTGATGCCACTGATCCTTGGTTTGAAGAGTTGTCGCAATGGGGCAAAGGAGTGGTAGTTGTAGTTGCGAATAAACTTGCTACAGGTAGCGGTACCTATCTAGCATATCTAGTCTCCCTTGCAATCTCGATGGAAGGATAGAAGGGCGGATACAGATCGATCAAATCGACAATTGAATAAATAAGGTGGGAGAAAATTAATTATAGAAGATCAGCGGGTTCCACTATATATTCAAATTGCAATCTCCAAAAATATCAACGTATTCTGACCCTGGGCCATCCTGGGCCCCCTGATAAGATCAGCACCCAAGGGCCCTAAGCCTGGCAGCTGTGTTGACCGCCAGGATATCGAAGAGCTTGCGGTTGACTACTGCTCCTGTGGCATAGAAATTAATTTGTGCTTGAGGGAGGCCCACCTTGCGTCCCACTGCCTGACTGCAAAAACGCCATGTTTTTTTTCCTCCTCATTGGCAACCAACGAGGTGTATGATAATCAATTGATGGGCATATAGTGGGCATGGCATGCTAGTCATAGTCCATTTGAGGTGCTGCCTATGTTTTTGGAAGGGACAGTCCAGTGGCAGAGCTATTGGAAGGCCAGGTCTTTTTTCCCGGCAGATTTGGAAACCTTGCGATGGAGGCTTGCAGGCTATTGAACCTCGCTGCATTCTTTCCTGCAGGTACAATATGATAGGATCATTGGATATCATTGGTTGGTTATGGTTTTGAAACTTTGTTGACCATCCAGATGACTGTCGGTGGAGACAAGCATTGTCTTACCCGGGTTGATGCTACCTGGAGGGAGGAGATCCTTCAGACAGATGCCGCTATGACTCATATTTATAAGTATTTGATAGTGAGATTCAAAACCATCGATTTAATATGGTAAACTGTTTAACCCGATTAATAATCATGAACCCCAATATGACATAATGTAATATTATATACCTTACCATTAATGCGGAGAAAACATATAATCCCCAATGGTAGATGTTTTGGGGGTTTATCACATCATTCTCGGCAGGCCTGGCCAAAGACAAGAGCCTCCGGAAGCTAAGCCTGGTGGCGAACCGGGTGGACTTCCGATCTGCCCTTGCAACTTGACACCTGAACGTTAACTGCTTCGTGGTTTGGAAATGTTGGAAATACCTGGGATGATGATCCCCATGGGCCAACCATTTTCAGGAGGGTCCCACCAAACAGTTCACACCTTGACAACTTTGACGCATCCGATGCAGCGCGAGGTGATTGAAGATGCTCTAGACATGCATCCCACCTTGAAGGACCTGGGGAAATTGTCATTTTTCGAGCTGGGAAAACTCGAAAAGATGGAGGTTTTACGGTACAGGAAAAATCAATCGTAAAGGGGAACATTTTCCATTGTCATGTTTGATCATTGGAGGGTATGAGGAATTTCCCTGAAAAGAGACGGGTGCAGAACGGTGCTTGGCACTGTAAGGTCTTCATGGCAATCGCATTCCCGCGAAGCATGACAGGAAAGGCCCCCAACATGTCTCAACGTGTTGGTTGCATGTGCATATGAATTGCCGGTGGCTCATCAACTCTTTGTTGGGAATTTTGGCTTGATCTTGATGAGAAAGCTCTTCTGCCCGTGCCATGGTTAAACAGTACTTCCATGAACCCAACGTCATTGCTTGCGCTGAAGCTGATGGTAAGCCAGTGAAATGTGTGTTTTGGCATTCGGCAGAAGGCGCATGAAAGTGCCAAGTTTCTATGGTGTGGACCCTCCATGGTGATATTTGAAAGGCATGCAGCCTGCCAGACGTGTTAAGCGCATTCATGATCGGAGAAATGAAATTTGCACTGATAGTGGCTGCCAAAAAACAAACACGTATCTTCTGCACTGCTCGTGCAATTCATGCCGTCACCTGGTAACCCGTTGGCCAACCTGGGGCTCATGGTGCTTCCATGGTCCTTCCAGGACATCAACATGACTGACAACCCCTTGGGAGCCTTGGGCATGCGCAGCTTGTTGCGTTTGTTATCAAGGAAGGAGAATGCCTTGAAGCATTTTCAATCAGATGGATGCCACCTGGCCAGAAACATGCCAGTCTGGCAGGGCCGCTCTCGGAATATTTGTCGATATGATATTCTAAAGCTTTGTTGGAATCTTTCATCCAGACATTTCCTTTTGCTTCCCTACTTGAGCTTTGGAGCGATTGCCCTTCGGTTTGCTGGTGGAACCAATGTCAACCACTGGTACTGGTACCCATCCTTTGTAGAAGGACGCCTGTTTGGCACAGTTTAACACAACCAGGCGCAACTATAAGCACTTGTTGACTTTGTATATCTTTGTATCACATCCTGCGCTTCTCTGGTTCGCATTCATTGATCGATTCTATCATGTTTCGAAGTTGATCTTCCCTACCTTACTGTCGAAGGCCTTATGCATCCTGTGAACATCTGTGAAGAAAATAATGGCGCATTTGGACCTCCTTGCTTTTTGCCCATCATCATGGAAGATTCTTCATCTCCTTTCCTGTGGGGTTCCGTCACAGTCCGTCACAATGTCAAACTGTTAAATGCCATCCCTAAGCAGGTCAATCTGATCATATTTGATCAGTGAATTCAAGGACATCCCCATTGTGTTTTATTTATGATTATTTAAATATGTTTTTCCTATATTTATTTAAATATTATTTATCTATATTTATTCTTTGATATTCTCTATGTTTATTTGATATTTATCTACATTTATTGTCTATATTTCATATCAGAGCTGCGATGAATGACTCGGGCTCAGGCTATCAGGGAGCGACTGGCATGTTGGATGCAGAGGCTGAAGGCTGGGCATTATGCTGCAATGCTTCCAACATGTCCAACGTGTGTACGTTTTTTCCCCTTAACTTATGGTTTCGACATGAACTGAAGATTCCCTTGGGCTGAGGGATTATTATGGATTATTGAAGAAGCATCGGTTCCTACGTACTTGCTTTCACAAATTGAATAGGCTTTACGAGATCCTTTGAAGCCTTTGAGTGGCATTCATATATTTCAGTAATAATGATTTTTTGAAAGAAAATATACATATGTATATATATATATTTATATTTACATATATCTTGTCTTTTCTCAGACTGCTGAGACTGCTCAGACTGCTGAGACTGGACTCACAATAGCCAGTAGCCTTGAGGCTGTTCGGTCTACTCCTTCACCAACCCGGGTAGTCGGTCTTGTGGCTGCACGGAAATGACTTTTGACTTTCAAGGCCACTATCATTTCAAGATATGTCTATATAGATTTACATGATTTACTGCATATACTACATACACAATTGTATACATTTGTCAATTGAGTATGTATGTTATTGATTGTGAGTGTTGATAGCCTTGCAAAGTCATAGTCCAATACATGTTACGGAAGATTGAGACTGCGATGGGTGGGGTCATGCCGCATTCGCCTGGTGAGGTATGTGTTGGACTTGAGCCGGCCATACCACCGCAGCTTGCTGCGCATTTTGTACAAGACGGCTGAAGCAACGAAGATGCCCTTGGACAAGGCGACGATAACACAGATATTGACACCGCAATAAACCATAGGTAATTGCCACACACATTTCAATATCGGAGGGCTACTGTTTTTATCTGTTTTTATTGATTGTTTTTCCGTGTCGTTTTTTTTGTTGAGGATTTCTGTTTCCCTGCTTCTCTGCTTTTCTGCTTTTCCCTGCTTCTTAGCTTCTCTGCTTTTCTGCTTCTTTCCTTCTTTGCTTCTCCACTTTTCTGCTTTTCTGCGTTTTGCTTCTCTGATTTTTCTTTGCTTCATTGCTTATCTGCGTTTGTGCTTCTTTGCTTCTCTGCTTCTTTTTTGCTTCTCAAGCCTAAAACAAGCCAAAGGATACACTATATAGATAAACCCTAAACCAACCCTACACCAACCCTAAATATCCCTAAATCACAAATAAACCCGAAACATCCCTACACCAGCCCTAAATAAACCTAAAACCAACCCTAGATAGATCTTGAACCAGACCTAGACAAACCCCTAAATGCACCCTAAACCATAAAAACTCTAAAACTATTCCCAAAACCAACCCTTATTGTAAGACAACATAACCCTGAAGCACCCTAAACAAAACCTAAAACCAACCCTAACCCCCCCCAAAAAAAAACAAAATAACCGCCAAACCAACCCAAAATGAACTCTAGTTGCCAGGCCTTCGAGATCGTGGAAGCGAACCCGCCATATCAACACGCCAGCAAAAGTTCCGGCCTCTGGCAGGTGCCTTTGGCAAAGGGACCTTGGATGTGGCAATTTTTTGTTTCATGTTAATAAGGGGAATGGGGCAGAGCATTGGCAAGAACATAAGTTGAACATGTTCACTAGCCTTGATGGCTAAATGATATGGTTCTTTCATGATTCCAACCAAATGTTTAGTATGCTTAAAACATTGCCACATGTTTGATCTATTCGCTCCAGAGTGGAGCGCTCTCAAACTTCTTCCCTAAACTGACATCCATCACCATGTAAAGCCATGGGCTGGTTATCGGGTGATGTGGCAGCACTTTTCACAAACTTCTAGACTGTACAGAGGCATTTTTGAAAGAGCTTCAAAGGTGAAGATCAGTTCAAGAACCAAACCATATGCCATAGATCTTGGACTGCGACTGTTCCTCCATGTGCTCATCTCATCCACTTGGACGTTATGAGTGGCGCGAGGTTCCCACATCTGGGCGCTTGGTCTGCAACTTCAGCGTCGAGGCCCAGATCCAGTCGTCATTGTCAGGCGAGGCCATGGGAAAGTGGGTCCCTTTTAGTAGGTGGGCTGTTGTGGTGTGGGGATGGCATGGCTTGATTATGCATATATATATATATTACGTGTACTTATATCTTTCATACCCACACAGAGATAGATAGATAGATTAGATTAGATTAGATTAGATAGACAGAGAGAGAGAGATAGATAGATAGATAGATAATGATAGATAGATAATGATAGATAGATAATGATAGATAGATAGATAGATAGATAGATAGATAGACAGATAGATAGATAGATAGATAGGTAGATAGGTAGATAGGTAGATAGGTAGATAGGTAGATAGGTAGATAGGTAGATAGGTAGATAGGTAGATAGATTAGATAGATTAGATAGATTAGATAGATTAGATAGATTAGATAGATTAGATAGATTAGATAGATTAGATAGATTAGATAGATTAGATAGATTAGATAGATTAGATAGATTAGATAGATTAGATAGATTAGATAGATTAGATAGATTAGAAGATTAGATAGATTAGATAGATTAGATAGATTAGATAGATTAGATAGATTAGATAGATTAGATAGATTCGATAGATTCGATAGATTCGATAGATTCGATAGATTAGATAGATTAGATAGATTAGATAGATTAGATAGATTAGATAGATTAGATAGATTAGATAGATGATAGATTAGATAGATTAGATAGGTTAGATAGGTTAGATAGATTAGATAGATTAGATAGATTAGATAGATTAGATAGATAAGATAGATAGATAGATAGATAGATTAGATAGATAGATAGATTAGATAGATAGATAGATCGAGATTAGATAGATTAGATAGATAGATTAGATAGATTAGATAGATTAGATTAGATAGATTAGATAGATTAGATAGATTAGATAGATTAGATAGATTAGATAGATTAGATAGATTAGATAGATTAGATAGATTAGATAGATTAGATATATAGATAGATAGATAGATTAGATAGATTAGATAGATTAGATAGATTAGATAGATTAGATAGATTAGATAGATTAGATAGATTAGATAGATTAGATAGATTAGATAGATTAGATAGATTAGATAGATTAGATAGATTAGATAGATTAGATAGATTAGATAGATTAGATAGATTAGATAGATTAGATAGATTAGATAGATTAGATAGATTAGATAGATTAGATAGATTAGATAGATTAGATAGATTAGATAGATTAGATAGATTAGGTAGATTAGATAGATTAGATAGATTAGGTAGATTAGGTAGATTAGATAGATTAGATAGATTAGATAGATTAGATAGGTTAGATAGGTTAGATAGGTTAGATTGGTTGGATAGATTAGATAGACTTAGAAAGATTAGATAGACTTAGAAAGATTAGATAGATTAGATAGATTAGATAGATTAGATAGATTAGATAGATTAGATAGATTAGATAGATTAGACAGATTAGACAGATTAGACAGATTAGATAGATTAGACAGATTAGACAGATTAGATTATTAGACTAGATTAGATAGATTAGATAGATTAGATAGATTAGATAGATTAGATAGATTAGATAGATTAGATAGATTAGATAGATTAGATAGATTAGATAGATTAGATAGATTAGATAGATTAGATAGATTAGATAGATGAGATGGATGAGATGGATGAGATGATGAGATAGATCAGGTAGATCAGGTAGATCAGGTAGACCAGGTAGATCAGGTGGATCAGGTAGATCAGGTAGATCAGATAGATCAGATAGATCAGATAGATGAGATAGATGAGATCGATGAGATAGATGAGATCGATGAGATCGATGAGATAGATGAGATCGATGAGATCGATGAGATCGATGAGATAGATGAGATAGATGATATAGATTAGATAGATGAGATAGAGTAGATAGATAAGATAGATAAGATAGATGAGATAGATGAGATAGATGAGATAGATGAGATAGATGAGATAGATAGATAGATAGATAGATTAGATAGATTAGATAGATTAGATAGATTAGATAGATTAGATAGATTAGATAGATTAGATAGATTAGATTGATTAGATAGATTAGATAGATTAGATAGATTAGATAGATTAGATCGATTAGATCGATTAGATCGATTAGATCGATTAGATCGATTAGATCGATTAGATAGATTAGATAGATTAGATAGATTAGATAGATTAGATAGATTAGATAGATTAGATAGATTAGATAGATTAGATAGATTAGATAGATTAGATTAGATAGATTAGATAGATTAGATAGATTAGATAGATTAGATAGATTAGATAGATTAGATAGATTAGATAGATTAGATAGATTAGATAGATTAGATAGATTAGATAGATTAGATAGATTAGATAGATTAGATTAGATAGATTAGATAGATTCGATAGATTAGATAGATTAGGTAGATTAGGTAGATTAGATAGATTAGATAGATTAGATAGATTAGATAGGTTAGATAGGTTAGATAGGTTAGATAGGTTAGATAGGTTGGATAGATTAGATAGATAAGATAGATGAGATAGATGAGATAGATAAGATAGATAAGATAGATAAGATAGATAGGATAGATAGGATAGATAGGATAGATAGGATAGATAGGATAGATAGGATAGATAGGATAGATAGGATAGATAGGATAGATCGGATAGATAGGATAGATCGGATAGATCGGATAGATCGGATAGATCGGATAGATAGGATAGATAGGATAGATAGGATAGATAGGATAGATAGGATAGATAGGATAGATAGGATAGATAGGATAGATAGATAGATAGATAGATAGATAGATAAATAGATAGGTAGGTAGGTAGGTAGATAGATCACAGGGGCTATATATATATATATATGTATATGTGTGTGTGTGCGTATTTTTGTGTGCGCGCGCTTGAACCACTGTATGTATGACTTTACATGACGGGTAAGGACGTTTTTTGAATCCTTTTGACATGTTTGACCCTTCACAGTTTTTGCAAACTTCGGAGAGGACTGGTATTATAGCGAGACAATTGAGAAAGCAAGGAACCCCAAAGAGCACAGACTGCTGCCAGGTGTTGATGATGATGACTACTTGGGCTTTTTGGATACGCACTTCGAACTTACTCGTTTCAAGGAGCTTGGGGGAGACTGAAAGATGTAAACTGAAGGAAGACCCGGAAGACTGTGGAGTTACCAAGGTGGCAATTCATTGGACTTGTTGACGCTTTGCTACACTCAACCAAAAGCTTTAAACGATTTTAAACGCAGATCTCGCAGAGCAGGATTTATTGTTATTGACTGCGGGATGCGGACACGTGAGACACGTGATTTGATTATGGATGTGTAGTTTTTCACATTTTTTCACCATGCATTTATAAGAGGCCGACCGGCAGAAGATCACGGCACTCTTCGCCAAGTGGTTGGAGTTGGAAGGCCTAGCATGGGCTGGCCGGCCATCAGCGAGCATCAATGTAGTTCAAACCAGTGGACAACAGGTGGAGGGTTTACGACGTTTATGAGGGTTTCATCATTTTTCATTTGCATTTTATATGCTCTTGTCAGCATTGGTGTCCGCGCAAGAATGCGCAAAGCGATTGCATAGACTAATAGATGATGATTTAGTATGATTTTACATATGTGTAATATATATATATATATTATATATCACCATAGCGGAAAGATTGCTGCTAATGCTGGGGATGCCCAGGGTCGGACCGTGTTTTGTATCTTTGTCAGATCATGAGTACTCCCCTCCACAAGCGATTTCGAAGCCTGCAGGACGCGAAGAAGATCAATCTATTTACTTGCAGGCTTTGGCAAAGGATTTCAACATGTTCCTTGTCGGACTGAATGCTGCGCCTGGAGGAATATCATTCTTGGAAGCAAGTTGAAGCAGTCTGAAGCTGGTCTGAAGCTGCATAATGCTGCATATTATTTAGCTTACACAGTTTGAATGCACTAAGTCAGATAGTTATTGATGTTGTTGCAAGAGGAGATCCATACATATGGTGAAGTATGATGAAGTGGGCTCATTTCTGTCCAAGTTCGCCTGGGTTGAAAGATGCTACAATAATCATGAAATAGAATAGATCACTGCTGGCTGACGACTTCATAAAGTACTGGACATCCATGATGACACGCATTCATTTACATATATTCGCAGTGGGATGCACGCAAGGAACACGCCGGGCCTGGATGAGTCGATGAGAATGAACAGCTGGTGTGATAGTAATTTTGCATAAGTTTGATGCTTTCCAGTTGGTTGAGTACCATTTCATGATCGGTCGAGTACCCTTTCCGTTCCGGAAGTGCGGAAGAGATATCCCCTGTTTTCAATCCGATTGGGGGTTCAAACTGACCGATGGTTTACTCATCCAGCTCCATGCAGCGAAGGTCCTTACCCTACTTGGGATATTTGTGTCGAAGTTCACCTTCCAGCGTGCGCCGTACCATGAAGACCATGTTCCCCAGCGTGCCCAGCGACGACCAGCTCCCCAGCGAGAGTGAGGGTCTTCCTATTGTTTTGACACGTTTTGGGCAAGCTTCAAGATTTGATTAGACCGGTTCACCTATAATTATTGCACATTGCACATGACAATGTGTGACACTCTTAATGCTCAGATTTTTGGGGCAATCATCTGCCCTTGAAGGGCAATCTATCTTGCCATGCGCCTGCGTGTGAAGGTCACGGTACTTGGCGATGCTTTGTTTGCCAAGCCTGTCGGACTTCTACACATGTTATCCTCGCAGCTCGACATTGACATGGCACGACCAACTTGCGAACAACAACTGTGCACTTAGAGGCTTAGAGGGGAGTAAAAGTGCATGGAAATGGGATCTTAAAGGGAAGTAAAAGTGCATGGAAATGGGATCGCGTGGGGCAACTGCATGGAAACTATTTGAACTGTGAGCCCCCTTGACTTGTTTGACCGACTAGCTTGCTGACCGGCTGACAAGATGCTACCAATGGTACATGACACCCACAAGGATTGACACGGTCATTTGACCGACATCGTTTGAACATGTTTGAACATGTTTGAACTATTCCGTTCAGTTTGGGGTCGTCCAGTTCTCCAGCCGGAAACCCATCCCATGACAGCCCAGTGAACAAATGACACAGTCGATGACACAGTCGGACATCTCCACGTCCGAAAGTTGAGTGGGTCAAACCACAAGCCACCAATTGGATCCAATTGGTTTCTTGACATGGACCCAATTGTGCTGGCAAACCTGCACCTATCCGATCTTCACCGTCTCAGATGTCTCAGGTATGGAGGCCTTATTGACGTTCAACGCACAAAATGCCACCGGTCACTACTCCTTGGATCTGGGAAACAGCTCCCCGGAAGGAGATGGTACACGGACATGCTACAATTTGACAATGCAACCCCGGAAGCACATGGCGGATGGGGATCTATGAATCTCGGGATGTTTGAAATCGGTATGCAATTTACATCAATTTACCTGCATCCTGTTGCACTGTCCATCCAGAGAGGCAAAGTAACAACTTGACTAGACATGTCATGCAAACTCTGAGCAGGTCAGCAGGCCTCGCTGTTTCTCATTGTTACCCACTGTTTCTCACCTATTCATCCTAGAGTGAGCCCTCCACGCAGCCCCAAGATGCCCCAAGGTTGTGAATTTGCAGTGGCTCAGCGACTGATCCTCCTGGATCGTTGGGAGGCCGTGTGCAACAAGCGCCGGCAGCGTGTTGACATCTCTGCCACTGGCAACCGCTCACAGCTACGAATCTTGGTCGAAATGGTCGTGGTTGGCGTAGTTGCCAACAACATGATGATCGATTTGGATCGATTTGGCACTGGATATTCACGTCGCTTCGCGACGGCAACCGCCCGCACCGCATCGTTGGGCTCACACAGCAGGGGCATTGAGACCAAAAACATCCGAAAGTACTGATTGTCGGGAAAAAAAAACGCGAAGAATTTGATGGCCATGTAGCGGACCAACGCAGTTCAAAAAATAACTAAAAACATGAAAAAACGGCGAAATTGCTGTTATTTACAGTGTTTTTGCGCGGTGAGAAGCAGAAACCACTGCAAATACCATGGTTTTTGAGGGTCAGGTGGCCAAAAACACTGTAATTTACAGTGTTTTTTTAACCAACGTCAAAAAACACTGGTATTTACGATGTTTTCATTCACACCGTAACATAAAACAGCGTAATTTACGAGGTTTTTGGAAGTTTTGAAGCTAGCCGTCAAGCATGCAGAAAACAGAAAAACACTGTAAAAACCAGTGTTTCTGCTATCACAAAACGACGAAAATCAGTCCGAAAACGGGTCCAAAAACTCAAAAATCCGCCTCCGGGCCAGGCCACCTGCGGAACCGCAAAAAAAGATGTTGCAAACCAAAAAATTGAAGTCAAAAAGTTGAAAAACACGGGGTTTTTTCACTTTTCGCTTGCCGTTTTGGACGGGCGCGTTCACGAACAGGTGTCTTCTGTACTGTTTTTTACAGTGTTTTTTGAAGGCGAGCGTCACGACCTATCAAAAACAGGAGGTTTTGGCCGAAAAATGCCCCCCCCCCCTAGGTAAACCTGTAACCTTTTACGAGTGCCATCCGGAAGATCACGCCCCAGCACCTTCGGTGCGGGCGGATTTCTAAGGCCTCCAAGCCATGTCCAAGCGAAGGTTGATATGATGCAAGCAGGAACAAGGTGAAGTGGATTTGGAGTCGTCATGTAATGTCAGGTCATGTCCACACTTCATGGGACAGCAGCATGTTTGCTTACCTTGCTAAGTATTACAGTAGCATTGATGTTGACCAGAGGTGGTGAAACTCAGCCGAATAGAACACAGGAGAGATTTATGAGAGATTCCGCCATTTCTGGGCCCTACTCGTTGATCATCGTTGATCTTCCAATGCCTTCACCAAGCACCACTCAGGCAACGAGAACCATCAGGGAAGACCTTTGCTTCTTCGAGTGCGATCTGTGGCTGAAGCTTTGCTGCAGATCTGATCGGCCAGGAAGTACTATAATATATATATATATCACTGGTCGTTGATGCATGCCGTTGCCAGACCTCACCAATTAGATAATTATAGACAGGAGTTGGAAGACTCAGCAGACCTCAGCAGCATTGACTTTGTAATCAGGTTGTCCATTGGATTGGGGATGGTTTTGCTATGTGTTTCTATTCTATGTTGTTTCTAGGTCTTCCATTGGATCACTTCAGGAGTGGAGTTTGCCGGAGTATGGGATTTTTGAATTGGACTACGTGAGCTGTTACCGACCGCCTGCTCGTGCGAAACCCTTGAGCGATGAGCTCTGGGAGTCATTGATGGTGTCCATGTACAATTGCAAGGAGAGCGGGGACAGTGCTCGAGAATCGCATGCTGACAGATGAATATATAAACTGTCTCAATGCTGACGCGCATGATAGGAACAGTGGTTTCTAAACTAAGTGCATCCTTTAGGATATATTTGCTGCTTTTCCTTGGTGATTTGGTTGCTTGTGCAAAATATATGGCCGGGCTGTCAGACGATCAGGCCGAGAAATTATGGACTCGTGGATTGTTTGCTTCTTTAGAATGCTGTTATGTCAAAGTGTCCCGCTGTGACAATGCCTTTTGCTTTCAGACATACATCATTTTTGGGGAAGAATTTACCATGTGTGTCATGGCACAACCAACATGTTCCCCACCAAATGTCCGTGTGCATCCGCAGGAATTCCGGCCGGAGGACAAGCTGAAAGCTCTTCGCAGCATCTCCCATTTGATCTTCATCACTTGCATGCACATGCGCCAGATGGTGGGTCGCTTGGCACCGATCTGCACTGATGGTATCTGATGGTGACCTTCCGTCACCTTCCTTGGTCAGAAGCTTCGCAGCTTCTTTGCTGCCATGCTGCTGTGAGGCTACTTCAAGGAGACTTCACACAGAGAAGAAGCTTTCGTGACATTTTTCCCGCGTGTTGTTGATATGCAGCTTGGACAGGGTTTTTGCGTGTCTTGTGCCCGTAGAAAGCATCCAATGTGTTCGGTGATGGCGGGGTATGGCGGGCTCCAATTTTGGTGCCCTTTTTAAATAAGCAATGTACACATAATACTGGGTATATCAAACACATACCAGTAATATATTCAATATACAATAATTGAAAGAAATGGAGGTTTCCTATACCCATTCTTTCAGTTGTTTAGTATCCTTCCTTACAGGTCAACATGTTGCCACTCACTTGTTTGGCTCAAGCATGGCGAAAACAGGTTGCCGCCGCTGCCCCTTGGTGTCACCGTCTTTGTTTAAATCCTCTGTTGTTTTTGGGGTGTTGTTACTCAAATCAATTGGTTATCAGCCGCATTTGCTCTTGTTTGACCGTTTTTGGGGATTTCATTTCATAGGCTGCCAGGTGCCTCAAACCTGGCACACATGTTGCGTCGGCCGTGACCTGTGAATCTTTGTTGGCAAAAGGCTGGAACAGGAACCATGTCAGATCCAAACTCCTCATCCTTGAGCCTGTCATCCGAGTCCATCGATGTTAAGGGAGGTGCAGTCACAGTTCATTCATCTCGAAGCCGAAGTTCATCCGGGACTCCAAAATCAGGAGGACGGTCCTCAAGAACAAAACAAGTTTCAACCGTGAATCAGCCTCGAAAAGTTTCTCAAGTTATCAAGCGCTTGCCAAAGCCATCAGATCATGAGCGTGCCATGTCACCAGTTCCTCTTGTGCATAGTTCCGCATCGGCCTCCCAACCTACGACTTGCATTCCCCAAGAGTCTTGTGGTCAGCCTGATGCCCGGATCCATCATTCACAGACGGTCCAGTATCATGATAACCGCACTCAGCAAGTGAATGTTGGTGTTGATCCCATGGATTTTGCCAACATGGTCTCCGAGGCCAAGAGGGTTGTTCAGGAATCTGATGAAAGAATCAAGGGGTTGGAAGGCTTAGCCCAAGATGTGTACAGCCAGGCTTGTTCACGTATTCAGGAGTTGCTTGGTGTTGTTGAGAGCCTTCAGCTATCAAATCAAGGATTTCAAAATCAGATCCATCAATTAAATTCAGAAGTGGCCAATGCTCGCGCTCAGTTGGAGCTTCAAGCCACTCGGATTACGCATTGGGTAGAAGAGTTGAGTGCTCCGCCAACACGTTAGACCACAAAGAGGGCGAAATTTCACGACTGATGGATGAAATCCACCAGCTGAAGGATTCGGTCGACTCCCAACGTCTGGTTTTGGAAGCAGCGTCAACGCTGTCAACATATGGAGATGAGTTTGGCTGCACGAAGCGCCGCTCAACCAGTTGATCAAGTCAGGTCTGATGCTCCACCTCCTCCGGCTTTTTCAGCGCTATTGCCGAAGCTTTGCAAGATCTTTCGACTCGTATGTCAGCGGTTGAAGATGCTCAAGAGGTTCATGCCGATCAAGTTCAGAGCCATAATAGCGCGGCAGTGTCTTTTCCGTTTCCGCCTTCTGGTCTTCCTCCAAGACCTCGTTCTTTTCCAGCACTTGCCGGATCAGGGGGGCCAGGGTTTCCATCAAATGATGGCGGAGATGGTTTTGACGATGAAGATGAAGAATTAATCCCTTCTCCCTAATACTAAACGTCCCCCCCTAATAATAAACACGGCAGGTAGTTTTTAGTATTAGGGTGGTATTTAGTATTAGGGAACAACCCAAATACTAAATTAAAACCCTTAAGAATAATAATTATTTTTCTTATCTCAAAATCAATTAAATTTCCCTATATAACGCAATTAAAATATTGCCAGAAATTGGATTTCGAAGCTTCCCCCTAATACTAAATTGAAACCCTAAATAATAAAAACTATTTTTCAGATTTCAAAATCAATTATAACGCAATTAAAATATTGCCAAAAATTGGACTTCGAAGCTTCCCCCTAATACTAAATTAAAACCCTAAATGATAAAACTATTTTTTCAGATTTCAAAATCAATTAAATTTCCTTATGTAACGGAATTAAAATATTGCCAAAAATTGGATTTCGAAGCTTCCCCCTAATACTGAATTAAAACCCTTAATAATAAAAACTATTTTTTCCGATCTCAAAATCAATTAAATTTCCCTATATAACGCATTTAAAATATTGCCAAAAATTGGATTTCGAAGCTTCCCCCTAATACTAAACACCCCGGGGTTGACTAGTTTTTAGTATCAGGGGGGGAACCCACAAATGGTAGGTTGATTTTTAAATTGTTTTCTAAAGGGGATCAATTAAAAGTCAAATTGTCCAAATTGAAATTTTCAGAAATTGGAGATGGACGCCTGTTTTTAGTATTTGGGGGACGTTTAGTAATAGGGAGAGGGGATTAGTTCGAGATCGCATGCCCCAAAGCTTTACCAGTCACAGGGATCTAGTTGAGAGGGACATTGTGGATGATCGTTCGCTTCGGTATGCTACATTAGGTCCGGTTCCTTCCAGCGCTTCGGATTTCAGAGCTTGGAAAAACCAGTTGTTGCTGATCATGGCAAAAGTTGGATATCAGTGATAGGGATTACTTAGCGCATTGGCTTTCCAAAGCTTATGAAGTGAATTCCGATGAAGTAATCAAGCATGATTCTGGTTGTGTTCCGCGTTTAGATCGTTGGTTGGCAGCTGAAATTTCAAAAGGTTGTGAGATTGTGCCTGAGTTGCAGGTCAAGATCATGGGGTACATTGAAGGACGCACTCGAATTGGAAACCCTCCCAGGGGCAGATACTTGTTGCACATTGTTTCCAGGCATTTTGACATTGATCGCACTCGTGGTTCGTTGCTTACTTCGCAATCGATCTTTCAAATAGAGCTTGATGGTTACAGTGCCAAGCATTTGCTAAGAGTTTTCAGGTCGTGTCCTTCGCACTTTGAATAGGGTGCCGCAGGAAGATTGGCCGTCTCAGCGCATGATGGGTGAGTGGTTGTTTCATCAGTTGAGGCAAGTTCGCAAGTTGGAAAGGGCCATTGATGAGATCAAGAGAAGCGATGCTCAGTCGCCACTCCGTGATTTTGATCATCTTTGGAATAGGTTGCAGGAACACTTGCTTGAGGAAAGAGAGGACATCAATGCGCAATCACTTGAAAATTTGTTGAAGTCCAGCTTGCCAAAGAAATTGTAGCCCGACAAGCCCACCAGTGCGCCTGCTGCCATTGCTCCGCCGTCTGAATCGAAGACCTCCCCAAAAGGTAAAGCAAGGGAAAGGGAAAAGCAATGACAGCAGAGCAAAAGGCCAAAACAGCCTGCATCTTCTATAGGATGCCTACCGGATGCGTCCATGGAGAGAAATGCTAGTATCTCCATGAGCCTGCTCCCTCACCTTCCTGAGGATCAGGGGGGTTTCATCCATCCAATTGTCAGCAAATCCCATGAAGTTTGTGCTGTGCCGAGCTTAGTTGGATAGGAGCGTTGTGGTTTGCCGATTCTCCTGGCTGCTTTTGGATTTTCTCGTGGGAGGCATTCAGCTTCTGGTTTTTCAGCGTCTTGTTTCTTCTAATTGCCGGTCGATCCAATGAAGTTTGTGCTGTGCCGAGCCTAGTTGGATTGGAGTTTTGTGCTTTGCCGATCCTCTTTGCCGCTTTTGGATTTTTTACCTGTCTCGTTTGTCATCGTCTCATTTCAACATTTCGTCAAGGCCTCAGTGGTTGCATGGTCTTCAGACTTTATCTGCTAAGCAGCTTTCATCAAGTGCGTGCTTGTCGTTCTTCCGCTCTCGCACTCGTCAGTCAATTGGGCGCCATGTCAATGTCAGCGTTAAGTCAATCCTAAGGATTTCAATCATGGAGGCAGTTCATGAACTTCATTGTCTTCAAACTCGTTGACCCTGTTAAGCATTCAACGATTTAGGCTAAGCCTGTAAGGTTAAATCTGTCAATTTTGTCAGTTCAATGGGCTTGTGCTTTGTCATCCTCCATTGGGCTTGAGTGCATGATGTGCTAAGATGTCATCCGCCGTTAGTTCTCAGGTGTCAACCTTTTGCCATTTGTCACCACCCGGGTGTGGCAAGTCGCTGTAAGCACAGCATGGATGCGACTAAGTCTCATCTGTGAACTTTTCATCCATTGGATTTTGGTGAATCATTTCTTGTGGATATGTCATTGGACTCTCATTGTCTTATCTTCGAGTCTTGTATTTGTGCCTAATGGAGGTTGGCTGCGACAGCGCCGCCCCCGCATCCGCGCATCGGTAATTCATACTTGCACGGCATCCGGTTGGATTTCATGCATTGGTAAATAAAACATCCGTTTAGGATCGCGTAGGATATTCGTCAGATTGCCTTAATCCTTTTCCGGCATAATGGTGATTGGCTGCTCCGGCGCCGTGCCAACATTCTTTTGGACTTCATGCATCCGTAATTAGATTGGATTTCATGCACCCGTAATTAAGCATCCGTTAGGTGCACGGATAGAAATTGCCAGGCATGGAAGATTTCCTAGTGGAATCATCACATCTCTTGCCTGGAATCATCAGCCGAGTCGTGAGACATAGTAATTAGGCATCCGTCCGTAGGCCTGATCAACCTCGGTAGTATGCTATTTCATGTTTGACCCTGTACAGTTCATGATAAGGGGGGACTTGAAAGAAATGGAGGTTTCCTATACCCATTCTTTCAGTTGTTTCGTACCCTTCCTTACGGGTCAAAATGTTGCCACTCACTTGTTTGGCTCAAGCATGGCGAAAACAGGTTGCCGCCGCTGCCCCTTGGTGTCACCGTCTTTGTTTGAATCCTCTGTTGTTTTTGGGGTGTTGTTACTCAAATCAACTCCTATCGGTTTTAGTCAAGTAGGGGGGGTGGAACTTCCAGAGGGGGGTCGCATCAATCTTTGTTCTATGCAGAATTGCGTACAGACATGTTTCAAAATATCACTTATTTGATTCGTTTTTTGTGGCCATTCCTTGGGGAACCTGTTGTGAATAGTTAAGAAAGAAATCAATGGAAATCATGTTTGCTTCTCTTAGACCAGTAGAAACAGGTTGGTTTGCAGTTTGAATGTTGGAGATTGCCTTACATTGTCTTCCGCAATGCCCACCCTGGATTTCTTCAAGTGCTTGGCGGTCTGTGCCCTGCCAAGGCACAATTCCAAGCAGTTCACTGTGCGTTTTGACAGTCAGGAGTAGAAATCTATGGATTTTCTTTGGACGTGATCTACAAATGGCAGATTTTCCATATCTTATTGATTCTTATTTGTAGGTTTACTGGAGGGCACATGAATTTGCAATACTTTAATTTTACACGGATTCAGCAGTCTTGAAATCTATTTTTAGGTGGATTGATTGATAATTCACTTCCAATTGATCGGGTTTAGAGTATTTACCGTGGCTAGTTGGATTTTACTCCGATTCATTGACGGTCGGAACAGAACCTGCAGTTGAATATGTTCAATGAAATCAGAAGTGCTGGGCAACTAGTCCTTCGTTCCATGACCATTGCAAGATGGTGAGAGTCCAAATTCGTTCGGGTCAAACATCCCATCAAATTCATCGAAGATGATCAAAACAACATCATCAGTGAGTTGATTGGTCGAGTCTATGTTGATTTTGTCACGTTTTTACAAGGAGGGCACGATCGTGACTTTTTCGAAGTCGGAGCTTTCCCAGATCCGGAACCAAATCAGGGCCATTCTTTTCCAGGACGAACTACAGCGACTGAGAGGTCGTCTCGGTTTCGTGACCTCCTTCCCTTTTCTTCAGCCAGAGAACACGACCTTTGTCGCTGGGCCTAGAAGGGCAAGGGTGAGCCAAAAAAAGGGATGTCAACAAGCGCCTGCTTGTTGGTTTCCGTGTGAGTCTTCCATAGCCAACTATAGAATCTATTCGTTATCATTTGGCTAGGGCGCACTTTTCTGCAAAACAAAGAGTGTCAGCATCATGATTCTGCTGCTGATGGCCCCCTGTGCTATGTTTTAGCTTGCAGCTTCTATTCCAGATATTCCAGTGGGCTGATGAGCTTGCGCACCCATGGCAGTCGAGGTGCTGAACCTGAAATACAACGACCAGCGGCTGTGCTGCTCCATGTTGGTGGACCTGGCGTTGCACGAGAAGTTTGGCACCATGGTATGGGCTGCAGATGGCGGATATCGTAGGCAGTTGGAGGTGTTGAAAAAACCGGGGAGTGTTGCATTCTTGCTTGGAGGAATTTGTCCACCGGCCCACTTTTTGGGTCTCTTTGGATGAACTAGTTGTTGAAAAGAAACCGTCAAGTCCAATGAAAACCGCAAGATTAAGTTGCTCATGTGGCAAGAAGGCACCCCCTATTGGCCCAATTGCTCGTTTTCCCAAGTTTCCTGTAACATCCTGTAGCCTTGCTTTGTCAAGCCACGGATCCACCGAGGTAACCTGCGTGAGTCCCACATGGTCAGTGAGGATGGGGTGGCGGATCCCATGACCATGGGCGTGCCTCGAGGCTGGGCGGATTTCGCCAAGGTTCCCAGCACTGGAACATTCAGCTGCAAATATGTCACTGGGCCAAGATGGGCCATGTTGGGCCATGCAGAATTCATCACCCATTTCAGGCGAATCGATAGCATCTATGGGTGATTTATCGATGGTAATCCAATGCAATAATCCACCAATTTGGATCCATTTATATAGGGGATATATGGGGATACATATATATATATGTGTTACTATATATATATATACATAATTATATATATATGTTACTATATATATATACACGGATGGCATGGCTATATGCTCATGTCCTGCAGCCTGGAACGGCTGACTCAAGGGCTCCCGTCCAAGGTCTGTGCTCCGGAGGATCGCCAAGTGGATTTCCGCAACTAGGGCAGCAGTGTTCAACACCCCTGTTGGTTGATGATTACCCTCTGGTAAACTAACATAGCTATTGAAAATTGCCATTTATAGTGGATTTTCCCATTAAAAATGGTGATTTTCCATTGTTATGTTAGTTCACCGGAGGGTAGTTGGGGGATTATTGATTATACTAGCCTTTAGGTTTTGAGGATTATTTACATATAATATATCATAATAATCCAATTGGGAAATCCCTATAAACCAGTATAATGGAATCACAGAGGAATTTGAACACTGCTCAGGTGTGATTTGCATAAGCAGGCTGGTCTACAGTGCACATGGAGTCTATTTTGTAGCGCATAGTCCTTCATCCATTTTCTCCAACGGAAACTGCCTTGAGGCAAAAAGTTGTCACAGACATATGGCTTCATCAACACCACCTTCAGCGAATCAGACATCGCATGGTGGACAGGCAGGTTTTGATCTGTTTCAGATGAATACCTATGAATAAGTATGAATAATATATGGGTATGGGTCAATACCTATAGCTAGATACATTTTTAGTGGGTTATTCACATCAATAAATCCCAGCTATTTTGAGGTGAACTACAGGGGTACTATTGGTTTTGACACACTGCCATATGTTTTGGGACGGGGCTGCGTAGGTATGGGTGGATTCAACCAGCATCAGGCCTGAACGAAGTTGGCGAGGATGTCTTGGACCTTTTGGAGTTTTTCATTAGCCGCTACAACCATGTGAACGAGGCCACCTGGTGGCTATGAAAAAATCTGTTGTGGTGTGTGATCTTGATGATTAGCGGCTGTAGCGTTGACTTTTTGGAATAGCTGTTTTGTGAGAAGTCAGGTAGGTTTGCTTGAAAACTACTTTTTCAAAGCAGCTGGTAATTGCACCCATGTGCATTCATATGCATCCATAACTCCATAACTGGAAGGCAGCCAAAAGTTGTTTCAAACAGTACTGGTCGTCACAGCATATCAGAACATTCTCTACAAGGCCCTTTTGGCCTGCTTCCTTCTCGCCAAATCGACAGAGAGCAAAGTGAGACCGTGGGACTGCGTCAATCAAGTCCGCAACGTTTCGCAATGTTTCGCATCTTCATGTTGGATGTATCAGTACATAGGTGTGCAGCAGATGATACGATAATATACGATAATTAAATTGTTGTAATATTGTAAGGCCGAGGGAAGGGATTCTGATAACTAAACCAGTTGAGGCTGCTTTATTCATTGCAGGGGACATCAGGGGACCCTGTCAGATCCTGTAAGGTGGAAAGGTCAGTTGCTGGACCCAACTCCAAGCCCTGCCTTCCAGATTCCACACAGGCTTTTGCGCACATCGATGGCGGTGTCCGCGGTGCGGATGGTGGCGGCAGCAACACTACCAGCAATGGTGAGCTCACATTGCATCTGGGTTTCAATCGTGGGTGGCTCTATTGTGGGAGTCCCGGCTCACACGGACACGATTCCTTGATGGTACCCTTAATATCACTTAATCATCTCCCTTCACATGGTTGCTTTATATTGTGATGTGAGGCTTTAGAGGTTGGAGCCTTCCCAATGCAAAAGACAGCAGCTACACTGGCCTCAAATTTAGCGAATGGGATGATGTGTGGCCTGGTTTATGTCCTGTAGTGAGGACGCATGGCCTTGTCGGGCTGTTCGCAGTGTTTAGCTCGACCTGTGAGGCGTGAGTTTGAAGCAGGGATCCGAGATATTGGCTGTCACAAGTTCCTTGGTCGAAGACGAGCGAAGAGATTTGGACACGAAATACGATTCGATGCTACCCGTATAGCCCTGTAGCATTAAATTAGCATTAGGTAGTTTCATTGGCTGCAGTTCACCTTCCAAATGGTGCTAAATGATTCCGTGTCATGCTAAATGGATCTCCAGGTTTAAGGGGCCAAACGAGAAGGAGCGCATTGCAGCTGTTTTCAGGCGGAATGGGCTATGGCACCGTGGATATGTTGACAAAGGTGGCCCTAGTTGTAGCATGTTGCAGGAGCTCATGTGTGACTCATGAGTAGTTGAACTGCAGTGGTCTGGGGATGTCTCGGGATAGGTCCAGTGATTCAAAGTTGGAGACTCATGACATACACATACACACAGAATCACAGAGATCTTTTATGCTTTGTGGTCCTGTCTCATCCTAAAAGGCTTGCAACAGATGAGCAATTCAGGTGATGTTGACATATTCTGACGATAGAATCTTCGGAAACTTCATCCCAGGTACCTAGATCCTGGAGGCGAGGGCAATGTGTCGCTCCAAGAGTGGCAGATTTTGGACCAGCTGTGGAAGGAGCCACTGGGCAGCGCTTGGAAAGTTGCCTCCAATGATATTCTCATGTGGAAATGACATGAAATGACATGAAATGACATGAAATGACATGAAATGACATGAAATGACATGAAATGACATGAAATGACATGAAATGACATGAAATGACATGAAATGACATGAAATGACATGAAATGACATGAAATGACAACCATGGCCCAGCTCCTCTCTTGGATATAGTTCCAAGTGGGGGATGATGATGATGGTGGATGTTCCATGAGGTTACGTCTGAAAGTATGGTATATGATGGTATATGATGGTATATGAATATTATATTATTCATTGAGTGGGGAAGATGATGATCAAATGACCAATCAGCAAATTTTGGGCTACCCGATTCTCAGAGAAACACATGAAGAAACCCATGTTTCGGCCCAGGTTTGTCCTGAGTATTCAGGTGCGAAGCAGGGGGTGCGGGGCGGAACTTCACCCAAACATCGGCTATCAGGCTATCAGGTTATTGTTCTTGTGCCCCAGGTAGCTATCCACCACAAAACAGGAAAGTTGGGAGAATTTGAACCTGAAGTGGTGCTTCTGTGAAGTCAGGGGAAGAATTTCAACTGCACCTTGACATAGAGAAACATCGATAAACATGAGACCCAGCTAGACCTGTACCTAGAGAGTTCGCTAAAAGCTAGCAGCTAGTTATAGCATGTTATAGCTAGTTCATCCCACTGATGGAAGACATCGAAGCCGGTGGCTCCACTGATTTGGTGAAGCTTGGCCCCTGGGAGCTCAACATTCCATCAATTTCCATCACATTCGCCCCACGTGGAGCAGTCTAACTGAGCATCCAAGTAAGGTCGAGCCCACCAGGTTGGCGGACGTAGTTCCATGCGAGAATTAGAGTTCACTGTCGCATTGGGGTAACTTCCATGGATCTCAGTAGGCAGCCCACCAGGTCACCAACCCGCAGCCAACTATCCAACAAACTCTACCATTTGATCCATTTGTATCCATTCGGATCGAATCAAGCACCCACAATACCCCTCCACCAACTCACCAATCATCATCTAACATCATCCAACATCATCTAACGTAGTCTAACATCATCTAACCATCATCTAAGGGACATGAGTTACAGTATGTTACAGTATGTTACAGTAAGATACAGTAAGTTATAGATAGTCATAGTCATAGTAATTAATTAAATCCTTTTCCACGCCTTTTCCGCCAGGAGTTTGTCCAGTTCTTGATCTACGCCTTCGGTGACGAGTTGGAGTTCGCCTGGGAGGAGTTGGACGACGATGGCAGCGGCGAGCTGTCGGAAGACGAGTGGTTTCAAGCGGTGAAGCGGATAGGACGCTGGTGGGAAGTCGAAATCCGAGCCTGATTTGTTTGAGACCATGGGCATTTTACGGGACTTTTCATGAAATTTCACCAAACGAAATGGGGGATTTTTTCCAGCCATGATCACCATAAGTTTCATTGAGTGTTGATATGACGCATAATATACTACTAAAACATGAAAACAAAAACATCCAATCCAATGTTTGCGGCACATGATGGTCAGCCGCACCCATCTATGGCGTCCATGGCGTGCAGGTTGAAATGACTGGCGGTGGATGGTTTTCGGTTGTGGTTGTGAGATGGATGGATCTCCTAACTTCCCATTCCTCGTGGTTAAATTTCCATTGTCAGTTTGGATCATTGGAATCAGAATCATTGGCAAGTATGGTCAAAGAAGGGCCGTACCCAAGCCATTTTTTCATGGCACCATCATTGGCACCATCCAATTACCAGTCATCACCATCTATCACCATCCTGCCGTCACCCCTGCAGCAGGATACTTTGGCCCAGCCAGGGTGGTCTTCGCCTTATTGGATGGCTCAGATGATGGAAACATTTCCTGGGACGAGTTTCGAGAATTGGAGAAGTGCCCGGGGACATCATGGGATGGGATCATGGGACGGGGGAATACGGGGGATGCTTGGCAACCCAGTGACCTAGTGATCCAAGCCAACCTGATCCAACCTCTTCCAAGCAGTTTGACCAGTAGATTCGATGGATGAAGTGGGGTTTGGTCCAACCTGGGGTCTTGAGCTTTTTTTGGTCAGGTACAGGCGCAAGAAAAAGACCAGATTTTGAATTTGCAATCCACTGGGAGAGTGGCAAGGTGGGCAATTTATGCGAAAATTTCATGAAATCATCACAATTATCACGATTCAGCTACTCACCAGGAAGCACATAGTGACTTCGCGGGATTTTTAAAGCTCGAGTCGTGAGCCTTGTAGCTTTCGATCGAGCCGTTTTCTTTGTGAAGGATCGCCTGCCAAAGCAACTGGGAACCAGCTTTGATCGAATGATCAAACCTGCAGCACCGAGGGGCCACAGAGTCATGGGGATTGATGCAGGGCAGGGTATAGAATGCACCCAAAGTCTCAAATATTCTCAATCGCTGGGTAGCAGAAAAGTTCAGACTTGTGGACCGGCGACTGATGGGCGATACACATCTCTACAGGGCGTCCCGAAGGGAATTCCGCTGAGAGCGAAGCGTGACCAGCTTTGCTAAATGGCAAAACTTGTCATGCAAAAAACTGATAAAAATGGGGCCTGATCCTGGAAGGGCTTGAAAGGTACAATCTAGCGATGTTTCTTGAAGATCTTGAAGATACATGTCGAGGACACGTTAAAATTGTGTCTGATCTTGTATGAGTTTCGCCTTTTTAACAGTTTACCGTTCGTGAGACCATCCCTATTTGCATATTTTGCACCATGTGCGGATAGCAATAGAGCCATATTTCAAGGAGGACTAGTTCGGCCTCATCTAAGAAAGCCGCCAAGCCCAAGTACACCCTGCACCTTGAACAAGCTAAGATCCACATTCAACATCATTCAACAACTAAGAAGATCGCTTGTCTTCCAAGGTCTTCAAATCCTCCGAGTCTTGCGCTGAGATCCTGCGAGTATGGTTGCTGAGCCTCTTGAGCCTGAGCCTGTTATCCCAAGGTCCGCTGACATCGATGGCGTGCCAATGACAGTCACCATGCTGCATCATGCTGCGAGCGGCCAGGGTCGCCATTGCACCAGTTGAGGGGCTTATGGTGATCGATCGCTTGCTTTAGGCGGTAGTTTTTCAATTACTTTTTCAGCTGGTCACAGCTCTTGAGGAACGATGTATCGATATGTTTCTAGGACCAGCAAAGCCATGCAACGCCATGCAAAGCCAACCATCAAAGCTCCAAGGCGCGAGAACTGGAGTTGGCAAAGCAGGCCCTTTCAGCCCTTTCACCACGGGTCCTGTGTCCTACTTCCTTCCGCTATCCTTCCACTATGTGTTGCAACAACGGGACGTGATACTGTATCCACACCTGGAATATATCAGTGTGTCTCTTCTGATGCCGTTTGGAAGCCTGTATGTACGAAATGATGCAGAATCCTCGTAATAATCATCCATACGTTTCCATACGTTACTAATCAATACTAATCATTGTTATCCTCATCAGATCGAACATGTTTATTGAGCCGATGGCCAAGTACATGCCATTGCATGCCACTGTGCTGCAGAGCTGGCAGGGCAGATGAAAATATAGGTTTGAAGACATTCACAGATCATATGAATCATGAGATATCATGATATCATGGAAAAAGGATGGAAAAAGGATGGAAAAGGATGGACTCTCAGAAAAACATGTCAGCATTTCAGAATATGCATGATGAAGCATGATGAAGCTGTAATTTTCCATCCTTTTGCTGGGTGGTGTCGCTGCCAGGCAGAGCTGCAGCCCCGGTGCACCCTGCCGCTGCTGAAGCGTGGGCACTTGGTTTCAGCACCACTCCACATGTTGGGGTGACGAGCTCCCAGCATTGTTTTTTTGACATGTTTTGTCTAAATATTGGCTCAAGCCTCCAGGTATCTCACTATCTCCATGTGGATCAGTCGATTTAGTGAAAAAAGTCAGGTGAGAGAGAGAGAGAGAGAGAAAGAGAGAGAGAGAGAGAGAGAGAAAAAAAGAGAGAGAGAGAGAGAGAAAAAAAGAGAGAGAGAGAGAGAAAAAAAGAGAGAGAGAGAGAGATGGTGATGGCATTCTCTTTTATTTTTTCCAGCCATGAGAGGTTCCATTTGGGATCCAGCGTGTCAGAAAGCTCGCATTTTGAAGCCACTTAGGCGCGCCAGGCGCAGTTGAAAGTGGAGGCAGCCTCGGTATGCCTCGGTCCATGTGGGAATTGAGTTGAAGATTCTGGTAGAGTGTAAGTCTTTTATTACATGCATACATTACACTACTTTACATTACTTTACATTACTTTACATTAATTACTTTACATTACTTTACATTACATTACATTTACAATACAATACAATACATACATACACATACATATACATATACATATACATACACATACATATACATACACATACACATACACATACATATATACATACATGTACATACATATATACATATATACATATATACATATATACATATATACATATATACATATATACATATACACATATACACATATATACATATACATATACACATACATAGCCATACACAGACACATCTACATATACATACACATACACATACATATATATACATACATACATACGTACGTACGTACGTACGTACGTACGTACGTACGTACATATATACATACATACATACACACACATACACACATACATCCATACATCCATACATCCATACATCCATACATCCACACATACACACATACACACATACACACATACACACATACACACATACACAAAATACACACATACACACATGCACACATACACACATCCACACATGCACACATGCGCATGCACACATACACATACACATACACATACACATATACACATATACACATATACATAAACATTTACATATACATACACATATACATATACATATACATATACATTTACATATACATACACATACACATACACATACACATACACATACATATACACATACATACATACATACATACATACATACATACATACATACATACATACATACATACATACATACATACATACATACACTGTGTATACTGAATGAAAGAACTAGATCAAACCCAACTGCAGTATGTAAATAAGTATAACTACTATACATGTTTTTGGCAGGGTCTGCAGACTCACTCGATGAGATGGCGATGGCGAGAGAGAGAGAGAGAGACATATGAGTGCTCATATGTTTTTGGTTGACTTCGATGGAATTGATGGAAGAATGGCTCTGATGCATTCTGATTGTTTGTGCTTCAGGCTGGCCAATGACTGAATAGCATGGGTAGGTTCCAAATGAAGTGCTGCTTGCTTTAGAAAACAAATATGCGACGGTGGGTGAAACTCTAGTCTGGAGCAGATAGTTTGGAACTTGGCGCTCTTTTGTGTCAGGGACATTCAGAGGTCGCAGGTTCACACATAATTACATGCAGACTGGTCACTTAGACAAGACCCAAATACAGAGGGGAGAACTACAGAAAGAAACAAATATGTGATTTATGTGCATCCAAGCTTGGCATATTCCAAATGCACTTGTAAACTACATATGTTAATATATACTATACAAAACCAGTTTCCTAGCATTTCCTAGGGGACAAGTCGCGAAGTGAAGCGATCCGTAGAGGGATAGATGTTCTAGGTTGGTAGGCCAGATAGTATCAGATGGATACAGTAGATAAGCAGGCAGGCAGATATGAGTGTTTTGAAGACGGACGTTGCTTGAGGGTGTGATTGTCATTGTGTTCAACGTGGAGATATCATTGCCCACAACTTGCGCATCGAAGTTGAAAGGCATGACCAACATGAAAAAGACAAAAATCCAGCCTGGTCTTGCGCATTTTTGCACACAATTGGGCAGCTTGGTAGACAAACACTCCCTCTGCAGGCACTGTTTTTTCTACAGTGTTCACACATCTTCTCTTTGTTGGTCTCAACTTTCACTGCGCGGGTTCCCAAGTCATCAAAACCATCCGGAATACGTCAGAGAGTGAAGGATGTATCTATGTCAACTACAGTTTGTATGTGTGCGTGGGTGCATCTATTTATTCGCGGGATAGCTTCAAAGTAGTGTAGAAACCCATCATCATCATCATCATCATCATCATCATCATCAATGCGCCGACGGGTATAAGTGCATAAGAATTATATAAAATGCGCCTGTTTCACAACCACTTTCTTTTGTGGCGCCAGCCGTTGCAGTGCTGCCATGGCACAGAGTGATGCAAGGCAGGCGGCCTTATTGTCCAGCGACTTGGATTTTTGTGCACCTACGATGAGGGATCGTTAAGGGATATTAAAGGGACAACACCCTGAACTTCCCTGAAATTGAGATGTGTATATATATATATAATATTTATAATTACATATATAGACATCATGGGTGTTGTGGGTGTGGTGAGGTGTGGGTGTAGGTGTCCTTGCTGTTGGTTATTGCATGTTGTTGCACCGATTTGCATTTTTTGATATTTGCTGTGCTCTGATTTGAATCAAGCATCAGAGTCATCAGAGGCCCTTTCGATCCCAAGTTTCAGATACGTCATGTTTATCCCTTTTCCAAATGATTTTGATATATTTTGATCATCCTCATGATTCTTATCCGACAGCGTCAGATTCAATGATCAGCTTCATGGCGGAACCCTCCACAAGGTGAGCGGAAGTTAGAGGAGGCCAGGCGCCAGATCCACAGTGCGAACCGATCTGCTTTGGAAGCTTGGCATCGATACTCAAAGGGTGCCCGGTATGGTCCGTATGTCCACCCGTTTTTGATGAACGGCTGTTGTTAAATGATGAAATCCAGGTGATTTTCATACCGACGAACGTATCCAATACATTTCCAATAATTACTCTGTTACGATTTGTGAAAGGTTGCGGGAATGGAAGGCAGCTGTGTCCAGCGGGTCATGTGTTCACATGTTTATTCATTAAGTGCAGCCGTGTTGAAATGTGTTGAATTTGAATTCATATTGCGCCTAGTTTGTAATTCAGAGCGTTAATCTTCTTGGGCAAAGGCCCAACCAAGATGCCATGTTTGCGGTAGCGATCTTCACTCCGGAAAGTTTCAAAGCTTCAAGATTCCTACCTCAAGCGGTGAACCAGCTCCTCATTTGAAGGGGATATTACATGATATGACTGTAGGGGGATATTACTGTGCAATAATGTGCAATATATATATATGTGTGTGTGTGTATCGATATATTATATCTATATCAATATCCATTGACCTTAAAGATGTGCCTACCACCAAGGAGACGGAAGAAGTTGGGTTTCAGACCTTAACCGAGCTGAGCAGACAGCGAGATCCTGGGAGACAAGATCTGGACGAGATTTCAGATACGGAAGTTGTAAGGTGTAGAAATTCCACTCTAACTACCTCTAACTCTACTTGGGGATATTTCATGATATTCTTGGATGTGGGCATGGAATGGAAATTTGAAATGGTTCTAGGATATTCCAACCATCCATGTGCAGTCATTTGTTTTTTCTTTTTTAACTGCGGTTTGGATGTGGCAAGGCTGGCAGGAAGGTGCGGAGATCGAACGTGCATGTATGTTTGCATACCCTACCCTTTGGTAATTTAACATAGCTATGGAAAATTGAATAGTGATTTTGCATAGCTATGTTAAATTACTGGAGGGTATGTCATTTGCGCCCATCCGATACATATTATATATATATTCGATTATATAGTGTGTGCTCGCGTGGGCTTCCCCTTCAATGCATGGAGAAGTAGAAGCAACTTCATGTTTGAAGCAATTTGTAGCCTTGACAAGAAATGGTAGTGAGCAGACCCATGGGAAGACCATTGAGAAGTTCCATAAAGTCATGGTATGTGCGTACCGTGACATATCAAGTCGGTTCCATGATGTCTGGATAGCTACACAATCGAAGCAAACCCAATGCCAAGGAGAGTGTGGAGCGCATCGGAGCACATGTGCAGGAGGTGGATGATAACATCTCAGGGGCACGACGGGTGATGATCCAAATGTATCGCCGGGCCATGGCTACTCGTCATGTCGTGTGCCGGTCAGGGTTCAGGCAGCACGAAAACAGGTCGGTCGAACTCGACCTTTGTATCAAGGGATTGGGCGCAGGATCTTTGATGGACAATCTGGGACTTTGATGGATTTTGGACCTATCATATTCATCAAGCGCTAGCACTGCTCAATGAGTGCTTTGACCACTCCTCTCTCTCTCTCTTTCTCACAGAGCGGATTTTGCCCAACCTGAGGCCAAGAGAGCTGCTTTGTGGTGCAGCTTGGTGTGCGATGATGGTGGATGCTGTAGTTTATTAGAGCTCTAGGGGAGACTACTTGTGCAGACATCAGCAAGTTGTGCGTCTGTGCGCGTGAGTGTATCATGTAACATAATGTAACATTTACCGTGCCAGTCCTGCAAAAGTACACCTGAAGAGGGGTGTCATGCAAAAGATCAACTGTCGCAATGAAGAAGCCCCCTATGCCTGGGAGGATGCTCTCCAACTGATTTGTCCGACTTGGGGAGCCTTAAGCACTTCTTCATAGCTAGGAACGCTTCTTTATTGGAAAGAGGTCCCATCTTCAATTTCTAGAGCTTTTGAGCGGGGAAGTTTGGCGTTTTCTGACGCCATGGCTTATAAAAGAGGGACAATTGCGAGGTGACCCTTAATCCATTCCCAGCAGTTTAGAGATCTGAATCCGTGAAGCCAATTCCGCTGCATTTTTGCATTATTTAGTGTTGATTTGAACAAAACACTGTAAAATCTGTAAAGCGATGGGGCCCCCGAAAAAAGAGATAACCTATATTTTCGTACCAAGCATCAACAATTGATTTTGACGGCGGCTCATATACAGATCAGCGCTGATGCTGCATTCCTGAATGTCAGGAACACCTGCCAACAGCTGTACCTGTAGAAGCCCCTTCAGACATATCCAATGGCCCTCGGACGTGTGACTGCCAATTTGCACTCGGCTCACAAGTACGACAGGTTTACTTTCCGTACGCGCAAGCTGATGCAAGATGGATTTGCAGTGTGTGTGAGACAGAGATGTGTGAGCACGTTCCGGTCAGCATTCAGCAACGCATAGCTGAGGCATGCTGATTATCCTGGTCATCACCATTGTCGTCGTTTTCTACTTTTTGGTCATCAAGAAGGACCACTGAGGTTAAGGGCGCAGCGGCATAGTGAACGCATGTGAACGCTTCATCACTGATCGATTGTGAGCTGATGCCATGGTGGGTGCTGACCACAAGAAAGCTGCGAGGGCAGCTTTCTCTGGTCTTGTGAGCTTCAAGGAATACATATTACAGATTGTTACAGTACATGTTGATACAACGGATCCAAATGTGACCTCAGGCACTGGAACTAGCAACTGGCTGACTGATGTTGACTGTGGGATCTGTGGGGATAATTGGATGGTCTTGAGCCGGATCACAGTTACTGTAGCAGAGAAGCCACTTGGAAATTATGGCTCGAGTTTGGATGTAAGGATTAAGGTGATTAAGACATGCAACTTGGTATGAGGCCCACACACCGTTTGAGTTTCGCAGCATTGTGCTGTAACTTAGTGTAGGTCAGCTTGATGGTCGATTGCGAGCTTCCTTTTAAAGCCCAGAACAAAGTACTAGATGTTCTACGTCTTGGCCCTTGGCCATGCAAGATGTTTGTCACATGCCTACACTGTTGCGAACGTACCGAGCAAACAGTGACGATCCAACAATCCAACGAGTGTGTTTTGTTGCACTGAATGCTGGCAGATCTGGCAGCACTCCACACATTGAAACCGGGCCTCTTGAACAGCAACCTGGCACAGTTCAACTTGCTCAGACATGATGAACTCACGACGGCCCAGCGTTGCCGGTTCCAGTTAGATCGAACGTATGGGGCTGGTCTAAACCACAGAAACATACAGAAAAATAACCGCACCCAAATGCAGTCAATCATGATCTCAAGCTAGCCTGCACGGATCGACAGGCTTTCAGTTGAGTCGCTTCAGATTCTGCGTTCCAATCTAGTCAGACACTCCGAAGTTTGCAAAACGAGCACTTTGCCTTCACTCTTTGTTCCCTCTTGATGTTTCATCATGTTCTCAGGATGGTTCATACATGTTCATACCGGCTTGAAGTCATAGCCTTAATGATCTCTAACCCAAAATTCATATGTCATATTTTTAATATTTTTTAATTGGGTTTGTTCTTGTATGCGCCAATGTGGTTTGTCTGAGCATCATGTCCGAAGCAGCAGGGACTGGCTAGGAATCACAGGCTGCTGGCTCCGAAAAAGATGCAACATTGCGCCATGCCCAACTTGTGGATGTACGATCATAACACATCATAATGTAATATATATAAGAATATATAAGAATTGAGAGATGGGATATGATATGTTCATAAGATCAGCAGACCAATGGATCCCAATCAGCACACATGGTTCGTGTGTAAAGGCGAGGATCCCAAGTGAGGATGATATGCCATGGCGGTGTATGTAGGAACGCCGAGAGGTCAGGGAGTTGACTGATAGATCTGATAGGTGCATGAGAACATGGGACTTTTCATCAAAACACTTGAAAATTGCCTTCTGGACTCTTCTGGAGCTATTGCGAGAGATGTGAAAGCACATGCTGGCTTGACGTGAAAATGGAAGCAAGGGCCTTGCACTGAAAAGGACGGTTGAACGATGTTGAATGCGATTCTGCTCTTCAGCAAGTTTGACATGTTTGACTGACCCTTATCATGTTGAAGAACATAAAGAACATGATGTCAATGATGAACATGCAAAGCCTTGGGGAAGTTTGAGCCCATTCAGTTGTTGCACGCAGAGCTTCATTGCATTTCCACTTCGGGGTGCCATGTATCATGGAGGGATCTTTGGCAGATGCGTTGATACCTCAGATTCAGATTAAGGGAACTGTTTGAAAATGTCGGAAATGCGTCAGGGGATTATGTCAATGGTTGATGGATTAAAGAACAGTGCACGCAGCATCATGCAGAACGGACTTGAACTAGTCCTGAGACCCTGAACCTCGGAAACAAGGAGGGACCTGGGGTGCCTTGAGCATTCGATCATTTCACATATCCCGTAATCTCATGCGCCAAGGCCCAATGCCTTGCCATTTCACAGGCTGCTGCGCCTTGTTCGCATGTCTTGAGTCCGCCTTGACCCTTCATTCCACATACTATTGTGTCCTTTCATGAAGAACCTGCGGTGGGGTGTATGGAACGTTTGTAGAGGCAATGTTTGATGATGTTTGATGTGTTCTTGCGACCAGCATCATGTTGACGTGCCTAGCATCAATCCCAAAGAGGATAAAGAGTGCTCGATTCCATGACTCCGTGGATATCCGTGGATGTTGATGGACGTTGCTTTCATGCTTGCCCATTGGGCACATGCCATGTAGGTATGTTCTTGTTCTTACGCTCTTTTGTGTGTCGCTACACATCACTAGACCATACTAGACCAAATCATTGACCAAATCAGTAGTACTTTCATCAACTTTCATCCTTGGGTTTGTGGCACCTAGGTGTATGGGAGCTCCCTTTCTGGAAGTGCGTGCCGAGGTGATCGGGTTTTGCATCTCTGTTGATATGTGTTGTTCCTCTGGTACTACTCAACATATCTCAACATATCTCAACATGCAACTGTTTCATACTGTTTCAGAGACTCAATGATCCATATGATCCGGAGGGTGCACTATCGCGACTTTCATTTGAATTGTGCTTGCCCCTCCGCAATCTTTCCAATCCCGTTTACAAATATGACACACACGCACTCACATATATATATATATACTGTTATATACTATAATTACATATAATTTGGCGAATAGGGTTTTATGTTTTCACCGTGCTTTGCACCCAGAAGTCATGATGAATGTGCTGCTTGCCTTTGGTAAATTCATCTTCGGGAGGTACCTCAGAGCACCCTCGATGACTTCAAGTTGCGTGGCAATGCAGCAGGGGTCTCAGTTACAGCACTCCCAGGCTTTAAGCGGTGAAAAAGATGGTGAAAATCAATGGTGGGAGAAGTCTTTCACCATCGGTCATGCCAAGACTGAATGAAAGTTGAATAGTTGTGAAGATAGGACGGGGAGGAGAATGGCCCCTGTTGTTAGCATTCCTAGCCATTGTGAAAAGTGGTGGATGGGAATTCTTACAGCTGAGGTGGTGCAAGTGGAAGGCTGGCTTTTGGCAGACGGCAGAAGCATGTTGTCGCAGGTTCTGGAGATTTGTGGATGCAGAGTATGCGTGTGGTATATACATGTATAATCATGTATATACAAATACAAGCGCACAATCACACACACACACACACCGCATACATGCATATACATACAATATATATATATATATATGTGTGATTCTATGTGTATATTGATTGAGTCTCCATTTTGGCACTTGAACAACTGGCAGGCCACATGCAGTCCATGCTGCCAGAGATCAATCGACTCTGCGCTGAGATGGGACGTCCGGTGGTCTATGCTGCCACGGGCGATGCCACACTGACCGCTCTTGCAGTCCAGGCACGTCTCAGCCCGGTCAGCAGTGAGGGTAGTGAGGCTGATGGGTTTCATTGGGTTTCCAATGGTTTCCAGATTGATTTTCCAGGAAGATTGCCTTCTGGGTCAGAAAGCGAATCAAAACTAATTGAGAGCCACGAGAGGCTAGACTCTACCCAGGAATTTCATGGAATTTCAACGGAGGTGCAGCTTTGGCATGCTTTGGCGGCTACTTCTTTGCCAAACCTTTCAACTGACAGAAGTCGCGGACGACCTATCCAACCCAAATTCAATTGAATGAATATGTGGTTTGGTGGGGGGGAGCTTTCCCCTGAGCCAAGAGCATGAGTTGATTGCGTTCTTCGCATCTCTTCGTCGCGTGTCTTCACAGTTGCCATCAGGTAATTACATGTATAATTTATATACATTAATTTTCTATAATTTACTCATTCTTCTCCAGGAAGTGAGGCCAATGAATCGGATGATGCAACGCTGAAAGCTCACTGTCCGACTCACTATCCTTTTGGATCTTTTGGTCATCCCTGTGGATGGTCACGACCAGGCACTTCTTCGAGAAGACCAGGGCTACTCTGCGGAGGCAAACCGTCGCAATCCAGCCGTCTCGCTGCTTGGTGGTGTTGGACGTGACCAACTCGGTGGGCTGCTCAGTTTTCTCAGGATTTGGGGTGTTCGGCTAGGGTGGTCCTCTTGAATGGTCAACATTTTTCATATTTTTCAACCTATCCCGCAGCTGAAGAAGATCCCAGGACCAATTAATTCCTGCTTGTTCGCTGTTTCACAAACTCATTAGATATTATCATTAGATTAGCAAGCCTTTCCCTCAGGAGAGTGTGATTCTGAGCAAGGACCCCCGCTAGTCCCCTCAGCACATGGGTGCAACGACGGTCTGCAAAATGATACCTGTTGTAGCAGTGGTCCCAGTAGCAAGAGAGGCCTTCAATGCCCGTGCTGCAGGCTACAAGCTGCAAGACTATTTGAAGGAGGCACCCTCCACACCATGACCGTGTGCACCGTGTGCTATGGGGGAAATTTGGATCCAACCAGCCGATGAGTAGAGGTGAAGTCTCGCTGCAGGAAAGCTGTTTCAGACCGGTCCATGGCAAGTCATTGTGCCGCATTGATCCACATTGTACCTCATGTCCGACCGGATGTGCCCAGTGTGGAATTCAGCCACTTCTCAGCGAGATTGTGAGCGAACAAACTGGTTGGACAGCTGGGACCTTGGAGAGATCCTACATGGGCTGTGACTGCAGCAATGGTTCATTCCACAAGCTTGATGTTGAGATGGGACAGTAATGTTGACAACACTGGGTTCGCGGGTTTGAACCACGGAACTATGCTAGTCGATGCATTCCTGACTGTTCCTATAATTACTTACGTCGTTAGCATGTCAATCGTGCTTCTCGTACTGAAACGGCAACCCTAGCCAGAACACCGTAAAGCCAAAGCCTGGATCGTCACCGGTGGTGCAGCGGCAAAAGCATTTGTTTACTGTAAGTACCAGATATCACTTTTCCAAATGAAGGGCCCAAGGTCACCCAAGGCTCGCACACAACTTGTAAAATCTTCTGATGGTTTTTGTCCCAAATGTGATAGCAAAATTATTTCCTGTGCCTATTCGCTGCTTCAGAAAGGCATTTGATCAGCCTATTTGTTAGCCGGAAGTCGTTCTATAACGGAGGTGAACCCTAATTATGCACCTGCATCCATCCATATTCCTGTGTTGCAGTGAAAGCATACCCAGGACAGGCATACCCAGTATGTATGAGCATGTTTGCATTCGGCAATACGTACCGGTATAATTACACTGACCCCCACAAATTACAAGTGAGGCCACTCTATTCTATTGTATACGCCTATTGTTTTAGCATGTTTTAGCTATCCAAAGCTGACTTGGGTTCAGGCAACGTCTTTCCAGATTGGGTCATGCCTGGGGACCTGTACAGTAGCCGCCCAGGCTTTCCTTTGCCCTTTACGCCTTGAAGACCCATCTTCCCACGGGGGCTTTGAGAGGCGGAAAAGATGCCGGGATCGGCTGAAGATGACATTGGAGTGGTTGTGAAGGGTGGCACCTAGTAGGGATGCCGTAAGGAATCACAAGGTGGCACCTAGTAGGGATGCCATAAGGAATCACAAGTGTGCAGGAATGGTTCTAGGATGTCTTGCTGAAAACAATTCCAGCTGGTCTCCACAGGAGTTCCCTGGCTGCTCCTGAGCAGGCCTTGGAAGCTGAATTTCTGAGTCGTTTTACTTGGCACGAATGACCCTAGAGATCCCTAGAGTATGCAAAACTGTAAAAAACTGGTATTAATAATGGGAGATTGAATGATATTATATTGATATATTGTGATTTATGATATGTGTGGGAGAGGGGCAAAAATCTTGCAATAGAATCCTGTAACTAAGATTGTGAGGCGTCTCGTGCTGGCGCTGGAATGTGAAAGTATGTTCCTGGATGAGTGGGCGAATGTAGCCTATCCATGTCTATCCTCTTTCGTTCCTGACTTCTTAATTCGCAAAATCCAGTCAACTTGTCAATGCAACTGGTGGCATTTTGAATTATATACAGTTGCTTTTCTTATGTTATTAGATTTATAATGTAGTATTTTACATAGTTCGTTCTCATTCCTTCATGGTCAATGTGGCAGTGCAGTCCTCAGTCAAAGGATGCGTGCAAGGAGAAGGGCGAAAGCAACTTGCAGCTGGCAGTGGTGTACCGTGCTGTTCAGGTCGGGGGGGAGCATTGTTTTGGCGCGTTTTGGACGCTGGTACGACACATTGGGGTGAGGCTTGCAGGATTAGGATCACCAAAGTAGAGGAACTAGAGTATGCATTTTATAATAATATATAATAATTGAATACTATGCTGGAAAGTGCGAATACTGTCATTTGCGTTAGCAGCCTAGAGAGAGTTCCAGCTGCACAGACAGACTGGACCACCAAGAAAGAAAGTAGGGGACAGAAAGAAGATAGGGAACAGATGGGAACAGTCAGGGTTCGACCTTGGATGTATGAAACAATTCTAGGAGCAAAACCAAATCCGACCCTTCAGAGGCGGGTGCAGCCAACCAGCCAGCTCCTCAAATGGTTGATGCTGCAAACCATGGCTTGTGGCATCTTGTGGCATGATGATGTGGCAATTTGTTGGCCACTGGCCCACTCGCAAGATTGAACACCATTAACAACATTCTAGGATATTGTATGCAGGCCCCAGGCCTTTGCTGCAACTGAACATGACTGAACTTGACCCTGGGCTGAGATGTCGTGTCACAAATTTGTTCTGATTCCCAGTAAGTGCTGAATCTCCTACAGGACGGCTCTGGTAATCTCTGATGAGGTACAAGCTGGATCACTTGCGCTTCAAAGTCTGGGAGCAAGTGGAAGCTGCTGGCGTGGTCTATGCTGAGGCCACCTTTCTGACAGTCTCCTTTGAGAGTGTCAAGATATTGGCGGAGCCACTCAGCTGCAACCGAGCTGAGGGGAACTGGTCGCTAAGGCTTGGCGTGGTTTCTGGCCTTTGACAATTACAGGTATTGTTGATGAATATGAAACACCGAAAAAACATGAAAAAATCAGGAGAGAGAAAGTGGCCTTTGTAGTTTTGAGCTTGGGAGCCTTGAAGGCCAGATGCAGATAGGATTTGCAAGATGCTTCAAAGTTGTCTAAACCCCAGAGATTCCCATGCTCAACCTTCATGCGGAAGCACACGCAATCATCAACTCAGAAGATCTTGTTATGAAAGCTGAATGTGGGACTTCATATCATGATTATGCGAATATCATAAACTGATTAAACTGATTGTTTGCGTAACCCTTTGCCTCTTTGCCCTGAAGATCCCTAGGGTATCTCTTTCGTCAACCGCATGTCCCCTATTGTCCTATGGCCCTATGCGTCAATTTGGCCTGGTAAGGCACTGTGCCAAGATGGGCAACACCTTCTGTTTGAGCCTCTCAGCCCCCTACGTTTGCCGCTACTTCGGGGACCGAATCCTCACTGTCCCTTGGTGGAAATTGGTCTGAGACGATCCCAATGCATGGTGAGCAAAAAATCCGCAGAGTGTGAAATTTATGATATGTGTTCTTGGAACATGTGTTCTTGGCATTCATGGAAGGCAGCTGAGTCAGAGATTGTCAGTAAGAGTTCGGCAGAAATTCTGCTGCCAAGCCATTGAGAAGTGTTGATTGCGTTCATGTAATTGCTAGACTTAGACTTTGATACTTGCAAATCCACAGAAGATTGCGCTCACAGGTGATCCCATACACCGATGTGATCTTTGGGTGCGAGCGTGTACCTTGGCTACTATTTTGGATTGGATCAGGTACCTGATTCTGAAGTATTCTGAAGTCAATAGAGACCTGAAGCTAGTCCAAGTTTTGCTGTGGGAGCTTTTGAACTTGCCTGGCAGTGATTGCCTTGGCGTTGAGTGCTAACTGGGACAACTCAGGAATACATGGCCTTGGCTGAGCAGAAACGCTCTGAAGGTCTTGCTCAGGCCGAACCCTGGTAGTAGCAATGGGCAATGTGGAAGAGGAGTGTGTGGTTTCGAGGATTGATCGGTAGGTTTGAGGATGTTTGAGGCTTGTCCTGAGTTGAGAGAGTATGAGCCAAGAACTAGACAGGCTGAGATGTTACAGGCCTCTCTCTCTACAGGTGTCCCTTCCATCATGGCTAGCAACGCGGAGAAAGTCAGAAGCGGATCTCCACACTACACTTGGAAATTCCTTAAATTTCCTTTAAATTCCTTAAATTTGAATTGTTGCAGTCCTGAAGTATCCTGAAGTGCACCACCTCCACCCCCTCCACCAATTGGGAATCAACCATCATATGAATCATATATACTGCTATAAAATCCCCCTGTTTCATATTGGAAAGACATGTAAAGACCCAAGAATATTTTAGAACGTGTAAACTCGATTTACGTACATGTATACACACTGGACACGCGTACATATAATTACACATCTATAGCAGAATCTATATAAAATATAGAGAGTTATATAGACATATAGAAACATTCTCCAGTTTCTCCTACCTTTGGGTGTGCGTGGACCTAATGGGTACCCAGCCATGCCATTCAATCAACCCGCCAGCACCATTGATCGGCAGGATGTGGACTCGGCCCGGGCCCTGGAGAGGCTACCAGCTGGGAATCCAATGCAATGGAAAGAACCGGGTTGATGGATACATGATGGATACATCATGGATGCATCATGGATACACAATGATATATACTGATAAATATATAGATTATAGCGATGACTGTATATCCGTATTCATATGATGGATATGAGATGGATACTGTATATGATTCAGAATGTCCACAGTTTTCCTATGAGGGTGACTTTTAGTGTAACCATACGTAGATTATAAATTATAAACTATAAATGATCATCCCTTGTTCACAGAACAAGCTTCGCACACCAATCCTGGCTGTTGACGCCTTAAGGTTGCTACCTGGCTGGCGAAAATGCCACGATCAGATGGGGAGAATTGGAAGCGGCGCCATGTTGCCCGGGTCGCCCGGAGTCGGGGACTTCTGATTTGCTTTCCCTTGGGGCAACGACCTGTGGCAAGAGGCAATGTTCGGAACCTGGACTTGGGACATGTTTTTTGAATACCCGGGAGGTGTTGTTTCCCTAAATGTACTCCGGGAAAGAAATTAAACGTGTGCACTTGTGTCATGCCATGCGCTGTAGAGGAAAGACTGGGAAAGTCCCGTGGCAAAGCGTTTCGGACAGCATGATAGGTTTTGAATGGTTTTGATGATTCAAGACACAAGTTGGCCATATGTGGATACATTTGGCAGCAACATGCAGCAACGTTATTGTTTGCCCTGCGCTGCATCGATAAAGACCCACCATACATCATTACAATAATTCCCTATACCCTTTTTTGTCGGATTTCATCTTATTTCACCTTCCACTTCCGTTATTTCACTGCATGTTGAAGCAAGCGACCAGCAGCGTGTTGCGGCACCTTAGGTCATCACCTGCGGGGACAAGCCCACCATTGTGGCTAGCACCTGGCGGGGCTACGGCGTGCCTTGGCGATAGCCTGATGCCCCTGATGCGCATTGAACCACAATGAACCAGAAGTCTATGAAAATCATTTTGGTAGAAATAGATTTCTGGTGAAGATCATATAGTCATATACTGTAGATTATGATGTACTACTAGATTACTGATTATTATGATCATTATGAATCATTATGATCTTTACCGGAAATCTATCATATGAAGATCATAATAAGCAGTAATGATCATAGCAAAATGCATCAGAATGCCTTAACAAGTTGCAGCTTTCTTTGCTTGTGTCGGATATTGACTATAGCATGATGTCCACATCATGTTGAGCACTCTTTCTCTCAGGTGAAGGTCCAAAGATTTCCAGTTCCTCCCGTCCGAAGTCGGAGTTTCGTGCGCAAGGACGGCGCAGGGGATGCCTTCGCAGGCGCAATTGGAATGGGATTGGTTAACATGACATTGGCTTTCCTTAGCTGCCAAGTTCATCCAATTTATGCGCCGGAACCGAAAGCATAATATCCACAATTGGTCCAGAGATGGAGGGTAAGGAGGAACTTAAATTGCGTGCAGTCCAAGAGTTCATTCCCCAAAGAGTCAGTGGCTGTGTTCAAAGCGAAGCCCCTCAGTGAAAGTCTGCAGCAATGTCGCTTTCCAATTAGACGTTGCTGCTCAGTCATATCAGATATATCATGATATATATTGATATATATTGATATATCATGATATATATTATGATATATCAATATATATTATTGTGATATATCAGTCATGTCATGTCATGCTCGATCTCATCAGTGTCCTGAAGACCTTGAGTCGTCTCGCTCCGTGTGCCAGCTGGCTTCTTGTATGGCCTCATGCACGAGGCCCTTTTTAGCATCCGGTCTGGCACGGGAAACCTGGTACTTGTAGAGAGACATGGGACATCAACGGAGATGGTAGTTTTGGGGATGTCTATTGCAAGCTAAAGATCTAATTTTGAAAGTAATAAGTATATTATAGTTATATAATTATATAGGTAAAGTGAAATAGTTAATTATAATTTGTTCCAGTTTGTTCCTAATTTCCTCGGATTTTGCTGCTAGTTAGAGATTGGATGATTAGATCTTGGCATCCCTACAAGACAGCTGCTTTGGACAAGTAAGTCTGAATTTGGCTGAAGATGATGCACATGTGTTAGCTCATCCCTGCCCCAATATGTTGCCATATTGCCAGGCGGATGTAGACAGTTGTGTGCAGATGGCCCTGTATTGCCAGAAGCCTCAGACTGTGAACCGATTTTTGGTTGCCTGAGCTCAATAAAGCTCCGGCATATTGCACTACTGGTAGCTGCAGTTGAAATGATGGTCGACCTTTTTGCGATTGTATGTGGAATCCGGAATCCAAGGGTTGGAGAATTGATTGATATTACATTTGTGCGTAAATAGTTGCACCCAAAAATATGCTTACACTTGTACACATAGTTTTCGATGGTGTTTGGTGGTTTTTAATGATTTTGAGCTATCGAGCATCATGGATGACTATTGAGAAGTCCGCAGCTATAATCGCGGGGACCCCAAGGTGCCAGCGTGGCCGTGCAAAGAGTGGGCCCAGGTGAGAATCGGCAGATCAAACGTGACCATTGGCCGCCGCCATCAAATGACTAGGTGATGTATTGTGATGTGGTATATGACAGTTTTATACAGTTTTCCCATGTTTGCCTAGCATGTAAATAAATACCCGTATATTGTGTGTGTGTGCAGCTCGGGCAAGGTGACCTGATGGTGATGGGGGGAGAGAGAGAGAGAGAGAGGCACATACATTTGTAATTAATTTACATGCTGCTGCCCTTGGAATGTGGGAACATCATGGATCATCATCATGGATCATCATCATCATCATCATCATCACCGCATGACAGCGCCAAATTCTGAACCCCGAGGCTTCTCCTTCAAGGATAAGCCAAGTGTTGACAAGGCCTTGTCCACGCCGAGCGCTCAGAACCCAGGCAGAAACCGTCGCTGCAGATGTGGGTCACGGGATGGAAACAGCTGAGGGCACCGCAATGAGCCGCGTGGTGCCGGAGCTGCGTGAAATGTGCGCGGCAAAAACCAGGCCATCGGCGCTGATTCAACGAGGTTTCGCAGCTGCGATACGCTGCCTTTGAAAGTTCTGGTGATCATGGTTTGCAGTTATTGGCTTCACAAAATTCAAACTCGTTTCTTTCCTTTACCTGCACATTTGCCCTGCAGGGTAGCTGAAGCTGTAAAGAGGTGCTAACATGTCGCGATGAGATGATGAAACCCGTGGAGAAGCTTTTTGCTTCCTGGTGCGCTGTCGCAGAATTTAGCGCTCAAAAATTACACAGGGTGATATCACACCCAGTGAAGTTGCTGAACGAAATCCAGCACTTTGACTGGTTTCCGTGTGGAAAGCACCGAAAGCGTGGCGCGAGTTTAAAGAAGTGAATGCACAATGCACGCACATTTCAAACATGTTTAAAGTTTAGGTATGTTAAGATGCATTTCAACCACCAAGTGCTGGAATTGTCCGGGAACTGAACCATGTGACGTCTGCAAAATGTGTGGCTGGCCATCCAACCGCCAGTGCCGGTTGATCACCGCCATGGCGTTGGGTTTGCAGTTTCCTGCTGTGGTTCCGATGGAAGGCGCAGTCAGAGTCAGATCTGTGGCCTCCAAGTTCCTGTTGCTTGTTAGATCCTGGTAGATCCTGGTAGGCCGCCAATCTCCTGGCCGGGTTTGGGATAGTTAACCCAGCCTGGGCATACCTGGGCACACAGCATCCCTAGGAGCCTTCCAAGTTTTACCTCGCAACTGCGCCACGTGCCTCGGAAAGTTCGATGCCTTGCATTTGGGCCATGCCTCTCTGGTGCGTTGCGCAGAGGAGATGAATCTGGCAACTTGGTGCATCGGATGTATGGACCTTTCCGTTCGGGGCAGAGCACGTGCAAGAGGATAACTGCCGGGATCCCATATACCGTCTTCAATTTGTGTTCAGATACTGAAGGCACGTGGGGTCAAAAAATGTCAAAATGATTCTGACGAATGAGTACTTGGACTACATGGTACTGATGAGAAATGGGAAAGAGACACATATGAAAGCAATGGTCTTCATATGTCTTCATTTATCTTCATGTCAAGATTTTGAAGAATTACTGGAGGGGTGATGCATGATAACAAATCCTTTCCGCGCATCTTTCTGGCACTTGGCTACCCGTGCCACCCAGGAGCCTTGGATGGTGTCCTTCAGTGGTATGGCGAAAGTCTTTGGCAACTTATCAGCACATAAAAGAAGAGAGAATTATTGTGAAATGCCTCCGAAAAAATCAGCCACAAAGAAGCACTAGCTGGCACTAGCTGCTCAGTACTGGTACTGCAGCTGTTCATAGCTGTTCCATGAATGAGGACTTTACGGCTTTACGGACTTTACGTGCATATTTATAGACATAATCACCATGAGGATTCGTTTTCTTTGAGCAATGCCAATTATCAAAGCAGCTAAGCAGCTTCCAAAAGCCATGCCATCGCAGGATGGCCGGAGCGCAGTCCTTTGATCGCGCCGGAGCATCGCCAGGAGGTCTTGGCGTCCTTGGGTAAGTCCGGGGCCAAGGAACGAGTCCTACCCTTCGCGGAGGCCAACGGCACTATGGCACTTGATGGATCCCCGGGATGACCAGGAGATAATCAGAGAACATGTCTTTAACACATGTCTTTAACGCATGTCGTTAAGATGTCTATTGAATCGAATTAAGGATGGTTCTTATTTGGCGATGATTGTTGCAATCAATTGCAACTTCTGAATTCTTGATATATTTTTGTCTGTTGTTTTGGATTGATCTTGGTGGCATCTCTGCCAGAGACCCTGGGACTTTCGCCGTGTGCAGGTCCGTGGCCTTTCACCCAAGGATTTCGTGGACTTTTTGGTGGATGTGTTGGGTGCTGAAGGCGCCGTGTGCGGTGAAAACTTCCGCTTTGGGTTTAAAGCGGCGGGCGATGCGGCCATGTTGAAGGAGCTGGGAAGGATCCTTGGGCGGTGACAGTGGCAGTTCGTCTTCAAAGGGGGAAGTTTGCAGATCGAGGTAGACGAGACTAAAGAAAAATAAGAAAACACAAACCAAAAAAGAGAGGAGATTCTGAGTCTGTGCAGCTAGTTTCTCATATTCTTTTCTGTGGAGTGTGGCGAATAGCAGGTTCGGCTTTAATTACCCCTCCTTGTCAAGACAAACTAGAAAAGCCATTCAGAGTACTCTATTCAGAGGGCTTGGAGATTCTTCGTTGCATGTTCACGGCATCATGCGTGCACTTTCGGGATCAGATTCATCACATTCTCTTTACTGTAAGCAATTTTTTTGGATCTTTTGTCCAGCAGTTTAGAGGATTGGTCCTTTTCCAGCCGGATCTATAAGGGAGGATTGATCCGAATCCCCCAGCTACTCACCTGCTTGGACCTCGGATTGAGGACTCGAGGAATTCCTGTCACCATCGCGCCATTGCAACTTCTGCTGCATTAGCTGCAATTTTTGTAGCTCCCTGAGTGTCACAGAATGTCACAGACATTTTTTGGGTAAAAAAAAATGGCATGGAGATCTCACTTATGGAGATCTCACTTGGCTTTTGGGGCCCTCTATGCCCTCTATGAGGGGCTGAGATGGCTTGAGCTTGGAAGATCTTGGAAGTCGGACCCCATGTCTGGGCCCTGCGGCCCTGCGCCAAGGTGTTGCGACCAGGGGCGCACGATCAGTTCAAGTAGGCTGCGCGAGATGTTAAAAGCTGGCCAGATGGAGGAGGCTGCCACAATCTTAGGCCTGGCTGAACGGAATGGAGATATTGGGGGAACTGGCCAAAGGAGATTTAACTTTCGTTTGTGATAGTTGATGAATATTCTTGAATATTCTTGATATTCTTGAGACCTTTCAGATTCTGTGGGTTCTGGATGGTTCTGGACGGTTCTGGTATGTTGTGATTTTTGCTTAATATAAGTGCGTGGCTGAGGTTCTCAGAGCCCCAAACATCATGCTTGCTTCTAGAGCGGGGCCATGCTTTCCATGAAAAGAGAAACCATTGGAACAGTAGGATGCATTAAAATCAAATTCCTTATATAACTTATTGCAGTAGATACTAGATACAGTAGCTGGCTTGTTATTCTTGGCCCAAAGCAGCAACTCCCACAGATAGATCGGATTTTGGACATACTTCACGCTCTCCAACAACCTATTGCCGTCACTTTGGAGGTGCCTCAAATTGCCCACAAGAATGCCACAGTAATGGTTCCCCCTAAGCTTCCACTAAGTTTCCATCCATTGGCACCCTGATGTGCCCTGCTTACCCGACGTCCCAAGGTCGTCCTCATCGTGTCCTGTGGCGCTCCCGAAAGGACGCGAAGGACGGCATCGACAGCATCGACAGCATCGACAGCATCCAGCTGTTGGAGCCCGCGAATCAAATCCCAGGGGATGGCAGCTACAAGGCTCCCAGTATCTCCCGGTGGCTCGTGGAGTAGATTTGTAAATCATGGTTGGTGCTAGGTTGATGTGAATATGAATATTGTATAATAATTAGTATAATTACCTTGAGAACCAAAACCCGCAGAAATCTTAGGGTTTGAAAAATACCCGAGCTTTTCTGACAAAACCCGGGGTATTTTAACCCATTCTGAAAGTACGGGTTAGGTACGGGTTAGGTACGGGTTCAATACTGGTTCAAAATCAATACCCGAGGTCGTCAATCGAAAACCGAGGTTTTCCTATTTTTTCCGAAATACTTCAGGTATCTTCAGGTTGTTTTGTTGACCCGAAGAATTCTTAGGGTTTTGGTTCTCTATGTAATGTATCTATGTATGTATGTAGACCGTACACAATGATCAGAACTATTTGTATAGTGTTTTTGTTGGGGGTTGGAAGGTGATGTATGGTGATAAGCTGCAACTTTTGTCTAGCTAGTCATGAAGTCAAGAGGACCATGAAATGCAATGAAGAGGTGCTTGCGGAGGGTATCGTGCCACTGCCCAACATGCCCGACCAGGTGTCTGTGCTGCAGAAAGGTCACGCCTCACCCGCAAAGCTGAAGATTTCTGAAGGAGCCGCGCCCCTCGGAAATGAATGGATCCAGACTTAAGGCTTCAATTTAGTTCAGAGATGAAGGATTAGGATGGAGAATGAGGATCTGGATGAGGCAAACAATTGATCTGTCTAGATTGTCTACTCTCGTATGCAAACTTGTCAAATATCCAACTTTGATTTGGACTCACAGTTTTATCCCCTTCAAGGCGAAGCCACCAGCATCTCTGAGGTTCTTGTCAAAACTGCCTGGTACAGAACTTGGTGCAGACATCCTCTTTGACGAGGGCTTGGCTGCGCAACAACAATTGCCCCGATAGAGCGGAGCAGAAGCATCGAGGTCCGACATTCCGACATGTTTGACGTTGACTCCATGGTGCAGCTGGTGCCTTCGCGCAGTTTATGGTGGCCATTGGTGGTGATTGGTGGCCCCTTTTGGTGCAAAAGGTTGGGTAATGATGGAGATGGAAACCGGAGATCTTTGCAACAAAGTTATGGACGGCACAGACCTCAGCTGCAAGCGGAGAGTGCTGCCAGGGTGATGTCACAGAACATCACATACAGAACCCAGTGATATTGGAGGAGGAAGAAGAAAATGCGGACCACGAATGGCCACGATAGGTTTTTTCTTGTACATCTTCATGTCATTTGGGCTTTTGGCCGTTCACACCTCGCTTAGGGTGACAGGGATCTTCCTGCGTGATAGAGTTCAGCAAAACACCCGTTTGCACCAACAAAATGCGATGCGAAATGACCTGCTCTCATTGCAATGTTTTGATTTCAGGTTTGACGAGAGTGAGACTGATTTTCTCCGTTTTGCTCCTTCAAATTCAAAGCATTTCAAAGCCCTTCGATTCCAGCATGAACACGCAGGCCGCAAATGCGCAAGCATATCAAGATTATCAAGCATTATCAAGCAAGTGTGTGGTTGCACGACAGATTTGCAAAGGTTGCCTCCTGGTCCTGCTACGTGCAGATTCTAACCAGCAAAAACCGGCTAGAGCAAGACCAAGAGAATTGAAGTACTGGTATGTTCCAGCCCACCATTGGTTGGGACCACCAAGTGCGCTAGCATGGCACACCCATGACCCATGAGATCCTATGAGTGCCTCATGGCATGACATCTCCGACAGGCAGGGTTGGAAGGGCAGCCAGCTTCAAGGTTCAAGTGATCTTAGCTGGATCGTCTTGCAATGTAATCCCTTCCCACTGATGATACAATGCTATGTAATATATACTGATACTACTTCAACTCCTCCCCTTCAAAATCTGGTTTGGGCTCTGTTCGTTTTGGGCTTCCGTATGGAGGCCTATATTTTCATGGGGGGTGGGATCAGCTGATGTGCACAGGGCTCGCTGCAGGCGGGCAAAGCCAAGATGGCCAGGAGAGGGAAATCCATGAAATGCCTGGAGATGATTTCTGATGATTCAACAGGGATTTGACCCAAAAATTAGGTTTTGATATGTCCAAACGGTGTGTCACATATGGCAATTATTGAGCCTATGGGTTGAAACCACTGAGAGGTAAAGACCCAGGTTGAGTCATGACCAGTTGATCAGCAGTCTAGCTGTACGGCGGATGGAAGCGACCAAAGTTGGGAGACAGACGGTGAGGAATAATCTTCATCCCGGTATACGGTATACCTTTACCCACAAATGGTGTCTCCTAGCGCAGGAATTCCCGGACTTTGGTGAGGGCGCTTACTGGGAGGCCTGTCTCGGGTTTGGGACACAGATGTATCAGAATGGTTTTCCATATTGTACCAAACGGTGACCCCGTGCCGGGTGAGTTGGGGCCCAATGTTAAAGCTTCCCAATGTTAATTCAAACGCAGACTTTCCGAAAAAGGCGACAACAGCGGTCTCAATGATGCCTCTTGACTGACCGCATTTGCAAAATGTTTCGAATACCTGATTACAGCCACAATTCTCCATTGACATGCAGTCCAGTACAACCAGATTCGATCTCATGTTTACTGCTTCAAGGCGCAGCTAGTGCAAGCATTGACATATCCATTTGTTGCAGGAACACTATGCCAAAGCAGCCGCAGAGGGAGAGGACCATAGCTGTGCTTGCGGCTTCTTTTAGATCTTTTAGTCATTGTGATCCGATTTGATGCCAGACCGCCAGGATGTCTATGATTGGCTTGTAGGGTGGCCGTCTCAGAAAGCTGGTTCTTGATTCGGGATGTGTGGTAGGCATATCGGGAGAGAGAGAGAGAAAGGGCGACATACCCTCTGGTAATTCAACATAAATAACATAATGTGAAATAGTGTGAAATAGCAATTAGAAAATTCCATCTCTAGTGAATCTACCTATCAAAAATAGATATAAAATAGTAGGGAAAAAAGTAGTTGTCCATAGCTATGTCGGTTTACCAGCGGGTACATGTATGTGAAACTATGAACATTGTATGTAAAGTGTATGTAGGCTGTATGCAATTAGGATGTTGCAGTTCTTCCACGGCGTTTCACGCTTTCATCATCGAAGGTAGTGGCAGCATCTTGGTTCATACAGCAGTAGCCAATCCAATCAAGCCAAACAATCCCAATCCAACCAACCAGCACAGCAACCCAACAAGTCAGCCCATGGGGAAGCCAACAAATTTGGACCGGCTACCTTGACCATGGCAGTTGATGCTATCACTTGGGAGCAGCTGGCTGCGTGTGGCTTGGTTTACCTGGTTGCTCGTTGGTTTGTGAGTGGACCAACCTCCACCTTCAATTCTCCAAGTCAAAAGAATCCAGAACAGAGTGAGTCTGTGATTGGAGGATGATAGCGATTTTTTGCTGGATATGTATGTGTTGTGTGTGTGTTGTGTGTGTTGTGTGTGTGTGTGCACTACTGGCTACCTTGGCTACACCGACTGGGCCCTCAGGTTACGATGGGTTCATTTTCGACTTGCCCCTTGTTTTGCAAAGGCTCAGGTGTGCGTGATCTGGAAAAATGATGCCAAATGCAAGTCCACTCTTGCGATTTTGTGGCTCACCATGACTCGCCAATCTTGACACAAGCGACTAACTAATCATGGTTGATGCGGCCAACAAAGCCTGAAGATTTAAAGTAAGACTCACTATCAGAACCGAACTCTAATTGACAAAAGCTCTGTGGCTGTGTCATCTATGTTCCCTTTCAGATGTCAAAGTACATAGTTGACACTCTCTGCTAGTATTTCCAAGTATACACGTAGCTCACGCCTGAATGTACCTCTCAAGTTTTTACTTGGTCCCTGGGACATGTATGACCTAGCCTGCTGCTAATTGGGTAGAAGGGAGTTATCCAGCGCATTTCTGACTAGAGGATGAGACGTCAATTGTCTATACTATACTGGAATATACTGGATATGTACTGTAGCTATGGGCTGTGGGTGTCTCAGACCTCAGAATTTCAGGATCAATGTCGATGGTTTTCGAGCACAAAAATGGCATCATGGCACCATCGCGGCCCGCTGAGATTTGGAGTGCTTCACAACGGCGCGGTTGCCCTACCCGGCGCGGTGGACCTGATCGAAAAGCTCAAGAGGCGCGAGGGTCATACTGTAGCGGTGGTCCTCACCATGCCATGCTGTTGTGATGAGTTGGCGCCAGGATGGACAAGAAGTTAGTCATCTTGAGTGTCTTGGCAGAGTGTGCCTGGAGTTTTCCAAAAATGCAAAAACCGATCCAGACAGGGTGTTTTCCTCCAGAATCAAGATATATCAAGATCACACCTGATCAAGGCATTGGCACCTTGGCTGCAGGCAATTCTTCCAAGCGCTCTGCCTGGGCGTTGAAGGACGGGATCAGAGGTTGCAACACAGAGGTTGCAATACTATGCAGCGTTCAGTTTCAATTTTGACTGCATGGAATGGGGTGGAAATAGAGTGTCACAATCACAGGTGGCGTCGCTGAAGGGTCCATGTAAAGAGTGCAGTACCCCCCGCCAAAAAAATAGTACTATATTATATTGTAGTACATTAATTGCGTTGGAACAGAGCTGTATTATTGAGATGTCCCGCCTACTGGGCACATGGGTGGGAGAAATGGAGCAGTTTGTTGATAGCCTTGGCTGCTGACACTCCTCTCTACCCTGGTGGAGCGGTTGTTTTTTGTCACTTGCCTTCAACTTAGCTGACTCTTCGATCAGGCGATGGGGAGAGAGAGAGAGAGAGAGACAGCTAAGAGTCTCGGGCAGTAGCGAGAGCGCAGTTCTAGTTGAAATGTTTGCGTGATCCCAAGGCTCCCAAGGCCTAATGATTTGGTTAGGTGAACGGCGGGAGATTGAATTTGTAAGGCAACCTACCTTGTTCCAACAAACTCAGAAACAAATCCAGTGACACATGCGTGCCAAATTAATCGTCGCCTGCATCGCAAGATCCTCAAGAAGTAGCTCGAGAAGTCGGTGTGCAAGCCACCCTATAGGTATACCAGAGTCCTGGCCAACCTCAGCCGAAACATTTCCGTTCCTTGTACTGCGTTACCCCAGGGTTTGCGTACGCAACAACACCAGTACCAAGAAGCTGCTAATTTCTGGGTATTGTTGTGGAATCGTTTCTGAATCACTAAAGGAACTCTTTTCCAAGCCATGGAGTCAATGGACATTTTGGAGATCCAGGTGGTGAGTTTGGACGGCCAAGGCCGGGCACCAAACTAGATTTGCATTTGTTTTGCCACGGCTTTCCCACCTAGCCATAGGTTTAGTATATTCCAGCTGCCCTTTCCTGTTTGTTAAGTTTGTTGACACTTGGCCCTGCCATCAGATCTTCGGTTGCGACTGCCTGGCTCAAAGACTGGCCATGACTTGCGGAAGATGATCAGTGGGAAGTTGGCAGCCAAACAGGGTGCAGGTGGCTTAGCATCAGTGAGCTTTGACCAGCCAATCCAATGACCTTTATCGATCTTTATCGTTTCATCATCCTTAAACACAAAATAATAGATCATAGCCGAATCATAGCATGTTTCATGGTTTGTCGATGTTTGTCGCGAAACATTATATAGTGGGATTGGCTTCGGTGTTCACTGTTGCCCGAGGGCAAAGGTGTGACTAGCCTGCTCCATATTCCGCGCCTCATCCCAAGGTATCTCAGTGCAGCATGGATCACATCCATTGTCCTTGCGTCAAGGACTGCGACAGCAGGGTTTCGAGACAGGGACAGTGGTGTCCTATGTCTACCGCCCAGTGCAGCTGAAGGATGCTTGGAGCCGATCGTCCTGAAGACCCTTCAGATCCTTCAGGTTCCATTGGAATTTTCACATATTTGCACTAGGAAACCCTAGGTAATCCTCAATGACCTCAATGGCTTAATCCTGTTGGGCTTGAATTTGTTGCACATGTTGCACTGGGCTTTGCTGAAATCTTCTGGGCATATCTGGGCATATCATTTGCCCCCAAGGCTACCTGAAAGGTGATCCAGTTGCTGACGAAGAGTTTGCATTGGAGGGAGTGACTCACATCAAAGGTGTGAACTCTGACGCACAGCTGAAGCTTCGACTGGTTACAGGGAGTGCTGGGGGATGCTGGGGGGTAGTATTGCTTTTTAACTATTGCAGTTGAACTTATCTTAATGCATCTTAAATAATGCATTTGACACTCCAGGCTCATTATTTAGGCTCATTATTTGTGTTCGCAAGAGATGAAGGATTGATACAGTAACTGTAATAAGTCGTAACATGTGAGACTGGACGTTAAATTATCAGGTTTGGAGAGCTGGATCCCCAGTCAGTCAGCCGTGGCACCTAGGACACGACTGCCGCACAGCCTTCAGAGTTTGACTCTTGGCGAATCGTTCAACGCAACGTTGGGACAAGTGAACTTGCCGGTGGGCCTTGAGAGCTTGACACTGGGCCAGTCATTCAACCAAAGTTTGGAGAAGGTGCGTTGGCCCAGCCAGCTGATAACTTTGACCTGTGGTAATGAGTTTAATCAGACACTGACACAGGTTACGCTTCCAAATCTCCAAAACCTCACTTTTGGTGCCAGATTTTCTCAGAGTTTGGAGGGCGTAGTATTTCCAACGACTCTGCAGAACCTAACGCTGGGATTGGACTTCAACAACAGTCTGGAACAGGTGAACCTGCCAAGTGGCCTGCAAAGTCTGACCTTTGGGCCGGCATTCAATCAGAGTTTGGAGGCCGTAGCCTTGCCGCACACGCTGCAGAGCCTTTTTTTAAGTCGCTGCTTTGATCAGACCTTGGATGGAGTACATCTGCCTGCAAGCCTTGAGACGCTCTCCTTGGGTGGATTTTCTCAGAGCTTGGACAATGTAGTTTTGCCGCATGGCTTGCGCACTCTAACTTTGGGGGATCGATTTGATCATCCTTTGCAAGGGGTCACCCTGCCACGAGGTCTTCAGAGCCTGACTCTTGGCGCAAACTTCAGCAATAGCTTGGATCAACTTACCTTTCCCGCCAGCTTACTGGATCTGAGATTTGGCACCTCGTCCAACTTGATATTGAAGCACGTCACATTACCAGGCAGTCTCCAAAACCTCCATTTGGGACGCTGGTACGAGCCCAATTTGGCGTGTTTGAGGCTGCCTGAGAGTCTGCAAAGTCTGACGCTTGACATCAGAAATCCTGGCTGTCAGCTTTTGGCTGGAACGTTGCCGAGCAATCTGCGAAGCTTGACTTTTGGCCCCAGGTTCAACCAGAGTTTGCAAGGGATGAACTTCCCTACAAGCCTCACATGCTTAACCTTCAGCACTGACTTCAACCAAAGCTTGGAGCAAGTAAACTGGCCAAATGGTCTTCAGAGCTTGGTTCTGGGTTTTTCCTTTAAGCAAAGTCTTCGAGGAGTGACCTTTCCTGACGGGCTTCAAAACTTTACGTTGGGCTACTCGTTCAATCAAAGTTTGGAGATGGTGGAACTGCCCAAACATTTGAAGAGTCTCACCTTTGGCTACTCTTTCAATCAAAAGTTGGAGAGGGTGAGCTTTCCCAGAGGTATTCAGCAATTGACATTTGGTGACTCCTTTAACCAGACTTTGGAGCAAGTGAATTTGCCCCCAAGCCTCGAGAGCCTGAAGTTCGGACTGGAATTTCATCAAGATTTGGAGAGAGTTAACTGGCCGAACTGCCTGCAGAGTCTAGCCTTCGGTTACATGTTTAATCGTGGTTTGGACGGAGTAGCTTTGCCTGACACCCTAAAGAGTTTGACGTTCGGCAAAGGGTTTACCAAGAGGTTAGAAGGGGTGAAACTGCCCCGCAATCTGCAGACGCTGGTGTGCGATGGTTTACATTTGTCTTGTGGTTGATCAAAGCACGGAATTGATGGAATTGAATAAGGTTTTCAAGGGTCAGGCAAAAAGCCAGAGCGAGGTGAGAAATATAACGTGCCATCCAACATTGCACGCATATGATTAAATAATATTATATAAATATGCATGTGAAAAGTGTGTGTGTGTGTGTCCACATGCCTGTTGGTATTTAAGATTTAAACTTGATATAATATGATATAATGATATTGATGATTTTTGCATATTGTTGCATATTTTTGCATATTTATATAAGCCATCATATATTATTAAAGCGCATAAAGAGGAGACAAGATGCAAAAACGATGAAAAACGTGAGGAGCTGTCGAAGTTTGGTTTGGACGCCACAGCCTTCCTGGGCGCCATCACCTCTGGGGAAGAGGTGCCCAACTCATGGACTTTTCACACTGTTTCACCTGAAAAATGGTCCAGAAAAATCAAAATCAAAGAAAGAAAGATGTAGCATGTAGCCGGCCAAAGGTGGGGAACTCAATGAAAAAAAAGTAATGCACAGTAAGAGTCACCAAAATGGTACGCATTGGGTTCATTGGACCACATATTCTGATAGGTTTGGTCAACTCAGTCTATGGGTGCCCAAGTTTGACCCTGTTGGATCAGTTTCCTAGGGCCGGAGGCTGTGGTTCCGGAAAATTCCGGAAAGATCTCACCTGTTCACAGAGAACAGGTGACTACATGGTGACTACTATGATTGGTTGGAAAACATTTTCTGGAGAAGATGTGAGAACATACTCATGTCACGACTAGCTTAGATTGATGGCGTTTGGCTTGGAAATGCGAGCAGATGCCAGTGATCAATCTATTGCTGATGGATTGATATGGATTGGTGAAAAGGTATAGCTCTAGATGTCCCAACTACAATACATCATCCACGAAATTCAAATCCTATGCCTCTCCATTTGCAGATCCTATTCAGGCCTGGAAGGCGTTGGAAAGCGACTGGCCGGGAAAGAGCTGCATTTGGTTGGCGAAAGCAGATGGCAGCGGAGTCACTGATTATTTGGAGGTCCTTTCTGGGCAATCAATGGCTCAGGTGCTGGATGACTAACATTATCTAATCTACAAATATCTATAATATGTATATACGGTATTTGAAATCATATTTGAAGATACAGTCAGCAGTTTCAATTCGATCCAAGTCGCTAGGGCATGATTAGGAGACAGTGTTTGGCAGCCTACTGGAGCCTGAACATCATGTTGGGGACATTCTTCATCAGCTGCTTTCTTGGCACTGGGCCCCTGTCCATCAGGGCACTGGCGTGAAGCTTGCGTCTGATGTGAAGGAGGCAGACTTTGTCTTGAACAGCGGGACGAACACCATCAGGACACTGCCAACACTGCGTCTTGGGAACATGGTTTCTATGTTTCCATCCCTGGGATGATGAATGATGCCCGTCAAAAAGGGCCAAAGATGCTCATTTTTTTTCAATTTTATCCTCTGGGGATGGGTTGAAAACATCCGTTGAGACCCTGGCCATCAGGACCAGTAGCAGGACGGAGCACGTCGACTGCGAAAGCACTGGAGACCTGGAGCCTTACCGAGATTTGTTTCAGCATGCTATAGCCCGAGGTTTGCCAATGCTTCCTGGCAAGTGTCCTGTCCCACTTAAAGTAGCCCCACCATCAGGCCAGTCATAGTTCCCATGTTCCGATATATTTCCCATAATATGGCAAGCCCATTGCAAGCCCAATGATAAGACACCCCCTAAATTTCGTCCATTTTCACCAGAACTGGGTGAATCTGGGTGATAGAAACCATCCCCCATGGTTAATTATTGGCTTTACATGGCTTTCCCACATTGGTTCCCTTCCGTTCCGGATTCGGTCCAGGCTGTGTGCCAACCCAGACTTCCGTTCCCCCGCCAAGCCTGGCGCCAAAGAGACCTTTCAGCCGGGCCATGTGGCGCGCCTCTACGAGGCGAAAGATTTCGTAGGACTTGGTGATATTTTGGTATATTTTGTGCATCCCCCTTGAATCAGACGGCGCGAGTTGTACCAAGAAAAGTGTTTTTTGGTAGTGTTTTTTTCCACATGACTAATGTGGACTCCACGTTTTTGGGTAGGGGCATCCTAGGTGATGATTTCTTAGAGAAGGTATTTTGAGGGCCAATTGACATGCCTTTGCAATTTTTCATATTGCAAAAACTGCTGCTGTGCGCCGGCCATCGCTTGTATCACAGATGAGTCAAACAAACTACAAGATTGACAACACGTTTCACATGTTTTTTGGCATCTACGTGGCTAACACGGACCCCTGATTCTTTAGAGAATTTGTTTTGTATTTGTATTTGTTTGTTTTTTTTGTAGTTGGTTGACTGGGCCATGCTGTTTCAGAGGGTGTCAGACTTCCAGGAATACTAGGTAGTGATTCTTTAGATATGCCATTTTGGATGATTTGGATCATTTTGGTAGTTCAAGGTGCCGGTTTTGTCTTAAAAATCAGTTGTCCATGTGAGCAGGCGAATTCCCAGAAGGATTTTTGGGATATTTTCTGGTATGGTTCTTGAATTGTCTTGGACAGTTGCTGCCTTTGCTTGGATTGTTGTTGTCATGTGACATGATGTGACATGCTTTAGCTGCGTAGTTGTTCGACCACTTTTGCATGTTAGGTGGGCGTCCACATGGGCTTACCAACAGCAATTTTCACCATTTGGACGATGTGGAGTTACTTAGAGTTGACGGGGGATAGGAATACGGCACAACTTGATGTTCAGTGCAGGGTTACCGCCAGATGCGAAAAATTGACAAGGAAGTGTGATTTATCCATGCAAGATCATGTAGCCAACTTACTCAGCAGTGGTGGGCAGATCACAATAACAGTTATCATTTTCTTGATGGTTCTCTTTTAGATTATTTTAGGAGCTTCAGGTGCGCAGAGAGAATTTGCCAAACTTGATAGCATCACAGGGAGATGGAAAAGTTTCCCTGCGCTGAACGGACTTGGCCGGATCAAACGGTCAGGAGTTGGGTGGAGTAGTGACCTACTATGGCAAGCCCTGCGCAGCTCACTTTGAGGCTGCCCGCAGGCCTACGAATCCTCTGGGTGGGGTCATACCGGAATCGCATGTAATGGAAATGCGTGTATTGGTGGACACACCAACAATCATCATGAATCATGAACATTGAATGCAGATAGATGATAATAGAATATAATAGATGATTATATAATATTATATATAGATGATATTAGATGATTATATAGATGATATTAGATGTATGTAGAATCATAGTGAATACTGAATTGTACAGATGTCGTGGCGATCAAATACTTCGAGCTGCTGTGGATTCAGCCAGGCTGCTGGGAGCGGATGCCGTTGCACACGTGGGCGACTCATTTTTCCACGACGTTTGTGGCGCAGCAGCAGCCGAGATCCCTGTAGTCTTCGTGGCAGGAGGCATTGATCACCAGGATCACGTGCCATACCGCCGCGCAACATCCCTGGTTGGTAAAAGTAGCTTCAAAGAATAAGGAAGGATGAAGGATTCAAAATATCTAGAAACATCTAGAAAGCTCATCTCGGCCCCAAAAGTGGTGAACATGTTGAAGCATTTGATGGCCGTGGATCATGAAATAAGTCAGTTGATGCGATTGTTGTTATTCACATGGATCTTTCAAGGTTAGCCTCCCGGATTTGAATGGATTTATATCATGGAATTTAGATATGTGTGGTTCATATCAACTTAAATTGCAGTACATCCTTAAAACCATGTCATGTTATGATCACGTTAATTCATGTTATGTATTGTTATGGTCTCTTAAAATTGTGTTGTCATATATGGTCCCACTGGTCCCAGCGGTTGATCCAGGAGCTGGGCATTCAGCCGGGTGAGCTGCCAACGACTTCCGCTCTGCAAAAGCTGGTGGAGCAACACCAGGTGATGCCCAGCCACGTGGTCCACGTGGTGCCCTTGGCCATGTGGACCTGAGAAAAAAGGCCGCCAGTGATGGGTGTTGGTTTATGAACCCCACTACTTGACTACTGACTAGTGGTGTCTATACATATTAATACAATATAATAATAATAATAATGATATATATATATATAATACACATACCATGAACCGTAGTTAAGATGGGAAATCTCGTTGGGAACCCATTTGGAATCAAGAACTTTTACTTGCATTAAGGCAATCCAGGTGGCATTGATGCGATCCGTTGACGATGTTCGCGTGGAAACCACCTGCTGAATAATGATCCCAAAGGACAATCACTATTGTCAATCTGATCTTAATTGTATTCATTCATTCATATATATATATACATATGTATATATATATATATGTTATATATGTATATGTATATGTGTATGATATACGTTTATGTGTATGTCTATATATTAACTCATATTATAATTAATATTATTGGAATTATTAGTACAATCTCCGCCTATTTTCGGGGCTTGACCAGCCAACACCGCATCGAGGTGGGCCCAGCTGCAGTGGCTTCTGGAGACCTTTTTCGCCGACGAAAAATCGATGTTTAAACACACCTACCCTCTGGTAAACTAACAATAACTATGGAAAATCACCATTTTTAATGGGAAAATCCACTATAAATGGCCATTTTCAATAGCTATGTTAGTTTACCAGAGGGTAAGACATCCTAAGACACTAAGGGCTAAGGATGGCTAAGGGCACGAATTCTGAAGCCAAGTTTGCACCCAAAACTCGAAGTGTCAACAATTGTAAAACCACCACTGTACTCACTATACCACCTTTTTGATTTTTTTTGATAGGTAAATCATGTGTAAGTGACTTCCCCAAAAAAATGACCGCACGCCGCACGCCTTGTGATTTGCAATGATTCGCAAGTGGTCGATGAATAAGTGCCGCCGATGTTGGGATTGTAAAGGGTGAAAATAAAAATGACAACTAATCCCTGGTGAATCCTGGCATATCTCGACAGAATTTTCAGCTTCCAATGACAGTGCCACTTCAGGAGATGTTTGATGTCGGCTACCATAACCAGACAGCTGTTGACATTTCTCAGGTGCCTGGGTCAAGAGATGTCCTAGGGGTGTGTAGACTCGCAGACTGACAGGCTGAAACATACCAGGCATGGATTGGCAGCTTTAGGCCTTTAGGCCTTGGAGCCTTGCCTTTTGAGGTAGTCATGGATCACATGGAACATCGAAACCGCCCGGTGTCTCAAGAGATGTGATGTTTTTGGAGTCGCTGGCACACATCGAGACCTTGATCAAGCAGTAACGTAACGTGCACCACGATGAACTTGACCTTCACTGGGGATCCTGAACTGATACCAACAAGTATTGGACTTATTGGACCATGATGCACCATTATAATGAGCCATCCCTGGCTTGTTTCGTAGATCTTTGGTCCTAGAACCGATTTACAGGAAATGCTGCAGGAATCCCCTGTACTTGCTGAGTAAAAACCCATGGCTTCCGGTAGATGTTGAACAATTGATTTAGTTTTTGATTTATGATTTTCCCATCATTGATCATTAATCAATGGCTTAGCTGAGCTATTCAGGAAAAACATGGAGCACCATGGAAAACCCCAGCCATTGTCCCTTAAAAGACCCCAGCCATCAAGGTCACCGGCCATCCATTCGTTGGATCACGGCCGACTGCCGGAACCTGGCGGAGATCGCTGATGACAGCTTTCCCTTGGTGGTGGCCAGGCCTCCCAAGCCCAACTGTAGTTGGATGATGTTGCAATGTGTATTATGTGTATGATTGTGTATGTATTATTATGTATGCATATTTCATTAACTATATTATATATAATTATATATATACTGTATATATATATATATTATGATTATATATATTATAATTATATATATACATATATGTGTGTGTTTGTGTATTATGCTGCCGTATGCAGCACAGTATCCATATGATGTTTCAGTGCATGACTTGACATGACATGATATGACATACATGTTGCATGTATGTTATCTAAATACATTAGTTATAAGTTATAAGTTATAAATACATGTTGAATACACAGTGTTTAAACGACATGCACTGTCTTAAGGGTTTTGCAAAGTGAAGCCAAGTGTGAACAAATCAGCCGAGTGGCAGTTGAGCTGCCATCCACCTGCAGTCATGCTGAACAGCCCATTTCGCACTGAGGACAAGAGCACACTGGATGCATTCTTTTGCTAGTTGCTCAGTTTTCTGCATCAGATCTCGTTGTAACGCCGCAGGCATTGCCATGACCTTCCAAAACTAAGCATTTGAGATATTTGAGGAAAGCCCTGTCGCCACGTACACTGGGCATCTAGGGGCCAAATCCTGGGAATGAGCATCAGAAAACATCAAAAAACCAAAGGCAATGATCAACACGCGCTGGCCATCATGGAGTTCTTGAAGGAGGCATATCGCGTGACCAGTGTTGGAGGAGCCTTCATCTCAGCCCGGAACTCGGGGCATCTCGGAATGATATTGCTCTGGAAATTATATGATATTGATTGATATTCTAGTATTCATATGATCATCTTACCATAAGCAGATAGATAGATAGATAGATAGATAGATAGATAGATAGATAGATAGATAGCTATAGATAGCTATAGATATACAGCACACACACACACACACATATATATATATATATACATGGTCTACCACCCGTTCCAGCTGACATGTGCCGCCCTAAGGTGAGCATGCATCGTCCCAAGGCGTCATGCCCTGGTTACATCATAAGCTCTTCGCTTGGAAAACGGTGGCCATCGCCATTGAGGAGTGGAAAACGGGACGGCCATGGTGCCATATGGCTGGATCCCCGTAGTTAACGATGAACATGTGCCGCTGTGCCCCCAAATGGCCATGAAAAACATGTTTTTTTTAATGGGGACAATAAGAATCAACCATGATATATTTGGAGGTACCTCATTTTCAGACAAACCCTGTGAATGGCGTGCCAGGATGGTCAACCTGCAGATCGTCCAAGGTCTGTTTTGCATGTGCTTGGCAGCTGTGAAACATGGAGCAAGGACGTTTCTGTAGCAGACCTGAAGCAAACAAACCAGAGATAATTAAGTAGAGACATGCTTGAAGACTCCCACCATCGCGTAGCATGTGTTTGTTTTGTTGGATATTCTTTCTGTGATTAGTGTGATCGTTGCCGTCATTCCTGTCGTTCTTCCTTATCTTCAGAGTGATTCTGGATGCATCTGGATGCGATTGCTATTATCATATATTATCATTGGTTTTGGCAGTTCCAGAAGTTTAGACTCCCCACCAGCTGTAGTTACTATAGATTGAATAGATGTTGATAGTCTCCCCCATGCCAAGACCTGGCCATGGCCAGCCATGCCCAGGTGTCATGCGTACATTTGCGGCTGTGCTGCATTTAATGAAAGCAGGTGGGTAGACTTCAAACCGGTTGGACAGCTACAGGCAGGTATATGGTATAGCATCATGTTTTTTGATTTGTATCCATGTGTTTTGGGTATTTGGAGGAAAGATAGTGCAATCTTGTGTGACTCGCCAATCACCAGACGAACTTCCTATTGAATTTTGCTGGATCCAGTTGCTCAGTTGAGCACGGTTCTTTTTCCATCCTTTCCCTTCATGTGCACGTTCAATATTGTTCAATAATAATCGCACGTTCCACGCAATTGAGGTGGCCCGAAGCGTTGCGAAGCGCACAAGTCCTTAGAGGTGCAGTTCTTTGCCCCCATCTTGTGAACTGCACATTGTTTGAAGTAAAGGGCGAGAATCCCTGGAAAGAGTATCGGATATCGCCTTGCTAGCAGTCTTGAGCGAGCACTTAAAAATTGCATGGTGTGCTGTGCGTGTGTGAACGACTGGTTTCGTTCCGCAATGTTTTATTCAGCCACAAAACGCACGTCCCTGCGATATTCCTTTGAAATGAGGAAGAAATACACGTATATCACGTATCGTTCATGACGCATTTGCAATTCTGCTCAATTTTGAAGCGGGATGATAGCTTGAAGGGTTCAAGCTGGAAATCAGTGCTTGATTTCGCACTTGTTTTAGACACTGTTTTGATGGTATGTGGCTTCACTTTCCCTCCTGCCCTTCAGGCACATTGGCCGCGACTTTACAAGCAGGCAGACACATGGTTACCAAGTCCTTGAATCTGAAATGACTGTTGGATAGCACTCTTCACAGAGGCAACAGCAGGGAACTGAGATAGCTGAGATAAATTAGTAAATGTCCGCCATCAATGGCAGTGTCGTTTAGTGGCTGCATGTGATTGCACTGCTGCACTGCCACTAGGTCACCGATCATCCTGATTCCGATCTATCAGCCTCAAGCCACCTGGCGCAGATCTTGAAGGGAGCCCTGCAAATGGTTGTTTACGCTCACCAAACATTCACACATGTATGTTGCCAATTGTTGCTAGACTTCTACTGGCAATTACTGACAAATTCTAGTTTGAGAGCTTTGGCTCCAAACTTTCATCCACTGTTCTTTATGATTCTCTACGTATTTCTTTTGGCGAAAGACGGCAGTTGGGCACGTCACAAAGTGCTGACCTTGAGGTGATGATGAGCCTCCTCCAGAGGTGGCGGGGCCAAGGGGATGCTGCACTAATGGGGTGCAATGTACATGGTTGAAACATGAATCATGGGTTTATCATGGTTTATCATTGTTATGATATATATATATATATATGTGTGTGTGTGTGTTATAGTTATATATAGTGTTATAGTTATAGTTATATATATATATGTGTGTGTGTGTTATAGTTATATATATATGTTATATTATCATATGAGGACCAGATGTCATATGATGTTACATGATATTATATGCATACATAACGTGTGTTTATTCATGAGAAGCCCAAAGGCTGCTCCGCCTTAAGTGTTTGCAGAATTTAATTCAGCCCACGACTCTGCAGCAATGGGTTGCAGCTCGTTGATGCGATATCAGCATTTGAGGATACCATACTTAGCTTCAAGGATGTCAATGTGCCAATCAAGTGCCGATCAGGAGGTGAAGGAAACCGATGAAAAACCTGTAATTACAGCGAGAGGTGTTTGCAGCCACTGGCGCTCGATGATCCTGGTAGACTCATGGTTTGGTCGATTGGCACCACTTTGAAGTTGGTGGCTGGCAGGAAGATTAGACACCCTCTTGGTGAAACCCGCGGACTCCAGAGAGCATCCAAGAACTACCAGGCACGGAGCCTTACCAGCGAAAGTGGAAAGCAACAAGCTAAGCCGTTTTCCAAGAATGTGCAAGCTTGAAACATCTTGCTTATTCCCTGCCAATATCCAAATCACCATTGTTCGCCACAATGTCATGCTCACACTCATAGACTGAGTGGAATTCGGCACCAAAAGTGCAACCATTTCCTAGTGCTGACTGAGGATATCACAGGATCTGTGATTCCCTGGGCCTTGATATTGACCAATCGCCCAAGCCGTGTCTCATCCGAAATTGCTTCACTGGTGCCAGCGGTGCCTGTTGTGCCACCAGGAGCTCACGAGCATCCCATGTCCAGCAAGGAGCCAGAATGAGATGGTAGCCAATCCCGAAACATTTGTTGGGCCCAACTACACAAAGGGTTCTTTGTTTCGCTGATTTGCTGATGGAGACCAGAGTTGAAGGAGCTCAGCGAAGTGCACGGATAACGAGTAGCTGATGCAAGAAATGCTTATTTGACGAGCTAAAGTTATACACTGACATGTCTGTGGATCAGATGATTCAGATGATATCATTGAGATTGAAACCATACGAAACTATTGAAACTAATTGCTAGTTGCTCCCATTCCAGTTTATTCTTCATTCTTTGAACCCTAACCGAGCCGAGTGTAGCCTTGGCTCGAACATCCGAACCGTCGGTGGTTAGTCAACCAAAGGATCCCTGGTTGTCCGGCAAACGCCACTTGGTTAAAGCAGTTCGAGTTTGACACGGTTCCTTCTCATGTCACCATGAAACATCATGAAACCACTTCCGAAAGATATCAGGGCAGGCCGAAACTGTTTTTGCCATTTATGTTGAGAAATTTAACGATTGCAACCTATAGGCATCTACAAACTATAAACTATGATTTCATCTTCGCACCCGCTGTCGGATATCGTTCCAGGATCAAGTACAATTAATTATAGACACTGCTGGACGACACGACGGAAGCAATTGAGATTCAACCTGCAGCCCGCGGCCTTACCTTTGTGCAAGCTACCGATCATATCGTTCATGAGAATTCGTTGGTTCGCCTCAGAATAAGGTTCAAGTATGTTCAAGTAGAGGGGTTGCCCATCCTTCTTGGATCTTCTTGGCAACTTTGAGCTTATCTTGTGGAATTTATGCCATTGGTTTCAGTGTCTTTCAGCCATTTTCAGCCCAAGGTGCGTTTGCTGACGAAGTTCATGGAGAGTCGAGCCTGCGTTCGATTCAGCCGTTGCTGGTTGCTTTGCTGTCTGGCTCTCCAGATTCGGGCCAATGAGTTGGCCTGTGCCAACCAGGCGAATGCCTCCTGTGACAGTGTCATGCTGATACTGGGCTCTGTTGATTTTCCATGTGGGAGGCTGTGCACTTGTCGATTTCAAAAGCCAAAGATAGTCAGATAGTCAGGGCTGATTTCAATGATACAACCGCGGTTGCGCATTTTTGGCATGGCAACCTGTTGGATTCGTTGATCTGCCGCAGTCGGAACCCCAAGGATACAAGAAACTAGATCCTCGCGGTTGGGCAAGCCACACAGTGATGCAGGTTCTCGCACTGGCCGTGTAGGGTTGTTGCATGTTGTTGCGGCGTTGCATGACAACATAACCCAGAACTTCCAAAGTGCCAAGGAAACGAGCACTTGTAAAGAAAGTGCCTGCGTTACTGTAAAGTACCATCTTGACTTTTTCATATGTTTGTGATGGTTTAGGTACATATACCCCATTGAACTAATAAGTAGCTATATAAACATGTTTTAAACTTAATGAGCAAAGACCGAATTCCAATCTTAGGCCCAAACTTAACCGCGTTCGAACCACTGATCTTCGCACTAGCTCTGGCTGCCCTTTCTTTGGCTTTTCGTAGGACATTTTCAACTACCCCCATTGCAAAACAGTGGTATATATACTGGACTGCAACGAACCGATGTGCTGCGATTGGCATTAAAAAAAAAAAAAAAAAATCACGGATCAAGGGGACCCTAAAATCACGGGTTTTTCACTCACTTTCACGGTGTTTTCATGGGTTTTTCACGCACTTTTCACACTTTGGTTCTGCGCCCGTTTTTTTTGTGAATGGAAGTGTGGAAATCGTTTTGTACGACACACTTTTGCAGACTTTTGCAGCTTTCGAATTGGATACCAATACATCAATCTTCGATAATTCAGTGGAAAACTAAAGTCCACTGGGTGGGAAAGAAGGCACGTACTGTCCACATTAATTTCCATGTTTGATGTAAACCTTCAAAGGCTCTAGAGCAAAGTTCTTTTGGGGTATCAACAGTGAGCATCTTGAGCTTCTTCAAAGTGGGTCATCTCATGAAGTTCACCATTGTGGACCAGTTGTGTAAGCACATGTAAGCACGTTGTGAAAGGTTCCTAGGAAACGAGCACTTTGTGGTGGTGCTTGGTAAACGAGGACCTGGAAGTCCAGGGTAAAGTTGGTGATGCTGTGAATGCATCTTATTTTGATGGAAGCACCAGTTGAGATGTAATTGTACTAAATATGTTGATTATGTTGTACTAGGTGTGAAATCATATTGAAATATACGTTTGTGCGTTTGTGCTTGTGTGTTGTGCTTACTTGTAGTGCAGGGCCCCAGCGCGCAGCTTATTGCCATCAACCAACCAGGTATATTAACATATATTAACCAACCAGCGAGCTAGAAGAAGAGAACCGTTACTGCATTTCTTTATGAAGAATCAAGAATCAAAATTCCGACTCCCTCAGAACAAGATTTTGATCATAGCCTCATAGCGTTCCAAATGGCAAAAGAAGAGAACGTTACTTCAACTTATAATAAAACGCGCACGCAGATTTGACGGAAAAATACACCCAAATCAAGAGGTCCAAGACCGAGGTTTCGGGAAGGAAGAAACATCATCAGAGACAATCATCCAAAACCATCCAGATATATATCCAAATATGATACAGTATGGTAAATACATGCAAATACATAATTACCATGGCTTGTAGGCGGCCGCGGGTTTTCGTGCAATTTTAAGTCTTTCGCGTGGTGTGGCGTGGGGTGTGACAATAACATTCATGTTAAGCTGCGTATGTAATTGCTGCTACGTCACGGATGGGGTGGGGCTGGGTTGGGGCGGAGTTGGGCGGGGCAATAACGCGCATATTACGTAGCGCCATCTCCCACTGTGTCTCCCACCTTATCTCCCACTTGTCTCCCACGTGTCTCCCGGCTGTGTCTTCCGCCTTGTCTCCCACTGTGTCTCCCACTGCACTTCGTCTCCCACTTTGTCTCCCACTCTGTCCCCCACTGTGTCTCGCACCTTGCACATTGCCTGCAACTGAGTCTCCCACTGTGACTGTGTTTTTCATTGTGTAAAAAACTGTGTCTCCCACTGCACTTCGTCTTCCACCTGTCTCCCAGCTTTGTCTGCCAATGTGTCTCCCAATGTCTCCCACTTTCTTGTTCACCTCGTTCCAATCTCTAGGAGCAGAGGACGGTATTTCAACTTCCCCCTCCCTTTCCCCATCCATGGCGCAGGGTTTTGTGGAACCTTGCAACCTCGTCTCCCAGTTGTCTCGCAGATGTCATCACTTGTCGTCCAAATGATGTGGTTTGCCAGATGTTTTCTCCCACCCAATTGTCTCCTGGTGGTTTTCAACTTGTCTCCCACAACTCCCATTTGTCTCCCACATGTGGTCTCCCGCTTGTCTCCCAGCTGTCTCCCAGATGTCTTCCAATTGTGTTCCAATTGTCACCCAGTTGTCTCCCAGTTGTGTCACAATTGTCTCCCAAATGTCACCCAGATGCGGCTTCCCAGATGTTGTCTGCCAGTTGCCTCTAAGGCCTCCAAGGTTTCTCCGCTTGTTGTCGAGTCTAGTTGTCTTCCGCTTCTTTTGCAGATGATGTCTCCCAGCTGTCTCCCGGATGTGGTCACATTTTCTCATGGCCGGCTGTGAGCCCTGGACCTCGTTTGGAACTGACCGTGACTCTTCCTCTTCGAAAGTGAGAGAAAAGACGCAGAGAAAAGACACATGACATGGGACAGGGTCGCCACCTGGCACCGGTTAGGCGTCAACACCTGCCAGGCAAGTTGAGGACAGAGGAGTGCGAAGGCTTCAAGTGCCAGCGGGGTGTGAAACTGCAACCCCCCAAGAGAGGCAAGGACGGCAAGCACACCGTGAACGAGAAGGAGAGCGAGTATCAGTTCCTCAGCCATGATAGTCTGATAGCCAGTTCAATCAGGGTGCAGGGCACACGATCATAATCGATCATAGACCCATTGACCGACATCCGAACATTTGAGAACGATCAGGAGCTGGTATCTTAACACGTCATATGCACTCAGTCAGGCCCTGCACTCAACCGCCTGTGATATTTCGCGTTTTTGACGCGGAGATTAAACCTCTTGGCTCCAGGTGCATCATTTTAGCCAGCTCTCAGCATTTCTGTCGACTTGTTCCAGCCGTGGTTCATCCATGGCAACTGTAGCTCCTCTGCTTGGGGAAAAGAAGGGCCACTCCAAGGCGTCCATCTTCTACGGTGCCGATGAGTACTTGGAAGAACTAAAACGCAAATATGAAAGGGACCACGAAATCGCCGCTTTGAAGATGGCACAACCAGATGAGGGCGACCCTCATGCCCCTTCAATGGCCAAAAGTAAGGAGAAGATCCTCAGTGTGGAGAAGAACGACCAAAATAGGAGCTTGAAAACTGGACGTCTCTTTCCCATTCCCAACAAGCCAGATCCAATGCCACCGAATTTGGCCGTCTTGTTCACGAAGATTACGCCTGAGCAGATGGTGTTTGGCTAGTGGTTTCAGGTATGTTTTGACTTATTATTTGGCGAAATTTGGAGGGATGTCCCAACTGACTACTGAACAAAACTATTTTTCCGGAGGGTAGAAACATGTTGAAACCACCCACCAGGTGTACATGTGGAATGTGTTGACGGCCATTTTCGTGTTGCAGTGTGTGATGATTCTGTCCTACTGTGCTTCCTTGGCAACATTCCCAGAACATTACTGGACGTGCACACTTTGCTTTGGAATTCCCTTTGCCATCCTTTGCCTACATCTGCATTCAGCAAATCTACATCGATCACGACGTGATGCATGGAGTGACTTTCCCGCCCTACGAATTCCAGAAGTACCTGACACATCCCTTCTCCGACTTCCTGTCCCTGCCTTGGGAGGAGTTTGTGCTGGAGCATGCTCGCCACCACGCCAGCACAGTGGATTGCTGATCCAGGGAGAGTTTGGTTGGGATCCAGAAGAATTCCACTATGCCCTGCAGCAGTGGGCAGGAGAGATGGGACCAAACTGGTATAAGTACCTCTTGACTGTGCCATGGATTCCTGTGATCCACTTCTTCGGACTCAATGACACTGGGGCTTTGTTTGCCATTGAGTGGTGGCTGAGCTTCCCTGAAGAAGGCGCAGGTGGCAAATGCAACAAGGAGCTTCGGGAGTTGTGTAAAGCATCTTAAAGTGGGTTAATCTCCTTTAATCTCTCAATATATCCAATTCTCTAACCTTCCCCTTGCATCCCCTTGTAAGAATTCACTTTTGCATTTTTTGCTTCACAATCACCAGGGTAGTGACATCCTGACCGCACGAAAACATGGCTTGGGACTAGTATGGACTAGTCACTGCACCAATTCTTTCCAAAAGGTGATATGGAAGGAACAAGAAGAATCTTGATGGCCCTTTCATCTTGGTGACGTCCTTGCAGCCATCCTTTAATTCCCTCATTGTCTCTGGTTTTCAATCCGATTTTCACCTTTGATGTGACCTGGGCCTCGAGGGGACACAAATGGACACAACGTGATGCCGCACCCTGTAGTCCCTCTATATATTCTCTCTCTATCGCTGCGAGAATTCCCCTGTGGTCTTTGAATACTACTGCTGCTGCTACTACTGCTGCTGCTGCTGCTACTCCTACTCCTACTCTGCGAGGAATTCTGGTCCAAGTGGTTTCCAAGGCGTGTGAAGCACAACACCGTGGTGTGGTTTTTATGGATCTGCGTGTGGCTCTTGGGCACTTGGCCATTGGGCCGTCCACTCAGCGAAGGCTGGAGATTCGTGCTGCCCGTGACTTGCGCTGCTCGTGTGGGATTTTCCTTGGCTTGGATGTTCATCACTAACTTCACCCATTCTTTGCCATGTGGAACAAATTCCTGGCCAGCGATCCCGGTCGCAACCGGCCGATCTTGCACAACCTCATGGCCCTGGCAGTGGGGGGGAAGCATCGCTGGAATGAAATGTTATTTCATGATGTCCATCATGCCTTCCCGAACGCATTGGGCACTTTGAGTCAACGTGGACGCTTCCACGGATGGAAGAAAGTTCATGATGCCAGCGTTGAGGTTTTGTACCGCGGCTTGTGGAAGCCCAACGGAGATGAGGAGACCGAGATGCAAAAGCAGCAGAAGAAACGATCCCTTTTGATGCGCCAGGGCCAATGAAAGCCGTGAGGACATATGTGTGAAGCTTCTTGAAGTCATGGAAATGGATGGAAATGGCATGCAGCTGACTGGAAGAGCCAAATTCAGCCTTCAATACCGCTTCAATACCTGAAATCTTCGAACATTTCCATGACTTCAGATGGCCATTGGTTTCATTCTTTTGGGGTTGGGAAACCATTGCGTGTGCCCCGGGTGTCAGTTCTGTCTCGGGCAGATCACTGACAGGGGCTGACTGCACGGGAGCCAGCCCTACCAGCCATGCCATGGACTTTCCACCTGGCGGGCACGCCATAGCTTGCACAGCCTGCATCCTCCAGGCCAAACCGAACCTATCCGAACCTTTGAGCAAAAAAAAAGTGGTGGACAAAACACAAATTCCCGAACTTGGGGGAAAAGGAATTGGTCAAAAGCCCTGAGGTCTGGTGAGATCTGGTGAGTAGTCACGAAGGAACAAACTATTTGCGTTTGACAACCACTTGCTGCTTGAGCCCACAGTCCTCTTGACGCAATGCATATTCATGCATTATAATTATATATTTGATATTTATTTGATATTATTTGAGTTCATTTGGAGTTTTGCCAACCGTTCATGGGTGTCCGTGCGTAGGTGAACTTGATCCATTTCTGCATGGGCCTGTTATGGCCTGTTGAATTCAAGCAATAACAACCATGAACAACCCAATTATACTTGGGCTTGAATCATATCAGACTCATACCGTATACCTATGAACCTATTGCTATGACAATGGTTTCTCCATGTTTTCCCATGTTTTCCCCCATTGCGTGGAACCAAAGAAAGAAAGGATGCCATGTGAGCAAGACACATGGATTTTTGAAGCAACTGCTTGGAACAGCATTTGGCTTTGCGAGGTTCCAAATCAATGAGGATGGCAAATGGAACGCTTCGATTTGCTACCAGCAACGGTTTTGTTGATTCCTTTTCTTTGGGCATGGAGGGCCTTTGTGGCGCTAAAGTTGGGATGAATTCCGCCCCGGTTGTGGAAAAAAAACTTTACGTACCTCTACATTTCTTGTGGCATGGCCGTTCTTTGTGATTATCAATGTGTGTGTACACATTCAGACCCATCGCATAAAGCCGTTGATACTTGACATATCTTGACATGGCATGCCCACGGGAAAGTCGTATTGTTCCTCCTTGATGTTGATCATGTTTGGCACAAGATTGGCAGCCTGACAGCCAAGGAACACATATTACTTGCCTGGGGCCACGATCTACAACAAGCGCACCGTGAACTATGGCATCAACGACAAGTAGCATGAGCAACAACAGACATAGAATTTGTTGGAACATGTTGGAATATGTTCGATCGGTGGCTCGTTTCTTTCCCATTCATGTTGTTTAAAGCTGGGTCTTCTCGCCCTGGGCAGAGCAAGCAGGTTCAGTTCTTGGTTGGATATGTTGCTATGTACGACTTTAGAATCACATTCCATGTGTAGACGGATCACAGCCCGGGTTGCACTATGGGACTGGGTTTGGTGTGCCCGGATTGAATGCTGCATTGCTCGATGCTTGCAAATATCATAGCATCTCATAGCTCTTTGAAATTGTTTAAGGTACTACTTGATGGCCTCGGATACTACAGACTATAGCAATGCTGCCAACTTCCACAAGGTCAGAGCAGCAGTGCTCCACATCAGACATACCATTTGAAACATTTGAAACCACAATTCCACAGATGTTCGTTTCCTGGCCAGTTTGGATGGACATGTGCACTTTATGTGCACTTTATGACCAATGCAATGCTGGTTTCGTGGCAAAAAAAAAAGAAAAACGAAAACCCACGCTGCTACGGATGGCGTGTAGGTGATCTTGGCGGGCAAAACGATGATTGCCACCATCAATCTGCAGCTCGCCAACGGGGTGCACAGTATCCATTGGAAGGATATCCCTCAAGAATCCCCAAGAAATCTCTAGAATATCTGGTCAGAATGTCAAATTATGTCAAATTGTATTTCTCTGGTCAGGATGTCAAACAGTATTATGATGGTATTATGATGGTATTATTAGTATTATGATGTATTTACGGTAGTATGTGTCATGGTTTCATCACGAGTCATGGTGCCTCCAAGGAACGGTGCGGGATGCGGATGCAACGTGCCTTGATCAAAGAGAAATCAGAGACCCTCCGAAAAATCCTGTGGGCATCCCTGGCATTGAAATTGCTTGGGTTTGGATGGAAACTCTGCAGGTTATTATATAAACGGTTAATAACGGTTATACTTATTCTATACATAGCAGATCCATGCAGATCCCAGATGTTTGAGAAGGGAGAGTGAAAGCCGGTCCAATTCTGACCGATCCAATGGGGACTTGCTTGACTGGATCAGCATGAATTCTGGCGCATGGATAGTCAGCATGCCTGAAATGACCCAGCCGTTTCAGGAATGCCAAGGGAAATCAAGGGAATGCCCGTAGATCACCAAAATTGACAAATCAATGGACCTGAGAACGGGACACCTTGCTGTGGCCAATCCCCAGATCCAGAAAGTTTTTATCCAGCAGGATTTGTGTCCAACCTGCAAGGTGAATTTCTTTCTGGTGAATATGCCAGCGAGTTCGCCTGGACAATATGGCGACTACTACTGCGATGCCAACTGCGTGGGTGGCAATTGCTGTGCGGAGTTTGATATCAACGCCGCTCTGATGTAAAGGGAGTCTTCAAAGAGGGATGCATGAGGCTTCAAACATCGACGAAAGTTCATCGCAGAGACAGCTAAGTTGTGTAAAGTTGTGTGACATAATGGAGCCATTGAGAGCTGCGCACCTCGAGAAGTTATTTCGTTCCGTGCCACAAGATCAGTCCATTCACGTCCATTCTAAAATGATACCTCCATTTCCGTTCCTGGAAGCATCGCTTGAGGAAATGAACACACACGCTTTGCAAGTCACAAATCATAACTGTGGCAAGCCGCCGGAGTCCTGGAACTGCGATGGCAATGGCGATCCTTTGATCAAGCCACGTGGCTCAAATCCGTGCGCAGGGCTAGCGGTTCAAAAACTTTCTAAAACAATTGACGATAAACTTTGGTTAAACCATAATAAACCCTAAATCCTGAAACCTAAAGTCAAAATCGCTGCATATAGCCAGTGTTTTCATTCATCCTCTCGTGACAAGTATATGATACTGTTTGGGTGTGTTATGTGTTTGTGGGGAAACGTCCGGGTTGGGGCGAACATGTTTCACCTTTTCACATCCCCGTGGCAATTTCCACTCTAGAACTGGTGAACCTGTGCATAGTTGAAACGATTTTTTTTAATGTATTGGAATTTTAAAATTGATGCCAGGCCAGTCATTTTATTGTTGGGGGGTTGGTCTGAGCATTTTATTGGCAAGGTAAATCCTGATGATTTTTAACATGAAAAAATTCCATTCTCATTTATTGCAAAAAAAAAGTTTGTTTGGAGCATTTTATTGCAGAATGGAACCAATGCTTTTCCAGGATCTTTTTATATCGATTTTATTGGGCATGTCATTTTAGATCAGCGAATTTTAAGTAATTTGAAGGAATTCTAAGGAATTTTAAGGAATATTAAGGAATTTTAAAGGAATTATAAGGAATATGAAGGAATTTTAAAGGAATTATAAGGAACTTTAAGGAACTTAGAGAGTTTTAAGGAATTTTAAGGAATCTTAGAGGAATTTTAAGGAATTTAAAGGAATTTGAAGGAATTTGGAGGATTTTTAAGGATCTTTAATGTGTTTAACATTTAAAGGATATTTAAGGAATTTTAAGGAGTTGTTTGGATTTTTAAGGATTTTTTTTTAAGGAATTGCCACGAAAGAATGCCACCGTATTTTGTTGCTATAAAATGCTATTTAAAAAAAAAAAGAAAAACACTTAATATTTGGGCACCTTCACTCTAAAATACCTCTATCTAAAAAGATTTTCCTGACCCCTTTTTAAAGAGGCGTTTCTGAGGGTCTTCGAAATTGGATGAAGTTGGATGCAAATTCGGGCATGAATTTGCTGGCAAGGCATTTTATTGCAGAACCAGTTTTCATTGTTTTTGTGCATTTTAAAGCCTGAGGCCCTATGCACAAAAGTTAGACCGCTCTAAAACTCCTGCACAACTTCACATAATGAAATGGAACCCCGATCGTTTCACCTGATTCAAATGCCTGGCACTTGACAATTGAATGGCTGATGTCTTTAAGAATCGCCAAATCACATGGCAGCTGGGACAAGCTTGCTTACCGGCCTGGCTTCTACTTCCCCGTGCTTAAATTGTGCTCACCGTTAGGTTTCTTCCTGGAGAATATGGGCCGGGCTCTTCCAATACCATCAACACCGACAACCCCTTCAACTTCGCCCTGCAGGCACATGACTTGAAGGGAGGATAGGTCAGGGTTGTGGAAAGATCGAAATAGAAATGGCTTCAGGATACTTCAGGACGGCCAGCGTACTTTCAGCTCAAGTTTTGAACCTGAACCTCAGGCACTAGAAGTGATTAAAGGCAGCGACTCCGAGAACTACCTCCAGGTGTTTTGGCATGTTTTGGTGTCAATCTAAACATGTCAGACTAATGTGGGACGGATTATTTCTGGGCTGGAGAGTGGAGGAAAGGTTAAAGGCCCTCACCCTGAAGACCCAGATGCACCAAGGTTTTTGCCAGGCTCTGGCAAGATGGCAAGACCGTGATGAAGAGCATGGGCGGTAAGGGCAGCCCCCTGAATTCACAATGGGGACGCTTGGCTTAGCTTCACTGCATCGTATATCGATCTCGATCCCTGGGCAGGTGAGCAGTTCCCCACAGTTCCCTGGCATAAAAGATACTAAATATACCCCCCTTGGAATTTCCACTAAAGAATGGGACAACCCGGGTTGTCGCAAAAAACGTTTTTTTTTGCTAAAACAGGTGGTTTTTCCACATGGCTAAGCCAGACTCTCCATTTTTTGCAAAGGCTTCCTGGGTCAGGATTTTTTGGAGAGGGGATTTTGAGAGGGAATAGACAAGCTGATTGAATTTTTGGGCACATTTGGTATTTTTATACGTGTTGACATCCACATGGCTAACATGGACTCCCTATTTTTTAGAGTTCTGCATTTGCATTTGTAGTTTTTTGTATTTTTTGTTTTTTTTGGGTAGTTGGTTGCCTGGGCCATGATTTTTTAGATGGTCTTAGACCCCCTTGCACCCTGGGTAGGCATTCTTTAGATGTGCCATTTCAGTAGTGCAAGGTGGACCACCGTTTTTTGTCTAAAGAATGCTGGAGTCCATGTTAGCAGGGGAATTCCAACAGTGATCTAAATATATCTAATTATATAAATATACCTATCTAAATATACGAAGGAGATATATATATATATATATATTAAAATATACCAGATACGTGCCAGGATTTGCACGGATTTTTGTTAGGTGGTGTTTTTGTAACATCTTCTCGGCCGTTTCACCATGTTTCACCTCAGATGTGGCATCCGAGGGGGGTATCCTAGCCAGTCCAGCAGCCCAGGAAACCTTGCCGCTGGCATGGTCTTGGCAACTTCCCAAGTGGGGGGAAGACCGGGAATCCGGGAAGCAGAATGACCTGTTTCGGGACCAATTCGCATGGCGTATTATAGGAATCAGTCGCATGCACTTGCCATATCTTGCCATGTTCAGTCTTTGTCATAGATGTCTGAAGTATCCGAGAAAGCTGAACATCATGATTTCCATTTGACATTATATAATGTGAAAGTTGTCATTGTTACTGTATGGCCATAATTTAACCGCCTGCCAATGGGGTTTGTGACCCTACAGCTGAACATCCCAAGGGGAGATCCTTAGGTCATTGATTACTGGGAGAGTGGTGACCTCACCTGGTTGGATGGAGCTAGCTGCACTGCACCAGAGACTTGCAGTGGGGCCCACGCAGATGTGTCAGATATGCCACTTGCAAAGACACGGGAGGCTTGGAGGCTTGGGCATCTTGGGATGTTTTGGTCATGATGATTATGTATGATTATGTCACATTCATTAGAGTCATTAGAGTCATCATGTATTGATAAATATTGATAATATTGATATGTGGGGGTGTGGCCAAGTTATGGCAGAGATGTCGATTCCCTGAGTTTCTTTCAGACCATTCAAGCGCGGAAAGATGGAACCCTAGATGAGCAATTCTGTGATATCCTTAGTGGTTTTTTAGAGGTCCCAGAGACTTGTCCCAGCGGTAGAAGCAGGGATAGATGGATTGTAGGCTTGATCTCCTTTCCGATGGCTGGATGCCTGAGGAAGCTGATTACCAATGCTTTGGAAACGCCTGCGAATTGCCCAGACTCAACAGCTACTGGATGCTCCTGTGACAACGTCAACTACAACGAGGTTTGCAATGTTGTTGGGTCGCCTAGAAGACTTGAACAGATGTGCTAGGAAAGCAGCAGCTGTAGGAGTTGTTTGGATTTGTTTGGGAGTATATAGGTGTATATGGGGTGTTTGCATCGATTGTTCACAATAACAGACCCTTCCGAAAAAAATCATGGTTTACATTTTACAGTAATTGATAAACAATGACAATGGGGTCTTGCTCATACAGAATGACTTGCTCAGTCAGTGGTTCCCTTCAGGACGATGGCACAGAATGCTGGTGCGTTTGCACCTGTTCAAAGACCAGTCTTGTGCCGCGCTGCACGTGGTCTGGTTACCATCCCTTTTGGCGGTGATGGCTGGCGCCACCACAGCCGCGCCCTTTTTTTGGTGCAACCAGCCCAAACGTTCGCGTTTCAAAAGCGACTGGACGGTTTTGAAGCATCAACGCATGGTGGAAAGGATGGGGCCTTTTGTATATTTTGTATGCAGAAGATGATGCAATGGCATACATATTGCCGAAGAAACACAATTTAAGTCTGCACAGTTAGAGTTTTGGCCTTAAACGGCCAAGGTTCGTTTCAGACTGGCTAGCAACTTAGACATGAAAGGCGAAATTCGGAGCTCTACTCTGACTCTGATTGGACTCCAGTTTGGCCTGCACTCATGCGTTAAAAAGGAACGCTGACCTGCCGAACCCAACCCTGACGCTCATTCGGCCGTTCCCCGCCGTTGACGTAAGTCGCCTCAGGAGATGATGGTAGTAAAGGACCTGGTGATGCTACGGCAAGCCACGGTACAGGACAAGCACGGCGCATAGAGGAAAAGCAGAGCCATTAGATCTCGGTTCATTGACTTGACTCAGCGTGATGTAGAGTTGAATCATTTAATTACCTGGTATTACCTGTAAGGTACAGTAGAATAATATTTTTATATATGTGCACACACATCTGCACACACACACACTATATATATATATACATATTCATATATATATATATATGCATATATATATAATATGTGTGAGTAACCAACAAAATTAGCAGAAAACTAAAGTAGGGAGTGGACTTGGAACCTTTAAATTTGCGTGAAAACCTTCACAAGCGATAGAAGACCACCCACTTACCGATACCAGTATTTTCACACATAGAATGGAAGTACAAACCTTCACAACCGATAGGGGACCACCCACTTTGGCCATGTCCATTGCGAGTAATAAGGAATTTTGTCCGCCACTCATAATATATATATATATACACACAACACATATATATATATTTATAGACAAAACAATGTATATATATATATATGTGTGTGTGTGTGTACATAATATACCCGTAGATAAGTAGTTTTGACGGCATGCTGCTATGCTGCTTTTGGTGGATCCGAAAGGGTTTGAATAGTAAGGCGCTTGATGATCTGAATTGGACTCCTGCTGTTTGTGACCTGCGGCTAAAGCCTTTCCAGCTAACCTGAAGTACAGCAGGCATGACTGACTGAATTGTTGTGAAGAGAGAGTTGAATAAACTGCCATTGCAACGCCCTACATCCCAAATCCACGTGCAAAAGAGAAATCATGGAAGAAAACTGTTGTGGGGCATGGATGAGCATGGCGCAGCCTGTAAATGGCACATAATGGCACAGCTGCTTGCAACATGTTTATATCCTCAATTGAGACGGTTGCCCGAGCTGAAGCAACACCTCACCATGGGGTACCCATCATCAGCTTTTACTCCTGGCCTGGGCCATGCCTCGGCAAGCCATGAAATGCAGTCTATCCTGAGGCGTTGGGAGTGGCAGGTAAGACTTGCCAAAGGCGTTCATTCATGGCACGGCCAAACAGAGTAGGGAATTGCATGTTTTATGCTGGAGGGACCCCATGATATCAATTCTTCTCCGTGAATATATGCCAATACACACTAACCACATCTATATCAAAATATTTGGCACCATCTAACACTATCTAACAACAGCTAACAAGCATCTAACAAACATCTAACAAACATCTAACAATATGCTGCAAATTCTAACACCATCTAACAATATACATAATATGCTGCAAATCAACAGCTCATCGCGGCTCACAGGTGAACAGTGGCCATGGAAAGCACCACGCTGACGGTGACCAGGACGGTGACCAGCACGGAAAGTGCCACCGCAGCTTGGAGTTGGCGCTGGGATGGGTGGCCTCATGGCCTCATGGCCTCATGGCCCTTAATAAATGATGAATGATTGCTACACACATATAGTATGTATACATATATATACATAATATACATAATATACATAATATACATAATATACATAATATGCATATATATATATATACATATGTGCGTGTGTGTGTGTGTTAACATGATATAGTAAATATGAACTGATATTGATGTAAGATATTGATATTGATCTTCGGAAAGCATCAATTTGATGGCCTCATCAACACAGGTTTTGGTCATTTGATTGTAAATTATTTGCCATGGTGTTACGATTTCGGCCATTTGCGGCCAAAACAGTGCCGAATAGCTTCAACAGGAGGAATATGGGATGGTTGATGATAACCCATGGGCTATACTTTCATCTGCCTTCCCACCCTACAAACTGGAGTTTTGTTGGGCCGAAAGGTATGGCAGAAGAATGGTACGCGTGGTGTTTTGTGAAGCATCACATGTTTCACTCCAAGTTACAAGCGTTTAGAGGATGCGACTCCCACAACTACTTGAGCATGTTTTCATGTATGTGTGCGATGGTGTTTTCATGTGTTTTTCCTATGATGCCTATCTCATTTCAGATTACGCATTGGTAACACAAGGATGTCATGTGCACAAAGATGGTGCTGGCCACTAGGCCAGGCGAACCGAGAGGTACTGCGCCTTGGGAAAATATAGACTGAGAAAGAACAAACGGATTAAAGTATGTACAATGTATTAAAGATGATTGAAGTATGTGTACTATGTACATGCATGTTGTAAGTTCAAAGCCTACGGTATCCGGTCCACGCTTGCAGCACGTTTGTGCAGTTTGATCCACCAAGGTATCCGAGGAGGCTTGGAAATGCTTGGAATCGCAACCTTCGGAGTGTACAATTGGAGAGCGGTTCATTCGTGATTTTCATGATGGGATCATGATTCATTCGATTGATGGATGTGTTTTTGCTATTGATTTTTGAGAACACGTTCAGTGAAGTGGTGGCAAGATGTTTTTTTTCTCGCAAGTTTGAGCTATGCAAGTGCCTGTTGCACGGCTGGAGCGCCTTTGATGCCTTTGTGCAGGCCAGACTCAGCACTGAGACCCTGGTTTTATGCATCGTGATTCTGATTCTTGGCTGATGAATTGTGGAAGGAATGCTGAGGCTGAAGGGGCCTCTGTGGTCAAGTGAAGCTAGCATAGAAGTCCATAAAGCTTTTAACAAATTCTAGCAGATCATGGATTTGCTTGGCCAGAGATCCGGTGTCAATGTAGTGTTGTGTACTAGTAGTATTGAGTATTATATAGTATTCTGGTATCTTGTTGGTCCATGTGAGGACTTACTTGTGGTAGGTGCTTGTATGTATGTAATGTCATTCGACGATTTTGATGTGATGCTAGTTTGGTGATGAATCTATGATGAATCATGGGTTGGTATGTTTTTTTAAACATCCATCACAGCAATATGGGTTTACAACCCCATATCGCCGTTCAACACGCCTCCAGTTGCCCAGGTCCTGTGCCTTCACCATGGCTGGTCTCATTGTTCGCACCTTGCTTCGGAACCGTCACAGGTTGACAGAGGAGCCAGGGCCAGGGCCAGGGCCAGGGCGGGATGAGTTGGGATGTACCCTCTGGTTATGACTAACATAGCCATGGAAAATCACCATTTTTGATAGGTAAACCATCTATAATCCATCTATAAATGGGTCATTTTCCATGGCTATGTTAAATTTTTAGAGGGTAGATGGGATCATATGGGCTCCCAAGATGTGGTCCATGTAGCTTGGACTAACATTTGGAAGCCACAGAACGACCACCAGAAAGCTGTTTGGCAGGATGACTTGGAGGCGTGTGCATGGCGGCATGTTGGGCATGACTCGAGTTTCGGTTCCCACCATCTTCAAGGTGACCCAAATTGACCCAATGACTTTCACCGAGAAAGCCCATCATCGAAATGAAACACATGTGTTGCAAACGGAAGCAACTGGCAAGCCCTGCGGAAAGGTTTGGAAGTGCCGCAGGCATGTGGACCCCAAATCTTAATCTCAAATGAATCAAATCAAGCTTGAGATGTTGTCATATTTCCGTTGGCTATACTTTGCTGGAAGCACATAGCATCATATCGCCTGATTGCTTGCGATGATGGCTCAGATGTTTTATGTGGCATGTGAGCATGCAAATTGCACGGAGCCCATGTGGATCTACATGAAGGTTTTTCATTCCTCAAGCAGCTAGATAGGCAGCTTTCCGTTTCACTTCGATCCAGATGCAAGCCTTTTACATATGTAAGTGATTGTAAGTGTATCCATAGCAAGTGCAGGCACTGTGTTTTCCCACCTGGATATCTAGGTCTAGGTCTGAGTCTGGTCCAACCCGAGACGCAATTGAGTCTACACAAAAGCAGCATAAAATTCCAGGAAAATACTGATGATTACAGATGAAAGATAATTCCTCGGGCAACATTGAAACCAGCCTACTGTAGGTGCGGCATGGAGCTAGCAGTAAGGACAGCTGTCACAGTGACTGCGTTGCATGTTTCAGATCTCTCTGCCTGGCGCTCCACAATGGCGGAAGCACCAGAAAATGATGCCTTGTGCTGGTTTGTGCGCCTTAGTCGCACAGAAGTGCACTGCTGGATGGAGGGCTGCATCTTCAGAGCCTGGATGTACCTGGATAGATAATGCGGTGACTGGCAAGAGGATACCATATCGTCTATCAGATCGTGTTTGACTTTTTCACCAGAGCCAGCTGGTCACAAGCCATTTCCATTTGGGACATCCTTCATCCTTCGTTGGAAGATGTTGATGCAGTTGATGCATGTCATTTTGAACATAAGGTTCATCCTCGTGCCACTTGGCCAACATTTGGACGGAGCAGTTTTGCGCTGACCACAAGGGCCGCGTTTTTGCCACAGGCTTTCCGCGCTCCTGGGCTTCGACGCTGTTTACTTGGCGCCCGTTCATGTGCAGCGCATGCCCAATCAGATTGCCAACAAAATGTCTGGCTTTTGGTTGAGCCACTTGGCAGCGTTGGCACCACTGTGCTGATAAGAAGATTCGAAGAATTTCGAATCCCCTAGGTATTGGGCTTGCCTTCAGCTGCTGGATTTGGATGCGTTCTGGCTGGGATAATGCCTCCGGTTTCCTGCACCTTGGAAAGTGTGACCTGTGAAGCTTTTGGGGGTCAATGTTTTTTTCTTCAAAGATGGATGTCTCAGGACTACTGTAGGCCTTCCCAGCCCAGGCAAGGCTTTTTCCTGGAGTACATGCTCAGTCCCTTGGCAATGGGCTTGGAGAAGTAGCAGGCCACTGTGATCACCTGTTTGCAACAGAACCTGAAGCCAACTAGGCTGCACCATGCGGCGCCTGAGGCTTTGACAACCTGTTCGTTTTCCACATGATCTTTGTACACTACTGCACGCCCGATGTGCCTTGGCATCGAACATATCCCGCAGATTTCCTTGGACGGAACTCCCATGAACTCCCTGCGCCTCCATCAGTTAGGATTGGTTAGGGCGTAAACCCAATTACTTCGGCCGCATAAAAATCAACCATTGCAAGAAGTGATGACCTGCACCCACAGGTATTGACACACTATACCGCAGGCCAGTGTGATCCGTGTATTTCCCCTGTTTGTGAGTCATGTGAGTCTTAGTGACTTAGTGCCTCATTCATCACTACTTTCTGACATTTATGCCCATGACCATACTAGCAGATAACTCCCATCACTTTCGACGTGGAATCTTGTTTCCATCATGCCGGCTTCCATTCCATTGGGGTTGGTTAGAATCGATTCAATTAATAAAGAATCTGGGATTATCATGGATACCCTCTGGTAAACTAACATAGCTATGGAAAATCACCATTTTTAATGGGAAAACTCACTATCAATGGCCATTTTCCATAGCTATGTTAGTTTACCAGAGGGTAATCATGGGTAATTTAGGTCTTATGATACCTTTATGATGGTCCCATCTTTGAGGCACTGCTTTACCGTGCCTTGTACTTCGGCATTGCCGGGGCCATCGTCCTTCGCATTCTCATGATCTCGGTAGGCCACTCGTCGAGGGGTACAGTAGATACACTTTTGTATACTTTTGTTTTATTTGTTCTCAAAAGATGGTTCCATCATGTTTTATTCTTTTCTGGAAAAAAGCCTGCCAATATTTCTGATGTGTGGCACGGGCATGTGGCTGCGCAAACTTCAGAAATCCTCTCATATGTCGGAGGCAGTGCGCCCACATGTTCAAAAAGGGTAGCTGGCCCTCCCCAAGGCTACTCACTGGTAAACACTGGGGTCTACTTGGTGAAGGTTTGCTTTGGCATAGCTCTGATCTACAGTGGCTACAAGTGGCTCGCTTCAGACGAAGTGGGTGGTGCTCAAACTCTAAAATCCCCAAAATAAATAGATCAAAACGGATTCTGCTATAAGAGATGACCACTCTGAATTCATGATACTTCATGGCGTGCCCTGCTGTTCCCATTTTTTGATGGGAACAGGAGACTCCTGGCACCTGTATTCTTTTGATTTGACCTGCTGAATTGAGGTCAGCTGTGATGGAGCATGAGGATCCCGATGTTGCCAAGACGAACCAATGTGCGTCGATCATGACCAAGGTCCTTCCCATCAGCCACTTGGCCCGTAGAAAACCGGTGCGAATCAAGGAGGTGACGCGTGAAAATCAGTTCCTTTGAACCTGATGTTTCACACTGTTCTTGAAGAACCGCAGGGTCATGAGGCTGAAGTGCTTGAGAGCTGGTGTTCTCCGAGACATTTGGACCATTGTGAGGATCATCATTTCCACTAGGGATGCCTCAGGTGACCACTACGAGCCCAGAGGCCACTTCTTCATGGACGTGGAGGACAGGGCAATCTGAAGAATCATGAAAAAAAAACAAGTGGTTCAGGGAGAGCAACTCCCTGACTTCTTCTGGTATATCATATGAGCATATATATAAGCAGGTTGTAGTTTTGGCTTCGAGAGTGGCTTCAATATATATATATATATAATACAATATTTACACCTTTTCATTGTGGAAGCTACTGGTCCATATTGGCCCCAGATCGCTCTCAGTCCCACACATCTTCCATCAGTATCACGAAGTAAAATCGTACACAAGGCCGGAAGGGGTTTAATGATTTTTGCTCATTACAGACGCAATTTGTTTGAAGATTTCGGACCTTTTGCATCCGAAAAAAGTCCAGTGAAAGGTGCATCAACCGCCCCAGAGGCCAGAGGGTCCCTGACCGTGGGTGAAAAAAATGTAAAAAACCACAGTTCATAGAAGTTTTTAATTTCAATTGTAACCGTCTAAACACAGATTTTTAATATTGTTGATTACTTCATTTTTTCAACAATATTAAAACTATAATGAAAATAAAAACAGTCAAGGCATAATTACCTCATTATTTTTTTTTCAAAATCATCACTACTAACCGTTATATATTACCTCTTTCATTTCTATAAATCATAAAAGTCAATACCTAATTACCTCATTCATTTTATTGAAACCTAACTACTGACTATTATTTAAGTTTCTTTGATGCTTCTCTGTTTTCTTATGCTTATAGTAATTTGCTTGGGTCATTGAACAATTACAAACAGAACAACTAACAATTTTAGATTGAAATGTGTTATTATAGTCCTGCTTCATTTTTCTATATTCCTCATCTTCTTCATATCTTTTTCTTTGAACCTCATTTCGTTTATGTTTATGTTTGTGATAACTGGTTCTTTTATCTGACAAGCACATTTTACAAGTTTTTAACCCTTCATCAAAATTATCAATGTCCATAGTTCTTTCACTAGTTTTACAGGTTTTATCATCCATCTATCTTAAAACTGTATCCACCTTCAAATTTCAGCTACGAAATGGGGAGGACTTGGGCTACAGTACAGATTGCCAGCCAGGATTTTTTTGTACAAACAGGAGGGGTTGTGCCCCCCATTTTGTATTTGGAATCATTTTGTAGTTGATTCCTTTTAAATCACCATTTTCATTTTGTAGTTGTATATGTTGAGGTAGTTGAAGCATCCAACATAAAATTTCATTAGCATTTTGTAGTTGTACAAGTTGAATAGTTGAAGCATCCAACATAAAATCTCATTTGCATTTTGTAGCTGTACAGGTTGAATAGTTGAGGTGAGAAGAGGCGGAAACAGTGCGTGACATGTACATGGACACAAACAGATCATGAAGCTACAGAATGCCATCTAACAAACTGCACGGGTCAACACTTGATCCAACTAAATTCAATCATTGACAACTACAAAATGTTCTCCGAATTTATGTTGGTCGGAACTTTGGATGGCAAAGACCCAACTACAAAATGTCATTGGGAAAAATCATGTTAGCAATTCCGACGTTCAGCTATTTTTTAACTTCAGATGCATTGGATTTTGTAGTACTGGTTTTGAATTATTTTCCGAACCAGAAAGAGTTATGTTCTTCATTTTGTAGCTGCAAAAAAAGTAACATGCACTGCATTTTGTAGTTGTGCACCCTATGCATTCCGCTCTGTATCTACCAAAACCATCTGCACAACTCCTCCCCCCTTATCTGAACCCTGATAAAACTGTCATTTTCTTAAATCTGTTTTCAGATTTTTTTGATATTTTTCGTGCATAGAAAATCACATCATAACCTCATCCATTCCATACCCAAAACAAAAACAAAAAAAAACATCAAAATAAAAAACAAAACAACAAACCATAATAAAGACAATTTCCTCACCTTTAATAATCTTATTTTAATAATCCATAAATCTAATAAATAGCATTATTAGAATTATGTTAGTAGTAAATGTCTTCAATAATTCTCAATTTAAAATGAAATGCTTGTATTCCTATGATACTCTCTTTATCATTGTCTTCATCTATATCTTTCTGTATTTCTTCAACTGCTTTCTCTAATATTTCATCTACATTATCTTCATCTACATATTCATCAAAGTCATTCATAAAATAAATATCTCTTTAACTAAATTCATTTTCTCCAAATTCCTTTTCTGGGAATTTTGCCACTAATTGGACTTCAATATCAAGTTTAACTCTATAGTTTAATTCATCTTCTACTTCTTCATAAATTAAAGATAGTAATTCTTCTTTTTCTTCTGATATTATGTCTTTAAACTTTTTAAATTAAATGGCACTCCCTCTCTCATAATACAGTATTCAATTTTATATTCATACACCTTTTTCTTGATTTCAAATGTCTTGTTATTTTAGAACCAAGTCTTGAAATCTTATACTTATTTTGTATTCTCTTTAATGCCTCAATATGACAATATTTCAACTTCAAATATTTAGGGTCTCCAAATTTATAAGAAGCAATTTTACTCAACACATCAATGGGTAAATCTTTCGCACAATGCATCCTACTAATATACTTAAATAATTGTTCTTTAAGTATATATTCAAAGGTTAGAATAAGGCATTCTTTAAAAAAAAAAACTACTTAAAGATAAATTAACTAAATAAAATATATACTATTATATTATGAAAAAAGTTATAGACTATTTATTGAGTACTGATTTAGCAGAAATACCAAAAAAAGGAAGAAAATGATTGAAGTCCATAATCATAGACAACAAAAAGTTCAGATACAACAAAGACAGACCCATATCAAATGTTTTGACAAAGAAACTACTATCAGTAAAGAACACTAATGAATACAGAAGTTATGCTATGAAAAAGGCAAAGGATGTTGTAAGTAGAGAAAGGGTTAGACAACTACTAATCAAACACGCAATAAAAAACAAATTCAGGGTCAGAGATATTCAATCAGCATTTAGAAGATATGCTAATTCAATAGTTTTGGAAAACAAACACTTTCAAGGAGAAAGGGGATTAGAAATGATTGTGCGCCAAAAACAAAGACTATCATATTTTTTGAGAAATAGTAGAAGCATGAAACTTAACATAAGAACGGAAGGATTATTTGAAAAACCTGAATATGATGATGGAGGAAATGAATTAGGAAGTCAGGAACTTGTATATGCCCTACCATCAACCCGCTTCAATATTAGTAATGAGGATGAACTGACACAAGCATTAGAAGATAGTGTTATTCAAATCCGATTACAAATACAAAATTTAGAAGGTTCAACATCTAATTTAAGATTTGAAGATTTTGTCAATAACTATTCACTATGACAGATATGACCCAACAAGAGCAGGGAGATACATTGAATTACCAGAATGGATTAAACTAAAAAAGGCATGTATCAACATTAAAAATAAAGACCAAAAATGCTTCAAATATTGTATTCAATCCATAGTCTATGACAGAATAAGCAAACATCACCCAGAGGAAATGTTCCACTATAATAAACTGAAAGATGATATTTTGAACTGGGATGGTGTAAATTTTCCAACTGGTAATAGGGACATAGACAGATTTGAAGAGAATAATAAATCAGTTTCAATAAATGTTTTTGAACCTGATGACTGCTTAAATGATAACAGAATCATATTACATAGAGGCACTAAAAATAGAAATGCTAAATACGAAATAGATTTATTAAAAGTCTATGATGAAGACATCACTATCATTACGTATTAGTAAAAAATAAATGTAGATTACTAAACTGTCAGAGCAGTAGCAACACTAATAAAAAGTTTTACTGCCACCATTGCTTAAATCCATTTCAATCAGAAAAAGTATTTAAGAAGCATCTTGAAAAAGCATGTATGGCATCAGAAGGACAACAAACAAAAATGCCAGATAAAGACACATACATAGAATTTGAAAAGCATAATACTAAATTGCCTTGTCCTTTTGTAATCTATGGTGATTTTGAATGTCTAACCACTAACTCTAATACTGAAATAAAGGGAACTTACGGCACCGAAGGTGCCCTAAGTTGCTCTGGAAGCAGTGCTCCCAGAGGAACTTACCAAGAACATAAACCGTGCGGTTATATGTTGAATGTTGTAAGCAGGATTGATAATGTTTGCAAACCGTGTTTATACAGAGGTGAGGATTGTATGGAACAGTTTGTAGAACAACTGACCGAAATTAAGAAATATATTTTTGAAAAAATGAATGTTAATAAGCCAATGGATGAATTAACAAACGAACAAAAATTAGAGTTTAAATTATCGTCTCATTGCTCCATCTGCGGTAAGAAATTTGAACCTGATGATGAGAAAGTCCGCGACCACTGCCACTTCACAGGCAAATACAGAGGCGCAGCGCATGTAAAATGTAATCTGGATTATTCATTTAGATATTTTAAAATCCCTATCTTTTTTCATAATCTCAAAAACTATGACGCTCACTTAATCATTGCCAGAGCAAATGAACTAAACATAGAACTAAACCGAAACAAAAGAATAGATGTAATAGCACAAAACAGTGAAAAGTTCATAACCTTTTCATTTGGTGCTTGTCAGTTTAAAGACAGTTTTGCTTTCTTAACGGCATCATTAGATAAATTAGTTAGATTAAACAAATATGAAGGAAATCAAAAGATTAAAGACTGGGAATCTCGTTTTAGATATACAAACACCAACCCATATTAAATCTAAAACTGATTTGAATTTGCTGACTGATAAGGGTGTCTATCCCTATGACTACATGAACTCATGGGAGAAATTCGGTGAAACAAAACTACCAGACAAAGAAGATTTTTACAGTCAATTATATGAAGAAAACATAACTGACAAAGACTACGCCAGAGCAAATATTGTGTGGAAACATTTTAACATTCAAAATCTTGGTGAATATCATGATTTGTATTTGATGACTGATGTATATTTACTGACTGATGTTTTTGAACATTTTAGGGATATGTGTTTGAACTATTATGGATTAGACCCAGCATATTATATCACTTTACCTAACTATTCTTGGAATGCCTTTTTATCATTGACAGGAGTTAGACTACAACAAATACACATAAAAGAAATGTATGAGATGATTGAACATGGATTAAGAGGAGGAATGACACAGTGCTCCTTTAAGAAAGTAGAAGCAAACAATAAATACATGAATGAAGATTATGATAAATCTAAACCTTCATCATACATAAGTTATTTATATGCTAATAACCTTTACGGATTAGCAATGTGTAAGAAACTGCCATATGGTGACTTTAAATGGTATTACGGCAGAATGGATGAGAAGAGGGTAATGAAATATAGTGATGATGATGACATAGGATACATATTAGAAGTTGATTTAGATTATCCAAAAGAATTACATGATTTACATAAAGACTACCCACTAGCACCTGAAATCATGTGTATCAATGAGAGTATGCTTTCACAAGTCCAAAAGGATATACACAAATACTATTATGGAAAAGATGCCAGTGATGAAAGACAAATAAGTTAGTATTAAATGTGATGGATAAAAAGAAGTATGTTTTACATATATCAGCATTGAAGTTTTATTTACAACAAGGATTAAGTCTTAGAAAAGTCCATAGAGCAATAAGTTTTAAACAAGCAAACTTCTTAAAATCATTCATTGAATTCAACACTGAAAAGAGAAAGAATGCCAAACATGATTTTGGAAAAGATTTGTTTAAGTTAATGAACAACAGTGTATATGGTAAGACCATGGAGAATGTAAGAAAGCATGGTGATTTTGAAATTGTCAATACGCCTGAACGCTTCCAGAAACTGGTGAATAAACCGCTATTCAAACACAGGCATATCATAAATGAAGACCTTGTAATTGTTGAGAAAGATAAACACACAGTGGAACTAAACAAACCTATCTATATGGGTATGTCTAGTTTAGACTATTCTAAAATTCACATGTATTCTTTCTATTATGATGTTTTGAAACCACAAAAAGTGATGATAAAATCAAATTGGTTTATACTGATACTGATAGTTTTGTAATCAAAGTTGAGACTGATGACATATATGAAGACTTTAAGGAGATACATGAATACATGGATTTCAGTGATTATCCACAAGAGCATCCAAACTATGATAAAACAAATAAGAAGGTCTTAGGAAAATTCAAGGATGAAATGAGCGGAAAAGTAATTACTCACTTTATAGGATTGAAACCAAAGGCATATTGTTATAAAGTGTATGGTGATGAGAAAGAACACAAGAAAAGTAAAGGAGTAGTCAAGCATAAAGTGAGCAATCAGTTGAGTTACAAAACTTATGAAGAGACATTGAATAGAAACTGTAAAGAAGAAGTCAGTTTAAACATTATCAGAAGTAAGAACCATCAAATCTATAGCATTAATCAGACTAAATATGCTTTAAGCAACTACGACAATAAACGCTACTGGCATTCAGATTTTGAGAGTCTCCCATTTGGACATTACGCCATAAAATATCTACACAACGAAAAGATGGTTTAAGATATATGTATATAAATTCAACAACTGAAAAGCTAAGTCAAAGAACGGCAAAACATAGAACATATTATAAATCTTATCTATATAAGCCACATAAATCCCCCAAAACACCATCCTAACTCTATGAAATCGCTTGATGAGTTCGGTGTTGAAAACGGTAAAATGTTTCTTATTGAAGAATGCCCATACCAAAACAGAAAGCAACTCGAGAAGAAAGAAGGTGAATATATTGAAAATGATAAGAGCCGTCTTAGCGGATGTTTTGTTGGTCGGACTTGAATGGAATATTACGATGCCACAGGAGAGCATCACCTTGAAGAAACGAAAGGACGCCAAATATTCAAATAGAGAATATTGAAAAATACAAAGAAAAGACAAGCAGCACCGTGAGGAAAAAAAAATACAAGAATGGTAAATATTATGAGAATAATTCAAAGCATAGAGCAGAAAACAAAGACGCAATAAGACAACAACAAAAAAAATACAAAAAAGACAAAGATAAAATACATGCACAAAGAAGAGAAAGGCGAAAACAGAAGAAAGAAAAACAGTTACTAATCAACCAATAGTATTTCATGCCTATTATATATTTTACTCATTCCATCCAATTTATAATATCTATTATTCATCATATCACGACCAACTAGTATTACTTTATACTTTCTTTCACTCCACTGACTTCTGGTTTCTTTCCTTGATACATAGTTGCCCTTTCCTTGATCAAATATCTTAACATAATCTCCTTCACTTATGTTTGGATATTTTCTGTTGTGCTTTTCTTTCAGTATCAGATTTGTTCTGACCTGAATTACGTTATCAAGATTGTGCGCATTATTAGGTGTTGTCTTGGTGCTACCGTGGATTTGGTTGTTGTATCTATTCAACGAGGGCTTTAGCACTTCCACCCATGTTTTGTTTTTGTAATGCCTCAATCTGTCCCCAATCATTTTTTTGACCGTGCGTATCATCCTTTCTGCCTGATTTGCATGCGTCTTCGTTATTACTGTACGTGTGTTATACCTTCCTCCTTCAAGAATGTTTGCAGTTTCTTGCTGTTCAACGCTCCTTCGTCGTCGCTGTAAATCGACAAAGGCTGACCTAATACCTTGAAACACTCCACGATTGCTTTATAAACGTCATCACCATCTTTATTCTCGATAGGGACTATGTGACATTTTTAACTGACTGAATATATCTATGCAAACTAAACCATATCTTAGTTGACTTTTGATTTCAGACCCTGCGTCTCGCAGCAAACTGGTGACATCCATCAAGTCAATTTGGAATTCATACTTGGGAAACGGAGCAGCGTAGGAATTGTAGTTCTTGTAGTTTCTTGTTTGCTTGTTGGGTTGCGCCCTCATCCATGTAGATACCATATCCAAAGTTATGCCTGCATCGACTTTCCTAGCCTTTTCGTATAAGTCCCTCACCGAACCGAAGCCCTCCTCCACGTCGTAATATATTTTTTTCCAATACCTTTTCTTTTTCCAATCTTGTCATTATAAATACTTAGATTATAATTTTATGATGTTTTCTTGCATCATAAAATCATAACGAACTTACACTAAGCACCTTTGGCACTTTTTGGTTTTCTTGTGCTTTGCCAAGTTTGACTTACAACTTAACTCAGAATCGCATATATCGCATACGCACGGTTGTTTCGTTCTCTCTTGGTAATATCTTTGGAAATACTTTTCGTCGTTCGGTTTTCTGTTGTAGTATCCGTCGTCCTGCTTTCTCCATTCAGCATTTCTAGCCTTTTCAACAATAACCTGTTTTATCACCTTCTTCAGACGAAGAGGACGTTTCTCTGTCAGTCAGCTCTTTGTCTCCAAAACCGTTCCAAATAACGTCGAAGGTTTGATTAGTCATTGACATTTCAACTCCGTTGCTTACAAAGTAACAAGGCATACTGCAAATATAGTTAACTATATAAATATGTGTTTAAGTATTTTTTCATCAGAAACATTAGATTTGTCCTGATGTCATCTTTGCGTGCCTTTTCGCGCAAGACTTTAATTAACGGAACAAGACCCAATTTTCAACATCAAAGTTTATAGGTTTGAGCAGTTTACCTTTCCAACTTCCCACCGGTTGACTTATTTTTAGAGACGCCCCGTCCTAAAACCTCAAAAATCCAAACCCAAACATGCTTTGCGTTCAAAACAGTGAGACTTGAGCTTTGTCCCAAGCCAATCCAAAAACCAAACCAATTTCCCCGCAAATCGAGCCGTTTTTTCCCAAAAAAACGGAGCCAGTTTGTCCCAAAAACGGAGCCTGTTCTTCCCAAAAACGGAGCATGTTTTTTTCCCAAAAAAGGCACATGTTTTTCCCCAAAATCGGTGACGCATTTCCCCAAAATTGGAACGGATTTCCCAAAATCGGTGACAGATTTCCCCAAAGTCGGTGACCCCAAAATCGGTGACAGATTTCCTCAAAGTCAGTGGCTGATTTCCTGAGAGCCCAGCCTCGTTAGCCGGAACCCCAACTCCCAAAGCTAAAAAATACCAAACGCATTTTTAAGTATGTACATACTTGCTCAAAACACAAAAACAATGAGGGATTTCCAGCCCGCAACCACTCATGGAGCTTGCAGGAAAACGCAAACGAGGGTGAACCTGTGGATTTCTTGCGTCAGCACGTTGAAATGTATTTGCAAACATGGCATGCTTCCATGCGCGTCTGGGTTTGATGTTTAGTTTCAAGCTTTCGGCTCAGCGTTTGCAGATGAATTCCGGGGCAACAGCCCCTTCCGTGCAGCTCAGTCTTAGAGGGCTCAATTCAGAACGCATCGAACAAACAGTGTTGGGTAGCCAGAACAAAGAACTATTCCAGAACGGGTCGAAACTCAGTTTTGATTGCTTGATTGCGACCCTTTTTTCAGCGCAATGGCTTCCAAGAGAAGCGCTTCAGCTTCTTGTCTGCGTCTTGCTGCAATTAGTTGTTTTTTGGTCGGCGCCTTCCAAAATTTGACCTTCAGCATCCCAAAGCAGATAGAGGAAAGCGCCCAAAACAAAGGCATCAGTCCCGCCCAATACCTGAAAGATGTGAGCAACAGAGCAGAGCTTTACCAAAAGAGCAACGCGGTTGCTGGGCGAGAGGAGTTTGTGAAGACATTGAATGAGGCAGTGCAGCTGAGCTATCCGTTGTTTCTCATGAACTTGTTTTAATTCTGTTTGGAGTTTAGAGGTTCGGTATGGTTAAGGAAGTTTATGCGGTTATTAGACGGTTTGTCCTGTCCATTTTTGAAAAGACTTCAGCTCAGCTAAATTGTGATACAGTTCAAGATGTCACGCAACTTCGTCAGGCTATGGGAAAGTCTGGGTTGCACCTTGTCATTGGGGGCAAGTCCCTCGGAAAGACCAAAATTGTGCAGACCGTTGTTGACAATGCTGGCGATGAAGCTCCTTTGCTCTACGTCAATATGCGTCTCCCTAGCAAAGCCCAGTCAACGGATGCATTGGAATGTTTGCAAGAAGAAGCTAAGCGAAGATGGACCGCAAAGAGTTTGCCATTCGGGGCAGAGCGGCTGGTTGCCGCCGGTTCTGCGGTTCTTGGAGCACTTGGCAAAGCGAACTTAAAGAAGAGTGACGATGAGGAGATAGGAGAGGGTGCAGTGGAAACTCTCCTCTCTTTGTTTCTCAACATCACCAAGCCCGAGGAGTTCATCAAGGCTTTTGTTGCGGCAACAATGGCTGCAGAGAAGGTTCCAGTCATGATTGTTGATGAAGCCAACATCGCCTTTCCCAACGGTAATGGTGGGAATGGGAATGGCAGAAGAGAATCAGCTTACAGAGCGCTCGCAACCTTTGTGGCACTGACAAGGGAGCAGCGGAAGGCGTCTGTTATTCTGGTTGCCTCCGACTATGCTTTCCCGTTGGGACTACAAGCTCTTGGCTTCAACAAGTATGATGCTCTCAATACGATTGTAGCTCCGGAGGTTGAAGAGAAGCCTATGCTCTTTTTGCTGCAAGAGTGGGGTTTGTCTCAAGACTTGGCACAGGAGCTATGAGCAACTTTGCACAGTGCTTTTCTAAAGCTTGCTTTTGTTAGCTCATGATCGTGTAAAACAGGGTCGAATTTTGGTGTTCTTTGTTTTGCTGAATTTCTTGTAATCAGTTTATCACGGGATGCATGGGTCGGAACTGTTTGCGTGCAATACCATGTGAAATCGGAATATGGCAAATGCTTTTGTGTTGTGGGCTGGCAGGAGTTCTATGAGACCTTCGGTGGAAACGTTTTTTTGTGCCACCAGGCAGTCGACAAGCTCCGTGAGCAGTTCGAGTTGGGTCAGGAGAGGCTCTTCGACCCCTTCAACGTCCGAGACAATGCCGGCTTAGATGACCTCATTGGTGACCCGCTCACTCGGAAGCACATGGAGAACTTGGCTCAGAAAGGATGGTCGCAAGTAGAGGGTGGCGCTGCAGAAGCGGAGACGGAGAGCCAGAAGGGTGCTCGCATCATCGCCAAGAAGAACTTCGGCGCCATCATCGCGAGACAGACCACTACTTTCTTTGACGAAGCCTTGAAGGAAGATATGTTCAGAGACCCAGATGCTGTGCGGGTTTTAATTCCACCAACTACATACGCCCGCAAGTGCATCCAGCGGATGGTGGACACGGTGAAACCAAGCAACTATACTTCAAAGAAAGACTTTTCCTTTGGAGCAACCACTCGTCACTATGAGCCCCAGTCATTTTGCAGTTTGTTTCTCAATCTTTCAGGAGCATTTATCGGAATCGCGAACCATTTTTTCTCCATCCCTTCTCGGTTGAACATGTTGAACGCAAGGCATCACCAGACCACAAGCTGGAGCAGTGTGGGTGAGGCAACTAAAGGAGGACAGGAGTGACCGGTGCCAGTCAGTTGCTCCACCAAGGAAGCACTATATATTGTATTGGGTTCTACGATTTAAACAATCATGTCTATGCCAACTCAGCAGCAAACTACATGGTGATGGTGTTAATGTAACTTTCCTCCCAAGCCAAACATGTGATTATGTGTAAGCCCGCTATGCAAAATAATACTGTGTCATTTTATGTTCTTGAGACAGCTCAGCACTATTTGTGGAGAAGATTGCAGGGTTGTTCATTCCTCAGGATTTGTTTAAACATATATGTTCCAATAATCTTCCTGCGATTGATAGAGAGGATTTAGACTGAAGACTTTGTATGTTTTTCTGCCATGCCCTTGTTCCTTTGCTGTGCCCTTCTGTCAGGTGTAGGACGAACTTTTATTGTCGAAAAGCCATGCCCCAAACTAAAAGCGTGATTAAGGGTAAGTCCACTGTGCAAGAAAATACAATGTCATGCTACGAACTTGGTATGGTTCAGGACTTTTGGGGACAAGATTGCAGGGTTGTTCATTCCTCAGGATTTGTTTAAACATATGTTCCAATAATCTTCCTGCGATTGATAGAGAGGATTTAGACTAAAGACTTTGTATGTTTTTCTGCCATGCCCTTGTTCCTTTGCTGTGCCCTTTTGTCTGTTCCCACCTCAACATCTCACCTTTTGAGTGATACAGCAAGTGTTAAAGAAGCAACCTTGTTTTTTACATCCCTATGTTCGTTTTCTTTGTTCCTTTGCAAAAATCCTGTGCAAAAAGCGGTGTTAATTGGTCATGTTAACACAGGTAGGGTTGTGTTCCATCATTTCTCCCACTCGAGCATCAAAGGCTTTGTAATTTGCAAAAGTCAATGGAACAGTTTATGCCTTTGTCCCTTTTCGTTTTGACTAGTGCTACTGTTAGGTTAAGATTTAAGTGGTTTGTTCAGCCAAAACTTTATCAATAGATTTCCTTCAGCCATGCGTTCATGTCTTCCTCGCCAGTCAAGAGATTGGTTGCCGGGAAGCGGCTTGTGCAACACGGGTTTGGGTTTGAATGTCTTGGCTGTTGACCTTGCAGGACGGCAAAGGTGGCTTCGAGTTCGTTGGCAATGGATTTCAAGTCAAGGATAAGGACGCTAGAAAAGTGATGCGAAATGCCAGCAGTTTCAACTCACCTAAGTTCGATTCGCTTTTGTCAGTTTTTTCTTTTCAGGACATCCAGAATATAGATGACTTGAAAAAAGTGCAGACCTCAAGCGAAATTTTGTTTGTCTCTTGTTCTGGGAACATTTTTCAGAAGAGACGTGACAAAGATTGAGCAGAGCAAACATTTTTGCAATCTGTGCTGTGAGTTCATGGGTTGCATTCATGTCAAAAACTGTGCCGTAACGTTCAAACTTGGTGCATTGACTAAACCAATTTAGCGTTTGGTTTTGCTTCCAATGCGCGAGGCAATCAAGAAGGAGAAACCCAACAAGGTGTCGTGCGATGCAGATGAGCTGGACATCTACAGCCTGCAGGACAGCTTGGCTGTTTCTTCCAGTATCCACCGCACTATCCCTTGATTGACATTTACAGTCAAAGTTAACAGGAGGAGCCGTTGATTGTGCCAGCAACTTCTTTGCTAGTTGCAATGGCTTCAATGACCCGCCAGTTCGTGTTTAGTTCAGCCTTCAACTGCGCTTTTGGTTGTGGTTTGCCAGTTTGCTCACGGCAGGATGGAAATTGGACTCTGGAAGATGAAGAAGCACCAGTCAATCGTGGCACGTCCAAGCCCGGCACTTGGTGTTTTGTTTTGAGCAGCTTTTGCAATGCTTCGGTTCAGATTGATGTCATTGTTTACAACTTTCTGATGTATTTTTGTTCTTTTGCCGCCTCTGAGCATTCAGGTCAGACTGCTATGGTTTCACGATACCATCAGCGTGAGTGTGAGTCTCAGCTTTCTTGGCAACCTGCAGTGGCTTGACGGTAATGGAGTTCCGTGGTCACAGTGACAAATTTTGGCTCTCATGAGGGTCTGTTTGTTGCTCTGTCGGCTGAGGCTGTCGAAATCCAATGAGAGCACGAATGTGGGCGTGTATGTAGTCTATTGAAGTTTCACTTTGTATCACAAAATCAGCACAGTTGGTTCGTTGTGGTATGACCTTGCGTCAATGATAGAGTATGCGTTGCACGTGGACAATTCCAACTTGGACTGAAGGGTTGACTTTTCCTGACAATCAGGTCATGCACGCAACGGGTGCAGGAGCAATGACCCAAGAGCTGGTCATAGCATGTTTCATTCAGGCGTTGCACATAGCGCCCCAAGCACAGACCAAGCAACATACAGGTCCCTAAGAAAAAGACTTGTGCTTGATTTTGGACGGGCTTTCCTGGGAGTCGGAGCTTTGAATGGAAAACTAGAAGAACATTTAAGGAAAATCTGTGGAAAACTGGTGGACAAAGTTTTGGCAACTAAGGGTGCCTTTTCAACATGCTAAACTCCTTGCAGTCACGAAGAGCATGCCACCGGCTTATATTATATATATATGAGACGGCGTAGAGATATTATACACAAAACCCCCATCGGGCAAAAAATACTTAAACAAATATATACAAATATTAAGATATGCAATTAACTACATTTGCAGTATGTCTTGTTACTTTGTAAGCAGCGGACTTCAAATGCCAATAGCTAATCAAACCTTTGACTTTATTTGGAGAGGTTTTGGCAACAAAGACCTCATTGACAGCGAAACATCTTCATCTGAAGAAAGCTACAAAGCAAACTCATCCGTTAACAAGAACACCAATTCTGAATGGATAAAACAAGATGACGGATATTACAACAGAAAACCGAACGACGAAAAGTATTTCCAACAATATCACCAAGAGAAAACGAAACAACCGTGTGTATGCGATATATGCGGCTGTGCCATGAGCTGCAAGTCAAACTTGGCAAAACACAAGAAAACCAAAAAGTGCCAGAGGTTCTTGGTTTGAATTCACTATGATTCTATGATACAAGAAAATATCATAAAATTATATATAATCTAAGTATTTTTAATGACAAGATTGGAAAAAGAAAAGGTATTGGAAAAAAATATATTACGACGTGGAGGAGGGCTTCGGTTCGGTGAGGGACTTATACGAAAAGGCTAGGAAAGTCGATGCAGGCATAACTTTGGATATGGTATCTACATGGATGAGGGCGCAACCCAACAAGCAAACAAGAAACTAGACGACGGATGGCCCGAGAGCGTAGAGGAGCAGAGTCTTCTGTTGTTAGTATGGAGACACTATATTACAAGATAATATGATAAAGATGTATTATAGGCAGACGAGAAGAGTAGCATCAAGACAATATATGACTAGTACAAGACAATAGTTTGCATCGTATTTTTGTAAAGTTTTTCATACACAGAACTTTTTACAGACAGACGCTTTTGCACACAGAGACTTTTACACACAGACGCTTTTACACACAGACGATTTTGCATACAGAGACTTTTACACCCAAACACTTTTACACACAGAGACTTTTACATTTTACACAGACGCTTTTACACACAGAAGCTTTTACACACAGACGCTTTTACACACAGAACTTTTTACAGACAAACGCTTTTGCACACAGAGACTTTTACACACAGACGCTTTTACACACAGACGCTTTTGCATACAGAGACTTTTACACACAGACGCTTTTACACACAAGCGCTTTTACACACAGACGCTTTTACACACAGACGCTTTTACACACAGACGCTTTGACACACAGACCCGTTTACACACAGACGCTTTTACACGCAAACGCTTTTACACTCACAGACGCTTTTTACACACAGGCTCTTTTACACACAGACGCTTTTACACACAGAGACTTTTACACACAGACGCTTTTACACGCAAACGCTTTTACACACAGACGCTTTTTACACACAGGCTCTTTTACACACAGACGCTTTTACACACAGAGACTTTTACACACAGACGCTTTTACACACAAGCGCTTTTACACACAGACGCTTTTGCACACAGACGCTTTTACACACAAACACTTTTACACACAGAGGCTTTTACACACACAAGCTTTTACACACAGACGCTTTTACACACAGACGCTTTTACACACAGATGCTTTTACGCACAGACGCTTTGACACACAGATGCTTTTACACACAGACGCTTTGACACACAGACGCTTTTACACACAGAGGCCTTTACACACAGAAGCTTTTACACACAGACGCTTTGACACACAGACGCTTTTACACACAGAGGCTTTTACACACAGAAGCTTTTACACACAGACGCTTTTACACACAGACGCTTTTACACACAGACGCTTTTACACACAAACGCTTTTACACACAGAGGCTTTTACACACACACGCTTTTGCACACAGACGCTTTTACACACAGACGCTTTTACACACAGACGCTTTTACACACAGACGCTTTTACACACAGACGCTTTTACACACAAACGCTTTTTACACATAGGTTCTTTTACACACAGACGCTTTTACACACAGACGCTTTTACACACAGACGCTTTTACACACAGACGCTTTTACACACAGACGCTTTTACACACAGAGACTTTTACACACAGTTGCTTTTACACACAGACGCTTTTACACACAGACGCTTTTACACACAGACAAGTCCGGCACAGGAAAAATCGCAATTTTACCTCAGTTTTTGCCGATCGACCTTCATTTCGTGCGAAAGGGTTGCTCCAGGACAAGTAAAATCGCAATTTTTTCTCAGTTTTTGCCGATCGACCCTCATTTCGTGCGAAAGGGTTGCTCCGGACAAGTAAAATCGCAATTTTACCTCAGTTTTTGCCGATCGACCCTCATTTCGTGCGAAAGGGTTGCTCCAGGACAAGTAAAATCGCAATTTTTCCTCAGTTTTTGCCGATCGACCTTCATTTCGTGCGAAAGGGTTGCTCCAGGGGCAAGTAAAATCGCAATTTTTCCTCAGTTTTTGCCGATCGACCTTCATTTCGTGCGAAAGGGTTGCTCCAGGGACAAGTAAAATCGCAATTTTTCCTCAGTTTTTGACGATCGACCCTCATTTCGTGCGAAAGGGTTGCTCCGGGGACAAGTCAAATCGCAATTTTTCCTCAGTTTTTGACGATCGACCCTCATTTCGTGCGAAAGGGTTGACGTTTCGTGACTCGCCGCCGGCACCACCCTCGGCCTTAAGAGAGAAAGATAAAGAAGGCAGAGAGAGAAAAGGGAGAGAGAAAGGAGAGAAGATGTGAAGATGAGCAGATGTGAGAGAAGATGTGAAGATGAGCAGATGTGAGAGAAGATGTGAGAGAAGATGTGAAGATGAGCAGATGTGAGAGAAGATGTGAAGATGAGCAGATGTGAGAGAAGATGTGAGAGAAGATGTGAAGATGATGTGAAGATGAGCAGATGTGAGAGAAGATGTGAGAGAAGATGTGAAGATGAGCAGATGTGAGAGAAGATGTTGAAGATGAGCAGATGTGAGAGAAGATGTGAGAGAAGATGTGAAGATGAGCAGATGTGAGAGAAGATGTGTGAGAGAAGATGTGAAGATGTGAAGATGAGCAGATGTGAAGATGAGCAGATGTGAGAGAAGATGTGAAGATGAGCAGATGCAGATGTGAGAGAAGATGTGAGCAGATGTGAGAGAGATGTGAGAGAAGATGTGAAGATGAGCAGATGTGAGAGAAGATGTGAGAGAAGATGTGAAGATGAGCAGATGTGAGAGAAGATGTGAGAGAAGATGTGAAGATGAGCAGATGTGAGAGAAGATGTGAAGATGACAGATGTGAGAGAAGATTTGAAGATGAGCAGATGTGAGAGAAGATGTGAGAGAAGATGTGAAGATGAGCAGATGTGAGAGAAGATGTGAGAGAAGATGTGAAGATGAGCAGATGTGAAGATGAGCAGATGTGAGAGAAGATGTGAGAGAAGATGCCACAGATGTGAAGAACAGATGTGAGAGAAGATGTGAGAGAAGATGTGAAGATGAGCAGATGTGAGAGAAGATGTGAAGATGAGAAGATGTTTTACAGACCCCCACTATTGGAAGAACCCTGCGCTCAGACGCTCTCGGGAACTACAAGAACTACAATTCCTACGCTGCTCCGTTTCCCAAGTATGAATTCCAAATTGACTCGATGGATGTCACCAGTTTGCTGCGAGACGTAGGTTCTGAAATCAAAAGTCAACTAAGATATGGTTTAGTTTGCATAGATATATTCAGTAAAAAATGTCACATAGTCCCTATCGAGAATAAAGATGGAGATGACGTTTTTAAAACAATCGTGGAGTGTTTCGAGGTATTAGGTCAGCCTTTGTCGATTTACAGCGACGACGAAGGAGCGTTGAACAGCAAGAAACTGCAAACATTCTTGAAGGAGGAAGGTATAACACACGTAATAACGAAGACGCATGCAAATCAGGCAGAAAGGATGATACGCACGGTCAAAAAAATGATTGCGGACAGATTGAGGCATTACAAAAACAAAACATGGGTGGAAGTGCTAAAGCCCTCGTTGAATAGATACAACAACCAAACCCACGGTAGCACCAAGACAACACCTAATAATGCGCACAATTTTGATAACGTAATTCAGGTCAGAACAAATCTGATCCTGAAAGAAAAGCACAACAGAAAATATCCAAACATAAGTGAAGGAGATTATGTTAAGATATTTGATCAAGGAAAGGGCAACTATGTATCAAGGAAAGAAACCAGAAGTCAGTGGAGCGAAAGAAAGTATAAAGTAAGTTGGTCGTGATATGATGAATAATAGATATTATAAATTGGATGGAATGAGTAAAATATATAATAGGCATGAAATACTATTGGTTGATTAGTACTGTAACTGTTTTTCTTTCTTCTGTTTTCGCCTTTCTCTTCTTTTTGCATTTATTTTATCTTTGTCTTTTTTGTATTGTTTTTTGTTGTTGTCTTATTGCGTCTTTGTTTTCTGCTCTATGCTTTGAATTCTTCTCATAATATTTACCTTTCTTGTATTTTGTTTTTTTTCCTCACGGTGCTGCTTGTTTTTTCTTTGTATTTTTCAATATTCTCTATTTGAATATTTGGCGTCCTTTCGTTTCTTCAAGGTGATGCTCTCCTGTGGCATCGTAATATTCCATTCAAGTCCGACCAACAAAACATCCGCTAAGACGGCTCTTATCATTTTCAATATATTCACCTTCTTTCTTCTCGAGTTGCTTTCTGTTTTGGTATGGGCATTCTTCAATAAGAAACATTTTACCGTTTTCAACACCGAACTCATCAAGCGATTTCATAGAGTTAGGATGGTGTTTTAGGGGATTTATGTGGCTTATATAGATAAGATTTATAATATGTTCTATGTTTTGCCGTTCTTTGCCTTAGTTTTTCAGTTGTTAAATTTATATACATATATCTTAAACCATCTTTTCGTTGTGTAGATATTTTATGGCGTAATGTCCAAATGGGAGGCTCTCAAAATCTGAATACCAGTAGCGTTTATTGTCGTAGTTGCTTAAAGCATATTTAGTCTGATTAATGCTATAGATTTGATGGTTCTTACTTCTGATAATGTTAAAACTGACTTCTTCTTTACAGTTTCTATTCAATGTCTCTTCATAAGTTTTGTAACTCAACTGATTGCTCACTTTATGCTTGACTACTCCTGTACTTTCCTGTGTTCTTTCTCATCACCATACACTTTATAACAATATGCCTTTGGTTTCAATCCTATAAAGTGAGTAATTGCTTTTCCGTTCATTTCATCCTTGAATTTTCCTAAGACCTTCTTATTTGTTTTATCATAGTTTGGATGCTCTTGTGGATAATCACTGAAATCCATGTATTCATGTATCTCCTTAAAGTCTTCATATATGTCATCAGTCTCAACTTTGATTACAAAACTATCAGTATCAGTATGAACCAATTTGATTTTATCATCATATTTTGGTTTCAAAACATCATAATAGAAGGAATACATGTGAATTTTAGAATCGTCTAAAATAGACATACCCATATAGATAGGTTTGTTTAGTTCCACTGTGTGTTTATCTTTCTCAACAATTACAAGGTCTTCATTTATGATATGCCTGTGTTTGAATAGCGGTTTATTCACCAGTTTCTGGAAGCGTTCAGGCGTATTGACAATTTCAAAATCACCATGCTTTCTTACATTCTCCATGGTCTTACCATATACACTGTTGTTCATTAACTTAAAAAAATATTTGTCTAAATCATGTTTGGCACTCTTTCTCTTTTCAGTGTTGAATTCAATGAATGGTTTTAAGAAGTTTGCTTGTTTAAAACTTATTGCTCTATCGACTTTCTAAGTCTTAATCCTTGTTGTAAATAAAACTTCAATGCTGATATATGTAAAACATACTTCTTTTTATCCATCACATTTAATACTAACTTATTTGTCTTTTCATCACTGGCATCTTTTCCATAATAGTATTTGTGTATATCCTTTTGGACTTGTGAAAGCATACTCTCATTGATACGCATGATTTCAGGTGCTAGTGGGTAGTCTTTATGTAAATCATGTAGTTCTTTTGGATAATCTAAATCAACTTCTAATATGTATCCTATGTCATCATCATCACTATATTTCATTACCCTCTTCTCATCCATTCTGCCGTAAAACCATTTAAAGTCACCATATGGCAGTTTCTTACACATTGCTAATCCGTAAAGGTTATTAGCATCTAAATAACTTATGTATGATGAAGGTTTAGATTTATCATAACCTTCATTCATGCACCCATTGTTTGCTTCTACTTTCTTAAAGGAGCACTGCGCCATTCCTCCTCTTAATCCATGTTCAATCATCTCACACATTTCTTTTATGTGTATTTGTTGTAGTCTAACTCCTGTCAATGATAAAAAGGCATTCCAAGAATAGTTAGGTAAAGTGATATAATATGCTGGGTCTAATCCATAATAGTTCAAACACATATCCCTAAAATTTTCAAAAACATCAGCCAGTAAATATACATCAGTCATCAAATACAAATCATGATATTCACCAAGATTTTGAATGTTAAAATGTTTCCACACAATATTTGCTCTGGCGTAGTCTTTGTCATTTATGTTTTCTCCCATGAGTTCATGTAGTCATAGGGATAGACACCCTTATCAGTCAGCAAATTCAAATCAGTTTTAGATTTAATATATGGGTTGGTGTTTGTATCTCTAAAACGAGATTCCCAGTCTTTAATCTTTTGATTTCCTTCATATTTGTTTAATCTAACTAATTTATCTAATGATGCCGTTAAGAAAGCAAAACTGTCTTTAAACTGACAAGCACCAAATGAAAAGGCTATGGACTTTTCACTGTTTTGTGCTATTACATCTATTCTTTTGTTTTGGTTTAGTTCTATGTTTAGTTCATTTGCTCTGGCAATGATTAAGTGAGCGTCATAGTTTTTGAGATTATGAAAAAAGATAGGGGTTTTAAAATATCTAAATGAATAATCCATATTACATTTTACATGCGCTGCGCCTCTGTATTTGCCTGTGAAGTGGCAGTGGTCGCGGACTTTCTCATCATCAGGTGCTGATGACTGTGAGTTTGCCTTTTTACACTTTCAGACAATGAAGCCCTTTCAGGTGCTGATGACTGTGAGTTTGAATTCTCGGGGGCATGCAGCTCACCCTTTCATATCAAGTCCAGGATCAAAACACGTTTTTTTGGGGAGTGCACAACAACAGGCGCTGAAAAAAAAACCAGGCCTGGATCCTTGGACTTTTTGACAGTCAAAAAAGACCGCACGGTGCTTTGAAGTGACTGTTTTTGGAATTTTCTGTTTTTCCCGGAGCAACATCACCGGTTGGTTTTTACTTGCTACGGTCTGCTCCTTGTATACCCCGTTCGCTGATGGATAGCGTGCGTGGGTGGTCCCAGATAGCGAACATTTGCCAGCAGAACATGCAGCCGGACAAAACTGCACTTGACATTTGCCATGCTTGTTTCAGAATGTGCGCTGCCACTAGCGTTGACACCTTAAACTTGCATGTGGACTTGCTTGGTGACCGGACAACCAGCGTCAGTGCTTGTGCTGATGGGCTTGTCAAACGGCTGTTGCTTTGCACTGGGGACGCGCTCTGTTTGCGCCGCCCACCAAAAGTGTTATGGCATGTTTTGCTTCACATCATGATTGTATGTACCACTTGGCTTTTTCCATGTCACAGCAGATGGCGCAAGACATCGCCTTCTGTTGAGAAACTTTGGGCTTGTGCTGTTGCTTGTCGGTCCTTGTTGTGGCTTTCTGGCCAATACAACTCTGGTACTGCGCGACGCGTAGGTCAACTTTTGGAGCCGAGATTCCGCTGTGGCGACAAATTAGGCCCAAAGACTGGGGCAAACAAGCCATGCATGCAACTGCGGATGAGCTCCTCCATTTGCAGCTACTTGCTTGTAGCGTACAACCACATGCCGGCAATCTGTACGGCTGTCATGGCATGTCGCCTTTTGTTTTGTATGCTTGGGCATCGCGTTGTAGCTATTACGTAGGTATTGCGTCAGTGGAAAGAAAGCAAAAGCGTTCAACTCCTGGCCCAGCCTGTCGTTGGCTTGAACACATGTGTGGCATGTTTCGCACCCACACAGCTGAAAGCCAAAAGCTGCGCTACAAACTGATGCGACGCTTTCGGCCAGAAGACACTTTCTTCTTGGTTTGTAGGGCTGGCCCTGAAGTTCGTGTCCGGGCCATGGAAACTTTGGTAATCGCATCCAGAAGACCCCCTTGCAACGTTGGACGTGCTAATACCTCTAGGTCTTCCAAAGTTGTGCCACGTCAGCGCAACAGGCCCCCGAAGCCTTTTAGACCTAAACCGTCCAACGTTGGCCCTTTTGATTCTGTTGAAGCTGAACTTGCTGTGAGCAATTGCCTTGCATGTCGTTCGCCTGAGCCTCCTTCTGGGTTGCCGCAGTTGAACAAACCTTGTGATTTTTGAATCGGCCTATCGTTTAGCCCTGCGTCATCTTGTGGCGGGATGTGGCTTGCTGGGCCCATGCGACATTTATGACCCGCAACATGTTTCTTTGTTGGTTCATTGGCTTGGTCGCAAGAACGCATGTATTGATTGGCTTTTGCTTGAGAAAAAATGGAAGGTAAAGAGCGGACCTGCTACCGTGGTTCGTTTTCTTGGCCTCTTGAAGGGTCGGCGTTCACATTCACTTGCCACGAGAAGACTTAACAGCCAACTCCGTTTGAGAAAGTTGCCGCCAATCGCTGGAGTTTCATGTGCTGTACCACGCATGTCATGCCTCAACGTTTTTCGTAGGGTTTTGGTCCGTGCCGTTCACTCTTGTAGTTGTTGGAATGATGAAGAAAAGTCATGGCTGCTTTCACGCATACGCTTGGTGCCACATGGTTTGAAGAAACATAGAAGCATGTGCAGTGCCCCTTTGGTTAGCAGGCAATTCTGTCTTGAAGACATGCTATCCCATGACACAGATGCGCTTGTTCCCTGTGATGCGGCTTCACACCTTGTGCGCGTTGAGAAAATTTGGGATGTGCCCATCCGTCCTACAGTTGCCGAGGACAACCAAGTTGTTCGCCGTGCAATGACATTGCGGCCCAAGATGCTGTTAGGTCTTTATGTCAGGACAGATGCTACATGAAAGAACAGCATGTATGGCATGCCACTCAGAACGCATATGAGGACTACACTGTTGACATGAGCGTGAATGCGTCAGAAGTACTGACGCCTGACGACAAGGACAAAAAGTTCATGTGGAAAGTCCCTTTGCTTTGTTACCAGTGGCTCTTGTTCAAATTTGCTATGTTGTCGCCGGCTTGGGAACTTAGCAGCTTAGGTCTTGAGGATGCTGAAGCATGGTGTCAGGAGGTTTTTCGTATCCTTCTGCCTACCAGGCTAAAAGCTTTTCTCAAAATTCACAAATACACACGTATTGTCCCATACTATTACGGCACAGTTAAGAGCAAGTGTTTTACCGCCGGTCAAACAGTTGGCCACATTTGCACAAAGCCGGCGCATTCATGTCTTAGGAAGATTGTGAGTTTTTGCAAGTGGCCCTTCAGGCGCCGATGGCGTTTCATCCATCGTGCGTGGGAGACAGTAGTGAGAAGCATGGACACTGATGAAGTTTGGTCACTCAAAGACGCTTGCCATGTCATGTCTTCCCGTATGCATGTTGCAGGCGTGAGCGCTGGCTCTTGCACGTGTAGGAGATGCGGCGTGGAGAAACCTACTTCCGTTGCCTTGACGGCCGATGCCGGTCAGTTCTTTGAAGCAGTAGCCCCTAGCCAGGCTATCTCTGCTGCAGCGCGTTGCTTATCGCATTGCAGTACAGCTTCTGGCCATACTACTGTTACTGTGCAAAAAGGCCCACGTCGCACCTCTTTCCTAGGTGGTTGCGCGGGCAATCAGGATACCTGGAGGTTTGTTGTTTCCTTTAGCGAGTTATTCTTGGCCTTTTCTGCATGCATGTTTGTGGGATATGTATCGCTTGGTCGGACAATTGTTCGCTTGAAGGGCTTGCCGATCGGAGGTGTCTTGAGTAAAGTTGCTGCCAGTATTGTCCTAGGTGAGCAGGAAGTAGCGTGGCAGCATTCTCTCCGGAGAAGAGATGCCCTTGGTTTTGCCGCCACGACGCCGTCGCGGAATAGAGAAGTAGCAAGGGGGCGATATGTCGATGATCTCCTTTGGGTCAGTGGCATATACTGCGTTGGCTGCTTACATGTTGCCATTCAATCATGTTATAGTGTGCCTTTTGATTTGTGTGATTTTGGGCAATGCGTCACGTGGCTTGATTTGCGCTTGCACGTTGCCCCTATTTCTTGGTCGATGAAGCCCAGGCCTTGGGTCCTCCCTCCGCAGTGGAGTTCCCAACCCGGTTTTGTCCATTGCTTTCTTGCAGGTCGGTTTGCACGGTTGGACAAATGCATGTTGTCTTTGGAAGCCTGGCTTGACGCTGCTATTGCCATCCTACATGGTTTTAGAAGCGCTGGCTGGTCAGGCCACCTGGTCAAAAGGGCCATTTTTCTGTCAACCACCAAGCGCCCACGTGTGCTTCGGACTTGTTTACATCTGGCTTGCAAAATGCTTTGGCAATAATTTCCTGGCGGTCTGCACAATGCTATGTGTCTTTTTGGTTTGTTTTTAAGTCTTGGGCTTTGTGTTGGAGTGGTTTTTGGCTGCAGGTGGTTTGTGCCTCCCTTGTTTAACTCTAGGGCCGTCTAGGTTTAGCCATGGCAATGCTCCGAAGTTGGCTCTGGTGCCTCGTTTGGTTGGCTCTCCTGCATGCAGTTTTTGCTGGCCCACCCGGCCAAGGGCGACATCACACTGGTTATGGATCCTCATCCTCCAAGGGGAGATGGGGCCAGTCAGGGCACTGGAATTGGCAACAGAGTCAGCCTCACTACCCACATCCCACAGAGGTCGTGGTGCGAGTAGAGGATGGAAAAAAGTCTAAGAAAGACAAAGCAAAAAAGAAGAAGAAGCGCTCCACCAGCACTTCCTCTTCCAAGTCTGATTCTACGGATAGCCGGGCCAAGAGCAAACGGCGCAGCAAAGGCAAGAGGAAAGCGCCCGAGGGTGCGCACATACTGGGCCAAAAAGACATTGAAGAACTTCAACAATTTCGCCGTCAGGCGGAAATCCAGAAGATCCGAAACGAAGTTTTGGCTAGCATACCAAGTGGGCCCGGCGCTTCCAGCAAAAGTGCGCCAACGGCAAAGCCAGACGAAATGCCTGGTGACACGACTGCAGAAGCTCTTTCCCCTAAGACCAAGAAAGTTGTGCTTGCTCAATCCCGCATTCTCGGTCAAGATTCGGTGTCCAAACGTTTACTCACTGATGAGGTGGTATCATGGGTGGATGTGAAGGCGCAACTGCTCTCTGCACCACGCTGGCTTCCGGCACCTTTCGCGCGAGCAGTGCGATATGTGCAAGCTCTCAAAGTTTTAGCGTGGGACGAGTATGTCTTGTCACACTGGCTTCAAATTACCACGGGAATCCCGGTGGCAACCGTTAGTGCTGGCACCCTGCTGCTTGGATACAAATGGATTTCAGAAGGAAACGCTGCTGCCAAAGGAGTGAGGAAATGGATCCAAGATGTTGCACAGACACCAATCCGACGGGCCAAAAGGCTTCAGATTTTTTCACCTGATGGCAGAGTCAGGCGAGCTCTTTTTTGATTGGGAGGGGCTTTTGCCACCCTGAGTTGCCTTTTTACACTTTCAGACAATGAAGCCCTTTCAGGTGCTGATGACTGTGAGTTTGAATTCTCGGGGGCATGCAGCTCACCCTTTCATATCAAGTCCAGGATCAAAACACGTTTTTTTGGGGAGTGCCCAACAACAGGCGCTGAAAAAAAAAAACCGGCCTGGATCCTTGGACTTTTTGACAATCAAAAAAGACCGCACGGTGCTTTGAAGTGACTGTTTCTGGAATTTTCTGTCATCATCAGGTTCAAATTTCTTACCGCAGATGGAGCAATGAGACGATAATTTAAACTCTAATTTTTGTTCGTTTGTTAATTCATCCATTGGTTTATTAACATTCATTTTTTCAAAAATATCTTTCTTAATTTCGGTCAGTTGTTCCCTCACCTCTGTATAAATACGGTTTGCAAGCATTATCAATCCTGCTTACAACATTCAACATAGAACCGCACGGTTTATGTTCTTGGTAAGTTCCTCTGGGAGCACTGCTTCCAGAGCAACTTAGGGCACCCTCGGTGCCGTAAGTTCCCTTTATTTCAGTATTAGAGTTAGTGGTTAGACATTCAAAATCACCATAGATTACAAAAGGACAAGGCAATTTAGCATTATGCTTTTCAAATTCTATGTATGTGTATTTATCTGGCATTTTCGTTTGTTGTCCTTCTGATGCCATACATCCTTTTTCAAGATGCTTCTTAAATACTTTTTCTGATTGAAATGGATTTAAGCAATGGTGGCAGTAAAACTTTTTATTAGTGTTGCTACTGCTCTGACAGTTTAGTAATCTACATTTATTTTTTACTAATACGTGATGATAGTGATTATCTTCATCATAGACTTTTAATAAATCTATTTCGTATTTAGCATTTCTATTTTTAGTGCCTCTATGTAATATGATTTTGTTATCATTTAAGCAGTCATCAGGTTCAAAAACATTTATTGAAACTGATGTATTATTCTCTTCAAATCTGTCTATGTCCCTATTACCAGTTGGAAAATTTACACCATCCCAGTTCAAAATATCATCTTTCAGTTTATTATAGTGGAACATTTCCTCTGGGTGATGTTTGCTTATTTTGTCATAGACTATGGATTGAATACAATATGTGAAGCATTTTTGGTCTTTATTTTTAATGTTGATACATGCCTTTTTTAGTTTAATCCATTCTGGCAATTCAATGTATCTCCCTGCTCTTGTTGGGTCATATCTGTCATAGTGAATAGTTATTGACAAAATCTTCTTAAATTTAAATTAGATGTTGAACCTTCTAAATTTTGTATTTGTAATCGGATTTGAATAACACGATCTTCTAATGCTTGTGTCAGTTCATCCTCATTACTAATATTGAAGCGGGTTGATGGTAGGGCATATACAAGTTCCTGACTTCCTAATTCATTTCCTCCATCATCATATTCAGGTTTTTCAAATAATCCTTCCGTTCTTATGTTAAGTTTCATGCTTCTATTATTTCTCAAAAAATCTGATAGTCTTTGTTTTTGGCGCGCAATCATTTCTAATCCCCTTTCTCCTTGAAAGTGTTTGTTTTCCAAAACTATTGAACTAGCATATCTTCTAAATGCTGATTGAATATCTCTGACCCTGAATTTGTTTTTTATTGCGTGTTTGATTAGTAGTTGTCTAACCCTTTCTCTACTTGCAACATCCGTTGCCTTTTTCATAGATTTTCATAGCATAACTTCTGTATTCATTAGTGTTCTTTACTGATAGTAGTTTCTTTGTCAAAACATTTGATATGGGTTTGTCTTTGTTGTATCTGAGCTTTTTGTTGTCTATGATTATGGACTTCAATCATTTTCTTCCTTTTTTTGGTATTTCTGCTAAATCATTACTCAATAAATAGTCTATAACTTTTTTCATAATATAATAGTATATATATTATTTAGTTAATTTATCTTTAAGTAGTTTTTTTAAAAGAATGCCTTATTCTAACCTTTGAATATATACTTAAAGAACAATTATTTAAGTATATTAGTAGGATGGATGTTTGCGAAAGATTTACCCATTGATGTGTTGAGTAAAATTGCCTCTTATAAATTTGGAGACCCTAAATATTTGAAGTTTAAATATTGTCATATTGGGGCATTAAAGAGAATACAAAATAAGTATAAGATTTCAAGACTTCGTTCTAAAATAACAAGACATTTGAAATCAAGAAAAAGGTGTATGAATATAAAATTGAATATTGTATTATGAGAGAGGGAGTGCCATTTAATTTTAAAAGTTTAGAAGACACAATATCAGAAGAAAAAGAAGAATTACTATCTTTAATCTATGAAGAAGTAGAAGATGAATTAAACTATAGAGTTAAACTTGATATTGAAGTCCAATTAGTGGCAAAATTCCCAGAAAAGGAATTTGGAGAAAATGAATTTTGTTAAAGAGATATTTATTTTATGAATGACTTTGATGAATATGTAGATGAAGATAATGTAGATGAAATATTAGAGAAAGCAGTTGAAGAAATACAGAAAGATATAGATGAAGACAATGATAAAGAGAGTATCATAGGAATACAAGCATTTCATTTTAAATTGAGAATTATTGAAGACATTTACTACTAACATCTACTAACATAATTCTAATAATGCTATTTATTAGATTTATGGATTATTAAGATAGGATTATTAAAGGTGAGGAAATTGTCTTTATTATGGTTTGTTGTTTTGTTTTTTTATTTTGATGTTTTTTTTGTTTTTGTTTTGGGTATGGAATGGATGAGGTCATGATGTGATTTTCTATGCACGAAAAATATCAAAAAAAACTGAAAACAAATTTAAGAAAATGACTGTTTTAAGATATATGGATGATAAAACCTGTAAAACTTGTGAAAGAACGATGGACATTGATAATTTTGATGAAGGGTTAAAAACTTATAAAATGTGCTTGTCAGATAAAAGAACCAGTTATCACAAACATAAACATAAACGAAATGAGGTTCAAAGAAAAAATATATGAAGAAGATGAGGAATATAGAAAAATGAAGCAGGACTATAATAACACATTTCAATCTAAAATTGTTAGTTGTTCTGTTTGTAATTGTTCAATGACCCAAGCAAATTATTATAAACATAAGAAAACAGAGAAGCATCAAAGAAACTTAAATCATAGTCAGTAGTTAGGTTTCAATAAAATGAATGATGTAATTAGGTATTGACTTTATGATTTATAGAAATGAAAGAGGTAATATATGGTTAGTAGTGATGATTTTGAAAAAATGAATGAGGTAATTATGCCTTGACTGTTTTTATTTTCATTATAGTTTTAATACTGTTGAAAAAATGAAGTAATCAACAATATTAAAAATCTGTGTTTAGACGGTTATAATTGAAATTAAAAACTTCTATGAACCGTGGTTTTTTACATGTTTTGGGTGCAAACTTACAGGACCGTGGTGATGGGCCGAGTGAGATGTTCTTCGACCGGGCACGGCAGATCGAGCCACGTGATCGGAGCAACTCTCTAGATGGCCTACTGAAACTTGGCGAATGGTCGGCGGTGCAGGGCACATCAGGGCGGGGACTATGTCCTTGGGGTGTTGTCCGTAAAAGTAGGTCGGCAAGCGCACAGGAGACTCATTTTTGAGATTTCAAACTTCAATCAGGGGAGACGTGGTAGTTTACCATTCATTGGAATTACTGTACTTGTGCAGGAATTGCGCTTGAGAAAGTGAAAGCTTGGCACCTCCTTGAACTGTTGGCTTTCGCTCCAGACTTTTATGCTGGCCACCATGTGACATTAGCATCCAAGGAGTACGCCATCCATCGATTCAGACGCTTGGCCACAGAGCCTGACACCAGACACTGAAAGATAAGATCCTGAGGAAAACACCTATATATATATTTATTTATATTATATTATTATGCATATTTAAATTATAACCATAGTTATAAACGACCACAAAGGATCACAAAAGCAACTTGCAGACAAGAAGCGACAGAGGTTTGACCTTCAGCTGTCAACCAATTACTCCCAGGTTTGCGTGTGCATTCGAACATATTCAAAATATTTCAAAATGTTGTTTCTGCTGTTTGTTGTGTGGCTCACCACAGCCACATAATGATACAAAATGAACGTCCATTACCACTGTTTTGGCATGGCACACGGGGCGCAATGATGAAATTATTGATTGAAATTGGATAAACTTGGAAGAATGCGCCATCCGAACGTCTTGTGATTCATGAGAAACATTGACCATAGCAGCTAGACTTCTGTGAAACTGTGAAACGTTCAATTTTGCCTGTGCTACTTCTTCAGCTCCTTACTCTATATGTTACTCCTGTCTTAGTCCCATCTATGCTGAACATGTTTTTCCCACTGGCCATGGCGATTCGTTGCTTCCAATCACCAGGAATCGGCTGTGGCCAACTTGCCACGCCTGGAATCCTTCGAAGGCAGCAGCCTTCTCCGCGACGCGCCCTCGCGCGAAGTCACTGCCAGCCGACCGGCGGCGGTGCCAGCGGCAGCGCCGCGGCCGGACCGAAGACATTTTCGGGTCAAGGCATCCTTGTTGCTGCGGCTTGGCGGCAGCCGCGGGGACCTATGATGAGCCATTGGGTCTCCCATAATATCCCCCTAGCCCCAGGATCTCCCTAGCTGGTTGTAAACAGCAGCTGGATCCGAGGGTCCATTTAGGACTGGAAAGGAATGGTCTACTTTGAATGAAAAGATGAGGGTGAGTTCGTTCGGCACAGGATGCACAGGGTAACCAGCATGGTCCCATGGTGCTATTTCTGGGTACACATGGTGAATTGGACACTCCAGGCTGGTTGTCATCGCCTTGTGGGGGGTGGACTTGGTCTTCGCCATGGATTCGGTGGCATCCAAACTCGCCTCAGCAGCTCGGCCCACAGCATGCAGGTCTCAGAACCCAAGGGTTACCAGTGGCGCACACAGTTGTTGAACCGACATTTTCTCCATAGGATCGGAACGAACGGCTCTATGAGGTAAATGACATTTTCTTGAACGTGTCCTCTTCTGCGTTTGCATTGCTCGGCCTGCGGCGACATGTCAGCAATTACTGCACCAACATTCCCGGCCACCTGGGTCGAAGGTTGAGTAGCGACAGGAATGGTTCAAAATCACCTGTCTATACCTTTCCAACTTCGGATGTTTTTTTTGAACATAAAGGGGTCACACAGAATGGTCATGGCCAAGGGGGGTCACACAGAATGGTCATGGCCAAGGGGGGTCACACAGAATGGTCATGGCCAAGGGGTTAGGGTTAGTCATTTGCCTAGCAGAATCGGCCTGCTCGAGGCCTTTGTACTTCGTGATGGAGAACATGGTGCAAAGCTTTCACATGTTGAAACTCAATCGAATCAGTGAACATGTATGAACATGTTCACTGTCAACTGTCAGTATTTGAAGTGGAGAAGCAGAGGTAGCAAATGTCTTGTGCCGTGATATGCCGTGATACTTGCTGAAATTTGGTGGCATGCCCACAGCAGCGTTGCTTCAGGAAGTACGGCATAGCCGCAATTCTGGTCCTCATCGGCCTCAAAATGGTCCTGTCTGTGTGGTTTAACATCTCCAACAGCACCTTGGCTCGCAGTGAATGTAAAACACAAACTGAGGCCGCCAAATGCAAATGCAGACTGCTGTCATTCTCCAAAAGACAACTCCTTTGCCTCGCGGCTAGTGCGCAGAGCTACTGGCAATGGATTTTTCCACATTTGTCCCACTTTTAGACTTTTACCCCCCAAGATCAAAAATGGGTAGGATGTAGGATTGCAGGGCTGTACAGCCGATTACAGCCGTTTCAATGCTCCGAGGTGCCACTTTTGTCTTGATCCTGCTCATTTGTACCTCGGTAACCAGCTTCCCCGCCCTGGAATCTTTCAGGGAGGACCAATCCCCATGCCACATTTGCACTAGTCACATCTAGTCACTACGTTTGACCAGCTCATAAATCCTCATGAAACGTCATGAAACGTCATGAAACCAAGGTGGGACCAGCATGGCGTCTTCTTACTGGCTCCCCGCCGTACGGCAAAGTTGTACAGCTTTTGCTGCGGAGGACAGATACTGCGAGGTATCGAGGTGCAGATTCCACTGAACATGGCCAGACACACCTTTTTTTTTGCATGTTAATCATGTTACATGTGCACAGAGGTCTGAAACTTGTTTGTTCATGTTTGTACCATGTTTATCCAAATGATACCCGGAAAAGGTAGCTGGCGGGCACGCGTGTTCTGAATGCGATAGGAGGATGTGTTGGAGACGGTCCCAGAAGGTGAGGAAACTACTGCCTTCGAGCAGGCTTTGCATTGGATGATTGGTCGAGTGGACTTTTGTTGAGCACATTCCACACGAATACTCCGGGGATCGGGATATGAGTAGTTGGCTATTATTCTTGAATTGAGCCATCTATAGGTTACCTGAACAAAGGGGTATTTACATGTATTTGCGCCATCTATAGGTTTCCTGACACGTGGGGCATCACTGGGTTCACAACAAATTGATCTTTATCATTTTAGTATTAAGATGGAAAAAAAAGGGATCAATCTGATTTGTTTCGGGAAACATGTGAACTGTGCCATTTACAGCGCGCTGTGTGTGCTTTATTTCTCCCAAGGTTAATGGCGCCATCTACAGTGCACGGGCTGTGCGCGTGTTTGTCAATTGTCTAATTTCAATCATTTTTCCAGGTTAACTGTGATTTGCAGCTCGCTGCGCATCAGTGCGTGTCTCAGGGTGAATTGTGCCATCTACTATGCACGGTCTCTTTGGGTGTGACACCGGGGTCAGATAAATCTTAGCAGCTGCTAGCTAGATTAACCAGTGGGCCTCAAAGGGTTTTGAATATGGCTGCATTGAATTTGATGGTGTCACAGCTTTACTTGCAGTAGCCCCGGTGCACTGTTTGTGGAACAAAAGTCTAGAAAATCATAGAAAACGACCAGAAAAAGGAAGCGATCGCGTTTATGCTGAATACCGCGCTGACATGTACTGGTAGGGGTCGTGCCATCTACTAAAAAAGCATTTTTTGCGTCAGGCTGTGCCATCTATCGCCGCTATGTTTTTGATTTGATTTGTGCCATCTACTTCTCCCCTGTATATATATATATGTATATATAATTAACTTTATTAACATACTGTATATTATCAATGGGAATTTCAGGATCCTAAAATGGAGGTACTGTACCATATAAGGCCATATTTTGGGGGAATATTCCCTTACATAGGCCTTATATATAGTACATACCTCCAATTTAGGTTCCTGAAATGACCATTGATATTATACGTGTATCTATATCTAACTTATTTATAACTATATACCTATGATTACCTATGTACCTACATATCATTATGTTTAACTTTGCATATACATGTATAATATCTATATCCATGAATCTACATTCATATGCATGTATTCATTAATCCAAATACCTGCATATAATCTGTGTGTCTCTATATTTCTTAAATCTATATAGATATATATCTATATACCTATATAAATATATGAATATCTTATATAGATATTAGATTCTATGGATATAGATATATGGATATATAGATACATATATAGATATATAGATATAGATATATAGATATAGATATATTTAAATATATAGATATAGATATAGATATAGAGATATATCCATCTAATCTATTTTTCTATCCATTTGTCTATCTATCTAATCTTTTGATCGGTCTATATATATATATATACACATTTACATATCCATAAACCTGTATTTCAATATGCCTTTATATCTCCATAACCACATATTTACACATCAACAGAGCTACATTTCTGTATATATGTAGATCCAGTTCCATCCTTTTCCTATATATCTCAAATTTTCTTTATTGCTGTACATGTATCTCACTGTATATCTACACGCAAATACATCTAGATATGTGAGTATGATTTTATCTACATATCTAAAATATATATTTCTTTATATGTCTATGTTTCTATGTATCCATATCTCTTTTGTCTCTCTCCCTATATATATATATATTCATTTGAATTTGTTTATTTCTCTACATATCTACATATCTCTATATGTATATATCTTATATCTTTACATATCTATGTATCCATATCTATGTATCCATTTTTCTGTGTGTCGATATGTGCCCAAGTGTCTATACATGTTCAAATATGTAAGTCTATGTACCTACACTTCTACATAACTCAGTGTATGTATAAAGGGCTGCCGCCCCCTGCCGCCGACCCCTGGTAGCGTGTGGGGTGCAGAGTGAGGAGCGTGGAGTGTAAAGTGCGGAGTGTGGAGTGTGCAGTGGGTAAAGCGTAGAGTGTAGAGTGGAAAGTGTGGAGGATTAAGTGTGGAGTGTAGAGGGTGAGTGTGAAGAGTGTCAAGTGTAGAGTGTAGACTGTGGTTTTATGCCTGGGGCTTTATCCAACCATGACGGTGATCCCCCGATGGTGGAGCGAAGATAGCCATCTATTCCAGTCGCCACCAAGCATCAACTATATATATCAATGAGAGACCATCCATGGGTTACATTTGTTTAATGGGTTATGGTTAATGATGGTTATTGCTTGTTGATGGTGAATAATGATCAATAATTAACGCCTCCTCGGCTCCAATCGCTCGCAACAGCGGATGCTGCGATACCTGTCGTGTAGAGCTCCCTCTTTGAGACGTTCGAAGTTTGGAGGCTCAAAATGGTTTCCAGGTGAGCTGGATCCAATTGGAACATGGGGGAATCTTTGGATAGAAAAAAAAAGGCGGAACCTCAAGAGGAACGGAACCTGAGTTTTGGGGATGAATCATGAACATACGCAGAAAGATGGCAAATGGCCGTCAACTTGGTTCACTTGGTCCAAAATGTCGGTCCATCCTAGTCCCTATCTCGGCGGTGACAGTTCTTCCCTAAATCCCACTTAGTTGTAAGTGCGGTTTCGGAGAACTTAGACAAATCATAGCCATAGTCATTAATATGCCTTATATTCCAACTTGTGGTTTATAACCCATGGTTACATTTGTAACGTCACACCCCAAGTAGGATCATAAGATGTTACAAGTTCGTCTAAAAAAAATCATGATCATTTGCTATGATCTTACCGGTGCGAAACGCAGGGAACGAGTCAGGGAATGATCCACAATCACTAGTAATAATCAGCCCAGCAACCCCCAGCAACCCATCCATTCCCATCCATTCCCTACGTTTAGCACCAGTAAGTTAGCCCAACTGATGTACCCTCTGGTAATGGCTAACATAGCGATTGAAAATGGCTATTTATAGTTGATTTCCCTCTTAAAAATGGTTGTCCATAGTGATGTCATAGTTGACCAGACGGCAAGTGGAAGGTTTACCAATTTTTACCCAAACAAATCACCCAGTTGTGGTGGTAAATATACCAGCACCATGGAGCATTTTACCATAGTTCCAACCTGCTTTTCCAGTCAGCAGCAGGTGACATCACCGGGCCATGGCACCTACTAGAATAACCTATTAACACCGATGAAAACCATATAATAACCTATTAACACCATGAAAGCATAAAATTCCCATGAGAGTCGACAGTTGGTCCCAAAAATCCAAGCATGGACGCCAGATTTTCGCGAGGTCCAGTCGTGGAAGACCACCACCAACAAGATGGTCACGGAGAAGCACACCAAGGTGAGGAATGGCTGGTATTGTGATATGCGTTGACCATGGGAAAGTGGTAAATGTGACGAGGTCAATCAGCATATCGGCGATTTACACTCATACGACAGCTCATGTTTTGCAGCCTCGGTTGGCCCATCGCCATTTGGGCGAGCCTCAATTTCGAGACAAGCCTTGAAGTATTAATGTTTTTCGCTTCAAGCGCTTGTAATTGGAGATAACGAACAGTACTTTTTCGGCATGTCAAAGCTCCAAGCAGCATGTCATTCAAATCAAGTGACATAGAAAATGATTGTCCATTCGACTAGGTCTACCTTCTGGTATTCGAACATTGTAACATGGTTTGCCGGAAAATGTATCATTTGTCGTCGAATGATTGGTGGCAATGTGCAGTGGATGGTTTGTGCAGATGCAATTGTTAGGATGGTGTGTGTGCTTTGATTTGAAGCTGGCAATGAAGTGGGTATCTGGGCTCGAGTGTAAGACGGTCTCCCTGTCTTTGTAGCATGGCAGCTGCTGCGACAGAAAGCAGCCCGCTGAAGAGACGTCGCCAGGGAGTTGCTGCCGTGGAGGCGGTGGCAGTGGCGAGCATTGCGGAGCTGGGCAACCTGGGTGAACACGCCGTGGCCAACGTGGAGGTTGCGGTGCTCCAGGTGGGGACTCTCCGCAAGGAACCGAAGCCAAGCTGCACGGTGATCGTGGGAGACAAGAGTGGCATCGTGCAGTGTGTCCTTTGGGATTCTGTGGCGACGAGGATGGCCACCGTGTTGCAGGACAAGTTGGAAGAGGACGCGGATGGATTTCCAGGTGTGAGCCTGAAGGGATTCCAGGTTCGTCGCCTCGCCAGTGTTGCGGGAATGGAGGTGGTGAAGTTGCAGTCGACTCCGCGGAGCCTGGTGGAGGTGCAGGCGTTCATGGAGGTGAAGATTCAGGTGAAGAGCAATGTGCTGAGCGACTTCGCTCAGTTGGAGGTGGCGAAAGCGCCTTTCATGGTGCACCTGATGTGCCGGGTGATGGAGGTGTCGGAGCTTGGGGAGGCATCTTCCGGGACTCCGATGCGAGGCGCCAGCCTGCTGAGCAACAAGGGCGAGGTGGTGGCTATCAAAGTGCACGGGGACTTGGCCAGCCACGAGCTCTTGGTGGTGGGGCAGCCCGTCTTTGCATTCTATGTGGACATCAAGGTCAGCAAGGATCCTAAAGCAGCAGCCACGGCTTTCCTTTGGAGTGACTCCTACCTGCTGTCGGCTGGGCCGATTGTGACAGAGAACTTGGACAGCAAGCGCATGGTGGAGTTGAAGTGAGGGGAGGCTCGTGAGTATGGCTGTGGCCGCCGCTACGTCAGGAGAGTGCAGCTGGGGAGCTGCGGCCATGAGAGCCCGTTTTTTTCGTTCATACGTGGCTGGCGTTGACGACGCCCGTGTGGCATTCTTGAGAGTGGCAAGGTCGGGCTCGTTCATGGAAGTTTGGCTCGATGCTTTTTGCTTCGGGAGAAAAAACGTGGCTGCACGTGTGCTGTGGCGCGGAGCTGTGGTGTTTATGCAGGCTAGCGTGGGTAAGCTGGCACGAAAGCATCATGTGTGCAGGCTTGGTTTGAAGAAGGAATGCAGATGTCTCGCTGACCGTCCAGGTAGAGCGGTGCTTGCGTGGTGGGCGATATGAGGCTTGAGATGGGCTGGTGGGGGCGAGACCATCGTCGAAGAGAGAGAGGAGAG